GACACACTCATATTTATACTGCTGCATGCACTCACACTTATACCCATATCGCTGCGCGCACTCACACTTATACCGATATCGCTGCGTGCACTCACTTATACCCATATCGCTGCATACTCTTACACATCTTTCACATTCATCAATTGTTTTCACGCACACCATACACTCGCACTCTTCGTCTTTCTCTCACTCTCACATATCTTATGTAAAAACAAGTAACTTTTGTCTGAGGTGTATTTTCATTGCAAACCTAAACAAAATTAGATAATAATATATATGTAGGAGAGTTTTAAGTGTAGCAGAGGTAGACAAAAACTAGTATTCAGTCCTTTCTGTAGATCTTGTTTTATTGAAAAGGAAAAATCTATTCAGATTAAAAGAAAAGATTAGGTGGGCCATAAAACCATAAACGAACCTTGAGGGTTATTAGGATATTGGTGTAATAAAAAACCATGTGTGTAGTGTAGGGACCCTTTGAAGAATTTCCAATACCTGTGTAAACATATGCGATGCCATAAAAAGGGGTAACATTCCGATGTGCTAGATTAAGTTTCTGTATGCATAGTTCCCACTACCGAAAACCATAGGCTGTACCTGTCGGTGGACTATAGGGTGGATCCTTATGCTATTGGTCAGTAAGATTTGTAAGCTTCTTCCCTCTCAAAAAGGGGTGTAGATGATTTCTGATATAAAAGACATGGAAAGGAATAAGAAAGCAGAGTCTCGGGGGTAGAAGTAAAGGAGTCTCGGTGGTAGATGTAAGGTAGTCTCAGTCGTAGAAGTAGAACAGTAGCAGTCGTAGCCTTAGTTAGATATCAGTTGTAACAGTCGCAGTTGTATCAGTTGTAACAGTCGTAAGAATTCAGTCGCTCATCTAAGTTGTAACCGTAAGATTGTGAAACTAATATTGTACCTTTTCTAATACCTGTTTTAAATAAATCTTATTAGTAGGATTAAACTGGGTGTATGTTCACCTCGCACCTCTCACCCTAAATAAATTATCCCTACATATATATTATTATTATATATTTATAACTAAAGACATGAAAGATCACAATGGGTCAAATGATTGACACAAAATATTGAGTAGATAAATATATTACACTTTCACTTACAGTACATTTGTGAAAAATACATCAGACTTACACAGCTATATCGCATGGACAATTAAGACGCAATCTAATAAAAATTTGTTCAGTACAGTCCATTTTAATAACATTTATACGTAAAAGATCTATTTTTCACATGCTATCGTGTGATGTTGATGGTAAGGAACGATAAACGGAAATGAATATTCTATGCAATATATTCCACATCGTGGCCATACTTTTAGCAACCTTTCCAAAATAACGAATATTTAAATATATGTTTTAATAATCTTTTCATATATATATATGATATTAACATACTATACCATATACATATATAATAAGTCTTTTCAAAGTTTTCTTATATTTCAACATCTAAGATGATAAAAGAGACATAAAAATTTGTCTTCCATAAAACAGAGCTCTTTACTAATATTTTTTTACTTTTTTTTTATTTAAATTATAATCTCAAATTCCTATTACTAAAGCATAATGCTAATATAGCATGTATATTTATTCTCAATGTCTTAAGCAACCAATTTTCTTCTTTTACATAATATTTAGAAAAAGTAAATTTACAATATAAAAGTTGTATATTGTGAATACCGGTTTAGATATAGTCTAAAAATTTTATATAATGAATACTATATAAATGTTGAAAAAAGAAAGATACTTAAAGTCATTAACCCTTTCGCTACTATGGGTGACTCTAGTCAACCGTCGCATCTCTTACTGAAATGGAGTCAAAAATCAAGCCAAATGCTATCGACTCGATTTTTTCTGTTCACAAACAATTGCAAGCGCTATTTTTTACTTTTTACTTTTTAAAAGTAATGTTACAAAGTTGTTTTTGAGACAAAAATCTTGGTTCCCAATGTTAAAGACGCGTTTAATGTTCGCACTTTCGGCACGGTGCTCCGTTCCACGCAACGCACTCCGCAGCGAGGACCGCCGTAGCAAAAGGGTTAAGCGTGTAATATAACAAAAAACTTATTAAGGATCTGTACTGCTAAGTGCCAAGTGCATTGACTATACATTATATACCGATATGTATATAATTATTATAGTTTTGTATGTTCAAACAAAGAACGTTAGTATAGATTGTATATGATTTCATACCATCAACATAGGTATGTGTGTATTATTATAGACATAGTGACATGTTTAACATGCAATTAATCTGAAGCTTGCACAAACAGTATTGTTGCGCTTATTACTTCCCATTGTACACAGCCCTCTTCGCTTTTATTCTGCATTCAAGTTAATGCTTCATATTATGTATACAAACGAGACAAAATAATTAGAGCTATCATTGAGCTCTTGCAGAATAAGATTACATATAGAAACCGATAAAATTGATAGAAAGTCTAGATATTTCTTAGTAATCTTCCATCAATTTTATCCTTTGTTTTACATTCTACACAAAACTTTTAACGGAAAAGATTGAAATCTTACATAAATTATATATGTAAAAGGTAAACACATCATAGCAGTTTTCAAAATGCATATTTAGGAATTATTAAGAAAATGATACATAGATATATATAGATATCTATTTATACCAAAAAAATAAAATACAATTTTTTTTATATGATATACGAACATAATTTTCTTGAGAAGAGAATAAATAAAATTAAAATTTTTATTTTCAATCTTGTTTTGTTCAAACTAAACCATTCCATTTTTATTCAATGTTCTTTATGTAAAACCATAAATGAAATATAGATACTGTAGCCGCAATTTAAACGTTAACGTAATTATTTATAAATTAGAATAATTATTAAACTCGGAAAATAACTTAACATCTAGTGCAGAATCGTTTAATCGTTATTTAAAAAGAAATTTAATAAGTATTTTCACATATTGTATCTATTCCTTCTTAAAATAGCTTTTCTACTTCAATTTTCTTTATATATGAGCAAAATTAACACTTTCCATGTCATGTGTACCACCGATTGTACACGTTAAACTTTTCATTTAGGCCTTGTGTACCACCAATGATATACGCTGATTTATTTAATGCGTCAAAACATCAAGTAACTTGAATGAAAAGTCGAGCAAAAAACGGCTTAGCACAGAATGTGTTAATAGATTGCCCTTCTCTGCGATATTGTCATTTATATTGATTAATGACGGTGGCCATAGCCATGGTCAATTTTTAAATTGTATATATGAAATGACTTTGAAAAAATGAAAATAGTCTGATTTTATCAAAGTATACTTACTAAACGAATGCTTATATTTTGATTCCATCTATAGATTTTGCAACAATGGAAATAAGTCTTTTAATACAATAAAAAAGAATAATAATCTAAAATTTATCCAACACTAATAATAAGTTTCCAATATGAAATGAACAATTTTTGCTATTCATTCGCATACAAAATCTAGTAAACAAATTTAATCTATGAACACTATTTGCATAATTCGTAACATTTTATATTTTCTGATATTAGATATCGTGTAAAAAGAAAATTGCACCATTGTCTCTATAATTACTAAAAATATTATGCTCTAAAAATAAATGTACTTCTTACTATTTCCAATAAATTTATATAACATAATAAAACAGACATTGTAAATCAATTATATATTATTATACTGAATAGTATTATTGTGTACCAACTTCAAGTAAGTTATCAATGGATATACTTAATAAACAAATATAAGTTTACTAACTAAAATTCTGATACATAATAAGTCAACTTGTGTTAACCTTCATTTTGCACGAAAAATCAATAATGTTTCTTCCACTAAAACTGGAAAATTATCGTAATATTTATATTATATATTATTTCATAAAAATAAGAAAACCTAAAGACTATTGCAATGCATATATTAAGATGCTATAAAAGAACACAGTAAGTTGATTAATATATCTTATCCTAGGAAATTTTTCGTCAACATATCAATTTTAAAAAGCCGACAGCTTTATATTGATAATCAAATAAAATCTATAGATCTATAAACACTGTTTCTAGAGAAGTGAATAATTTATTTAAAAATATATTATCTTTTAAAAAGTCAAGTTGGCAATTGCTAGCAAATTTTTAATCACTATTTTTTTGGTCAACTATCGTTTATTAATTGACAAACACAAAATATAATGATAGTATTAATGTAAACTCTTTAAAGTTTTGACAAAGAAATAGAAATTAAAAAGACAATTTGTTCATCTGATTTCTGATCGTATTAAAAAAAAAATTTAAAAGAAATAAATTTGCAAACAGAAAAAAAATTCTGGTTAATTTTTGCCAGATAGATTCATAATATTATATTTAATAGTGTCAATTTTAAAAATTTTTAAAGAATTAAGATAAGTATGGTGTGTGCTTGAAAATAAGACTTTTAAATAAAAAAAGTAATTTAAAATAAAATATATGTATATATAACACTAATAAATTTATTTAAACTAAAACATAATTTAGTATCAGTACAGTACCATAAATACTTCAATATGAAAAACTTGTTTAAATAATTTTCTTCTATTTGTACAGGTGAACATACTAAACAATGCTATAATAGAATTATTATAATTATTCTATAGATATTTAAGGATAATAAGGTTATAATTTTGTAGTTATATTAGTTACTTATACAACTTAAAATCTTTTTTTAAGCAGAAGATACTTATGCTCTTTTAAAACAAATTCTGTTTATATAAAATTATGTAGGATAATAAAAGTCTATCATTAATATCTTGTATGTCAATAATGAATTAGTAGATGACCAGAATGATAATAATTATATAAAATTTGGACACACACACACACACATTATATGTTAATTTCACCTATCTGCAATACTTATATATAATTGTATATTTTTATCATATAACCTTCACTCAGGTTAAATAACATTCCTTTAGAATGTTTCTGTATTATAGTATGTTTTACTTCATTGTGCAAACATATAAATTGAGTATACTACATTGTCATGTTTATAAAACACTGACATCAATTTCTGTTAAATTTTAACAAATCTGTGTTCATATGTCCATTTGTTTTCAATGAAATTTTTTATTTTATTACAAGTAACAACTACCTTTCGCTTGTCTGAATGTATTTGACAAAGCGGCAGTTGAATTATTAAGTTTCCAAGTACGTTAAATTACTTTCAAAATATCAGCAAAATAATATAAGTAAAAACAATCTAACCTTCTGTTTGGTTAAATGAATTGCTTTTATAAATTGTCACATGTTTAACAAATTTTTTAAAATATCACATATTTACAGCAATAATTAATATGTTTAACCTTTTAAATGGGAAGCTAATTTACTAAAAGCGCAAATATTTTATGTAATAACAGTAAACATATTAAATAAAAATTTGCTCTTTATACGATTATTAAAGAATATTATATATAATACGTATGATATTAAAGAATATAGACGACATGCGTAGTCTTCAAAGTACTATGACAAGTTATCCCCAGTTAAAAGGTTAAATATCAAGAAAGGTATTATTTTTCTGCATAAGAAATATTACAAAATCGGTAATTACAAAAGCGTATATGCAAAAGTAGTGAGTCCACTTTTTACAATACTATAGTATTAACAAAAGGGTTCACTTATCTCAATCAGATAATAAATCTATGCTGTTTTAAAAATGCTCATATAATCATTTTTTGTATATAATGTTGATTTTAAATAGAATAATCTTAGATCTTTTTATGCAAAGAATAAAAATTCTACTTACTTTCGATTATCCAATTATAGAAGTAAACGCATTGACGCATAAAAGATTTTTTCAAAAATTATACAAACATGTGAAAACACATGCGTTATCTTGAGTCATTGTCAAATCTGGGAGTTAATATTTAATACTGCAAAATTATGTTACTTTTTCGAGCTATCTTCTTCGCTTGACCAATGTTTTTCTTGTTCTTGCAGTTCAAACTCCCATCGTAATTCTAATTCACGCATATCATTTGCAATACCAGCCTCATATGTATCTTCCTAGATATTAAATATATAATTAATGTAGATATTAAAATATATACTTTAAATATATTTAAATTTATATATTTTTGTTATATATATTATAATTAAATTATTACTTCTTCGGTCTTATAATCCTGATTGAAACTTTGATTTGTAAGTAAGCTAGTTGATGATTGAATCCATGGTACGGTACCATATGGACTCCAATTTCTTACATCCTTTTCTTTTTCCCTAATACCTGCTTCAATCATTTGCAATTCCTGTGCAAGTTTTTCACTGGCTGTTAAAGTTGCACCTTGTGTTGCAATCTACGGACATTCATAATATTGTAACATATTCTAAATTAATAAAACAAAATACGATTGTTTCTAAGGAATTAGTGGTACCTTTAAATCATTTATTTTTTTCTCTAAATGTTTTAATTGTTGTTTTACTTTCTGTGACTCCAAGATTAAACTGTAATAAATGTTACTAAAATCATTTCAACCAATAAAATATTTAGTAAATTATTAATTTAATTAGTACATTTAAACTTACTCTTTCGACATACATTCCTGTTGCAAAAGATGTGAATGTGTATGTGATTCTGATATATTTCGTCCAAGAGCAATATATCCATCCCCATAATTAGATGTTGTAACAGATTGCATTCCTCCGTTTGTACCAATAGGTGTATAAGCTATTACGAATATAAATATCACTCAAATACGACTTTATTTTCTGGACATATCATTGAAGAATAATTTTATTATTAGTACATACGTTGATTGCCGTAATACCACGATGAAATGGAATTAGGAGGCATAGGTCGAAAAGTAGATATTGTAGTTGGACCCTCATTATATAAACTTGTAGGTGATACACAATTTGGAGATCTTATGAAAAATTGAAGTATTATGAAGATGTAGGAAAAAATAAAGGAAAATCATTTATTTATTAAACAAACCTTATCATGGTTGTTGATATTTTGGATATTGGTCCATATTTGCTCGAAGATGATGCATCGAATGGTACAAATTCATCATCCAATAATACAGGATCTGCACATCGAAAATTATTACTGCAACTCATATTTGATGAAGGACCTATGGGACTTCCAGATGAATTTGTCCAAATTGATAAATTCGATGAAAGCACATCTCCTTGGATGTCACAATTCTGTAAAAAAGAACAAAACAGAACAGAAAATTATACACTATATAACATGACATATGCAGAACCATAAACAGTATAGGTTCATTTCTTATACCATTTTCATTTGTGGAGCTTGCTTGTTGACTATAGTTTTAAGTTGATTTAGAATTTCCATTCTACGTTGTAACAACATTGCCAACGTTTTTGCTACTATTCGTTGCTACAATTAATATATAGATACACGATCATTTATGTATAACTAATACAAAATATTTACAATTAAAACTTTTTGTACATTTTATATACATTCACTCATGTTTATAAATTACCTTTTTACTATTAGAAATTCCATTTGTAACACCTGACGTTACTTGCGGCGAATCCCACATATTCATATCTGTTGTATTATAATCTAAGGATGCTACAGGCATAATATAATGAGGACAATGAATATCCATGTTTTTTACTGGAACCATATGTGATAAATTCTGTGGTGGTGCCAACATGTAATTTGTCACAGATCCAACCAAATTATTTTCACTATTAATAATAGGATGTTGCGTTGGATTAACTTTATTCAATGAAGTAAAACCTATAAAGAATATAAGAATGCTTTAGAACTTTGAAAATAAAATGACAATTATTAATTCATTACAATATTACATACTATCCCTATGAATATCATGTGGTTTTATGGAATGATAATGTGCCTCTTCGTTTTGCTTAAAAACCTTATTGTTTTGAACAATAGATTTATCTGTTTTTAATTCCGTGTTACTGTTCAAAGGTAAATTTGACCTGATACTCAACTTTCGATTCTTTGACCTATACCTGACCAAAAACGTAAAAAGAAAAGAAAAATGTAATACTATAATGAGAAACGAAAATATATTATCTAATTAATGAAAACTTACTTGTCAAGTTCCATGTCACTGTGAGCAAAAGTACAATTTGTAGCTCTTGGACAAGATCCTCGAAGAGCAAGATCTCTGCACATGCTCACTTTATACTTTGGTTGACTTGGACCAATATTATGAGTGCCATCTGAACATTTTCTACTTCCATGCTGCTGAATGAATTCCACCAATGCTACAACCACAGTTCTAACAGCTTCCAATGCTGCGCGACATTCAGCTAATGTGGGTAGTTCTGTTTCTATATAGCAATATTATATATTTATAAATATAAAATATATTAAAGAGGTGAAAAAAAAAGTAAATACCTGGACTAGGATCTATGGCAGCTAATAATTCTAGCTGTGGCCTTAAACCACTAAGTTGTCCTGGATCAGGTGTACGTTGTAAGGCAATAACTAATTCTTGCACACTTTGAGCAAAAGATTGTGGCGTTTGTAGCTTGTCAATAATACTTTGCATATGAGACTTATGACCAGTATCTCCATACAATAGAGCTGACCATTGATCAGGAGCTATTCGTAATCCAGCTTCAGTTGCTATTTGAACAATCTGGGCATCATGTTCTCTTCTCAATGCATCATATGTTCTAAATTCTTCTTTTAACTGCATTAAAGATGAATCACCCTCTCGTTTGGATACCTAATTATGCAGAAATTATTACTTTAAATATTATAGAAGTAGATTGAATAATATATAATAATTATAGAAGATAAATAAACTTTACCTTGAAGCAACTTGCTCTATAAAGAAGCTGTACTACATGTCCAATACTTGTTTTCGATGCTTGTGAAAAATGCGGTTCCAAACGTTGAACCACAAACATTACTAAAACTTTTCTTGAAAGTGCCGAACCATCCTCCAAAGCTAAAAGAACTAGTTTGAGAACCTCCTCTTGCATTGCTAGTAGAAAGAATAAAAAAAAAAGCAAAAAGAGTATAAAACAAAGGGAAGTGAAAAATAAGTTTTTTGTGCAGAAAAATTATTGAAAAAGTTAAAATTTTAATACGTATAATTATTGTACCTGGACCAAGGAACTGACAACCGCGTGCACGTACAGCAGCCCACAAATTGGCACTAAGTTGTTGAGGATTTTGATGTTGTAATATTAGTTCTGTGACGGACCTTTCTCCTAGGCTTCGAGCTGCTCGTACAGCACGTGCTCTTCCTTCTGGTTCTACTAATTGGCAGCCTACTAACGTAACTAATTTTCTTTGCATAGGACGAGACACAAGTCCCATTCCTGCTGCTATAGTTGGATGTGTTTGACATGGTTTTAAATAAAGCGCTAATTCTTCTACACAGCGCTTAGCCACTAAATAATTAGCATGATCTTCAGGTGGTAATAATTTTTGATAAGATGTCGCAACATTTGTTGGAACAGTATTACCAACTAGTTGAAGCAGAGCTTCATTTATTGGTAACCTTTCTATTTCAGTGTTTATAGTACTCTAAAAATGATATTATTTATTAAGTTCCATTATATTATATTATATATATAATTTATGAAGTGATAATGGACTTTATACCTGATCAAAAGGACATTGCTTGCGATGCAAATTTGCTAAACATGTACGGCATATAGTATGACCACATCCTAAAGATATCGGACCTCGTACAGCCACATCAAAGTCATGACAACAAACTGGGCAAGAAAGAAATTCAGTCCACTGTGGTGCCTGTATTGGCATTCTAAAACATAAAAACAAATTATTTTAATAAGTTATTTTATATTATTTATATTTAAATATAATTATTAATTTTTTTTATAATAAAATAACAATTCAATTAAATCTGTAAATTTTGAAGAACTTAAAATTCTTATGAAAATTAAATATTTTGTACATACTTTAACCATTTGCAATATTTTAATAGACAATAGATAAGCACGTGTAACTAAATTTCTCAAAATATTAATGCATATTGCAAGCAATATACTTGTAAGAATTTGTTTTAATACATCTCCGAATAAAAATTCAATATTAAATGCTCATCAACTTTTATTTCTATATTTTATAACGAAAACGATCTAGGTAAACTTCGTAAATATGTATATTTCTATAGAAATAATATTATTAATATATCAAGGCTTATCGTACAAACAGTCCAACAGACAAACGCTTACAGACACGCACAAATACACACTACAAATATACATTCTTGTCCCATGATCGTCGCAATTAAATTGTTTAATTATGTGCAATAAATGCTCGTAACATCTATTCTACATTTTATCCCCACAAAATATATTTATGCTTCTATCATTGTATCATAAACCGATTCGATTAAGAATTAACGTAGATATTTATTTTTATATCTAAACTCACCTTGTTATTGTTTCTACAAAACATCACATTGATTAATCAGTTACTTCGCACATAATTCTGCCATCAAAGCAGGAACAGATGAATCACAGATAAGATAAGCTCAGTATGCTCTCCATAGACATTTTTATGTCACTAGCATGCACGAGGAAAATAATCTAGAAAGATAGGTTACCTCGTTTACTCGTCGAATGGCGCTCTTGTCTATTATGAATAATTCTCATGAACGTTATGTGATACATTAAGGAATTACATTGCTATGTAAAAAACAGCCAATAAAAAGCCATTTTGTGTAACGTATCTACCAATAAGATTTTATTTAATCCATTGGAAAAAGAAATAACGCTGATACCACTTTGTGATTAGTCGAGTCTTCAGAAATGACATTTTTTAAATGTGTACTATTAATTGGAGCATTTTGATATCTCATAAACACGCGACTTTTTTTTTGCAAAGAATTATCAAAAATAGAGATTACAAAAGATTACGTGGAAAAACGACCGTTCGTATAGTCGATAGTGCAGTAAGTTACGGTGATTGACCGTGTTTAATAAAAAAGACGACGAAGGAAAAAAAAATAATGATCCTGTCAATATTTAAAGCACACGCAGAGTAGAAACTACAATATGATTAATCGAGAGATGTACGATCATAAGAAATAAAAAGAGTTCACTAACATAAGATCAAGAATACAGTAATATAGGATACAAAAATAAGTGCTCGAAGCTAATTAAAACGCGGAAAAATTTATTGATAATAACAAGAAGAAAAGGAATAAAAGGACAAAACGAACAGTAGTGAGGTTCGATAGTATCCAATAGTAATAAAGGTGGGGTGATGTGGTAGATCCTAACTATATTCGCGTGTAGTGTTGGTACTCTGGTGTGGTCGTAAAGGTGGTGTTAATGGTAATGGTAGTGATAGAGCTGTTACTGTTGATGGTAGTAGTGGTGGCAGTGGTGGTGGCAGTGGAGGCGGCAGTGGCAGCGGGGGCAGCCATACTCAAACAACCGCCGAGCGAAGTGCGAAGAGCGCGGAGCGGCATAGAAATGAAACGATAATACGGCACGTTTAAACGTTCAGGGCCTGGGACGAGGCGTAAGACGCGAGTTTGACCGATTGGCCGTAAAAGAATCAGGGCGGAAGTGCGGCAAAGTTCGGAGAGGAAAAAGAAAGAGTGTATCGAGGAAAAGAAGGGGGCTCCGCCGTCGAATATCGGTGGTGACTTTGAGCAGACGGTATGAGCGCAAAGACAGACGTTAACAGAAGAGTCCTAGCGATTCAGGCGAAAAAAAAGAGACACAAGCCGAGTAAAAGAAAAGGAAAGGGTAATTCTCAGGGTGATACGGACTCTTCAACCACCGGACAGTGCTCGAAACCACAGCCAAGCGTCGCTCGACAAGGACAAGGATCCGATTTCTTTCAAGACGCCTCTTCGGGCCAGAGACCGTATTCTAACGATAATGGAAATAGGTAACCGGTTACTATTAAAATATTATCTATTCAAACCTTACTAGAATTATTCCTAGCTATATTTTATATTCTTTTTTAAATTTAAGCAAACGTCTTTTTTGTTCTATTTAGGTTTCCTCCGTTTTCTAATAACGACGTAATAATACATTCTTTTTCTTTCAGTTTACAATTGGTAAACAAAATTTAATTTTTTTATACGACGATATAGAAGCTAATTCGTCTTTTTAATAAATCGATCTTTGCGATATTATTGCTTTGATATATCACTAGTGTCAATAACAACGAATCCGTTCTTTTGTCATTTTTAAAGTTATTTACACATTTGGAGAAAAATGTATATAAATAACATTTACATAAAAGTGTGCACACACACAAACACAAACATAACAACTGCATGTTCAGGAAAATTATAAAGATATCAGAATCTTATTAACGATCGATTAAATTTGTAGAATGGAACCGTGTCACAGCTCCAGCAATGAAACAATAGAGGATGACGATGAAGTGTACAGTAGCGAAGATGAAGAGCAAGAAGATAGCGGTGATTATTGTAAAGGAGGTTATCATCCTGTAAAGATAGGGGATTTGTTTTTAAGTCGTTATCATGTGACTCGAAAACTTGGCTGGGGTCATTTCTCTACAGTCTGGCTTTGCTGGGATCTACAGGTATGTAAATACAAATATTAAGATAATTTATTTGCATCTAATACTTTTTGAATATATGTATGAGTTAATACTTTAAAATCGTTTTACGTATAGGATAAGCGATTTGTGGCACTTAAAGTGGTAAAATCCGCAACTCATTTTACTGAGACTGCTTTAGATGAAATAAAGTTATTAAAAGATGTACGTGATACGGATCCTATTGATCCTAAGCGAAATAAGACCGTCCAATTGCTCAATGACTTCAAAATCAGTGGCATTAATGGTCTTCATGTTTGCATGGTATTCGAAGTGCTTGGACATAATCTTCTTAAATTAATCATTAAATCTAGCTATAGAGGAATTCCAAGAAACAATGTTAAGCGCATCATCCGTCAAGTCCTTGAAGGTTTAGATTATCTTCATAATAAATGTAAGAAAATAAAACACAACTATAGATTAATTATTACTTTAGATTAAGTTTTCATGTGCACAGATTAAATAAATCAAGTATCTACAACTTTAAAAATATAGATAACGCACAAAAAACGTAATATCTAATGTTATATATTTTGTAGGTAAAATTATTCATACAGACATTAAACCTGAAAATGTTCTTATATGCGTTGATGAAACTTATATAAGAAAATTAGCTTGTGAAGCAACCGAATTACATTCTATGGGTATAAAATTACCAGTTTCATTAATTTCTACTGCGCCCAAAGAATTTCAAGAACCTACGCCAAATTCCAAAATGTCTAAAAATAAAAAGAAGAAATTAAAGAAAAAGGCTAAACGTCAAAACGAATTGTTGAAGAAACAAATGGAACAAATAGAGGAAATAGAAGAGCAGAATAAACTTGCAAATAGTACAAGAGAAAATGGTGAATTGGAGACAAATAGTCCAGATCAAGATGTGAATACAGAAAGTATAGAAGATAATACAGAAAGTAAAGGTTCCCCCGAAATCTCAGAACCATCTGCGCCATCGTTACACGTTAATGGAGTGGATGGTTTAGCAGGTGGAGAAAAAATACAAAATCAGTCAACCAATCGGTCGGACAAAGTGGAGAATATGACTTTGTGTGACGTTGACAAAAGTTGTGGTGAGAGTACTACTCTACCTCGAGATCCAGAAGATACAGACGAATGTAGTGAAGGTAAATTTCATTATTAAAATTGTGAAATGATCATAGTTTTATTAATTTTGGCTTTTTTTTTTGTATTTAGGACGTAATTTGAATCCACCCGAGAGTAAACAATTAAAACGGGCATCTGTAGCACCACTTGATCCAGCTACGGTAGATTGTGAAGTTGAAGTAAAGATAGCTGATCTTGGAAATGCATGCTGGGTTCATAAAAAATTTACGGATGATATACAAACACGTCAATATAGATCTTTAGAGGTATTGTTAGGATCAGGCTACGATACTTCAGCAGATATATGGTCCACAGCATGTATGGCATTTGAACTGGCTACTGGTGATTATTTGTTTGAGCCACATAGTGGTAAAGAATATTGTAGGTTAGTATTTGGCACACATTATTGAGAATATCATTTTAGAATGGGTAACATTTTCTATACATGCATTTTAAAAAAATAATTTTAGAGACGAAGACCATTTAGCTCATATTATAGAGCTACTCGGAGAAATACCTAGACGTATAGCATTTTCCGGAAAAAATTCAAAAAAGTACTTTAACAAAAAAGGTGAATTGAAGCACATTACCGGTTTAAAGCCATGGGGACTTTATGAGGTGCTTACAGAAAAATATGATTGGTCACCCAGTGAAGCACGTGAATTTGCTGAATTTTTAACTCCGATGTTAGAATTTGATCCAAGTATGCGTGCTACTGCTGCTGAGTGCCTGAAGCACCCTTGGTTGCAAATCAAGTGATCCTGTTTTTACTTTATTTTATTTTATTTTATCTTTTTTCTTTTTTTTTTAATTCTTTTATTTTAAAATTTCTGAGATCCTTACTCTTTACAACCCTGATGCAATTAAAAGTCGAGAGTGTGACAGGAAGCAGAGATCAGAAAAAATAAATTTTTATATTTAATTACAGTTTCAATTTTTATGTAAAACGACCACTACTAGACGCTCATACCTTATATTTACATCATATTCTATTTCACAAAAGAATTGTAAAATGGAGTCTATATATGACACAAACATAGCACATCATAATGTAAAAATATAGGCTACGATAATAAACTCTATTGATAAATGTAATGTCTCGATATTATTAAGAGTTAAAAAACGCTTCTATAAAAGAAGTTAGAAATCGATTATGTAAAATCTTGTTACAAAATCTCTGTACTGATACTGAGATATGCTTCCTAATGAAATACTCTCGACATCAGCCACCTATGCGTGTATTTATAAATTTGTTAAATCATCTTCATTTAGTGATGACAATTTAAATTAAAGTAAATAGTATTTTATTACTTTATGCATTCATTACATCCTTCGTACCAGCCTCTTCATTTATCTACAAGTATTCCTAGAGTACCCACTCATAAGATACTTTATAGATATTTAAGGGCTGGCCCGTTAAAACATATTTACATTTCACTTAGCTACGTTTTTTTTTTTAAGATAATTGCGGTTATAGTCAAATTTAATAAAAATATTTTTTTTCTCTTTTTGTTATTTAGAATTTTCTATAAACTGTTAGACATACAATGTAAATTTCTCACTACCTCGTTGCATTAGATATTTTAAAATACTCATACACACATGCCGAAAGATGTAGTTAATGCACAGAATATTTCTACGAATTTACAATTTATTCGAACGTACTAATGATTGATATCAAGTGAGAGTCGGTCATCAGATTCTTGGTATATAAAGCCAAGTGTGAACACAAATCGATATGAGACAATATGTTTTGATGGAATATTTAAAGGGGCACAAATATTTGAGTAAAGAAAAGATTGTTAAACTAATATATTATATTAGAAATATGAGTCGAACGTACAAGTGTCTAAAGCAATATTAGTTTTGATTGAACAAATTTTATGAATTTATATATTGATAAATCGTCCCAAAAGTAATACGGTTATTTAAAATAAGTTCTTAAATAACGAAACAAAAAAATATGCAACTTTAATCTAAGATATTGGATCGTCCTAAAAACTTCCTGCGTTTTTTTAGTAAATTTCAAATATGATCCATTCTGCTTTATTACTCTTCCTTCCCTGTATCGTATAAATTCCGTTAAATATACAATAGTTGTAAAATATTGAAAAAGAAAATTGATTATCTATTCTGTCTAATGAGAAAAAAACATTACTTATGGGATGATTAATATCTTATTGTTTTAATTGCAATAAAATACAGTGAGTAACTTTAATATTCAAATACCACAAAATTTTTATTTTTCCACGTTATAATTTTCTTTATAACGAAAAAAAATCAAATAAAAACAAATAGGTATAATATTAATGTTTAGACTAAATAATAATAATGTAAAAGACTTAAATAATAATAATATAAATTTTCTTTTTATAATTTATAATATCTGTTAAATAATATATTTTAAATGAAATAATGTTTGACTTAAATGCTACTCTAATATTTAGATTTGTAGAAATTTAACAACTTTGATTAATTCCGAATAATGTTGGTTTATAAACACAATAGTCCGTATGGATAATGTAAAATCTTGTATAATTACTTTTATTTCGATATTTATGAAATCTACTTGTCATAATAGTAGGTAAAATTAATACTAGTTGTAATAAACGCGAACTTGTGGTTTTTCATAATACCAACAGAAAATCGTATAGACTTGCTTAATATAAATAAAAGCACACTATGAGACATTAGAAAATTTAAACACGAGAATCGTATACAGTCTAGATCATAAAGAGGCCAATTAAAGAAATCGAATATCTGTGACGGAAAGGAAATTATCTAAAAAGTAAAATAAAATTCTACATTAAATGCACGAAAATTAACTAACAACTTCTTTGAAGAAACTGTACGCTCTTCAATAATATAATATACAGTATATTAAAAAAAAGTAGTTATAATGGAAATTATTCGGAAAAAAAACATTTATGAACAAAGTGAATAGAAAAAAATGAATAAATCATGCAAAATAATTTGTTTTAAAGGAAAATACATGAGTGGAATGACGTTACTTTTAAGGCAAAAAGTAAATTTAACATTTTTGGTTTGAAAACAAGCGAAGAATAGTGCAACGATAGAAGCAGAAAAAATATAATTTTAAAAATATGAAACAAACAGAAATAAAAATGTGCTTACATGAGATGTATTTTGACATGAAATAATTTGTATTGTTAACAGAATGGACAAACACATACATCTAAATATTTAAAAAATAATTTACCCAAAAGTGCTATAGAAATAAAAAAATAAAAATTTTGTGGTTTCCCAATATCAATTTTACTCACTATATTTATTACTATATTCTTTTGAAAATGAAACGAATGCACACAAATTGTCTTATTTCGTTGTGTGTTCCGAATTGTATACAGGATATTAAAGAAAACTATTCAATATTTATAAAGCTCATAAAAACGCTATACCAAGTAAAAAAGTTTTTCTTAATAAACATAAATCGAAAAGTGAACCGGTTTTGAGATATAAATATTTTTGAATGTAGTATTACAATTAACTTTTTACTAGCTTTTCGATTTATAGATAATGTTCTACATGTCTTTCCATTTCCATGCATTCTTAGCATTACATAGTCGCGAACAGTCTCGAAAATTTTACATCTCTGTCGAACGATGCAAAAAAAGCATTGTGGATTCAGTTTCGTAATTTTTCTAACTATTCATGTCATTTATTGGTGAAGAATACATTTTATTGTTCAAATATTCTCATAAAAAGACATCCAAAAAGGGATCGAGGGGCCCACACCATTAATCCACCACATTCAATCCACCTTTGACTTAACACAAAGTTTAAATACTCAAAAAAGTCAGTCATTCCTATAATACTAACATACAAAAATGTTATGTTAGAAACGGTTGAATTTTCGACCTATGTTTACTAACAATAAGATTGGTTTACTCACATCAGTAGGTATAGTGTGTTCTGTGTACTGTATAAATATTGAATGATATTTTTTAACATCCTGGATACTTTCTTATGCCTGAAACTCTCTATATAAGCTTAAAACATCATGTGTATACGTGCACACAAGTTTTGCATCTTCATTAACTGATTATTATGTTTTCCGCCGATAAATTGTTTCCTGTTTTATATTAAAACAAAACAAAAACAAAAGAACAGTGTATACACAGTATACTAATCATCATTGGTTCGTTCACCTGTTACCCTGCTTTATCATTTCCAATATCTTTTATATTGTTCCCTTTTATTTTTTTTAATTCCTTTTTATTTTTTTTTTGTAAGACTTAAGGGTTTCATATCGACATGTTGATAGGCTTATGTATACGTACAAGGATCATAATAAAATCATATTTTGTTTCTTTGTGTACTTGGTGTATTCCACCAGGTAAGCGATTTTATTTATGTAAGTATTTATTATCTCGTATTATATAGTCATTTCGTTTTATGTCAACAAGATATTTGATAAAAACAAAGGGAGCCTGTTCAATGGTTGATCTCATGTAAACAATGTACATCTGATGTCACTAACAAGATATCAATTTGTCAATGTCGACAAAAGTCTTTGCATGATATATTCTTCATACTTAAGAAAGACGTGTTGTTTATTGTAGTTATATCTGGGAGGAAAACAAAACAACTATTAATTTCGTTATTGAAATTAAAATTATGATTTATTATGAATCACTGTTCTGTATAAAAGCAAAGATATTGTGACACATATGAGGAGTACGATATTTTCTCTGTGACAGAAGCAAAGAAAAGAAAAAACAACACCGAATAAATAAGATCTTTACTTGTAATACATTAATTAATATGAAACGCGCTTAAGATTATAGATAATTCATTTAGCTAATGATGCGTCCTACAAATTAATGTCTGTTTTAATTGATTCTGTAAGCTACCAATGAAGTATGCGAGCTCTAGGTATAATCGTGGCTTCGCATCGTTTAATGACAATGTTGTCAAATTTGTACAGTAAATATTAGAGTAAATAGCGAATATAGATTGATATAATTTTTTGTGAGAAGATTTAATGGCCATTGAAATTCGTTGCTATCATCACGAGATAGTTTGACGGATCGCGTCTACTTTATCATTTTTTCTTTTATTTCTTTCTAAATTAATCGGTCAATAAAATTCAATACAATTATAAACGTGTATTTACATAATACATAAAAATCCTATTGAAAATAAGAGAGTTAAGTGAGAAGAAGGAGAAATTAGTTGAACTAAGAATTGAATTTAAAGACAAAAGTTTTGTAAACAACAAAATATTTTGAACTTTTAACATTAGACAGAAGAATTTTCGATCGACTTTATAAAAAATTAACGAATTTCATTGGCCTGTCGTAAGTTCGTCTTGTAGATCGTATATTAAAATTAAAATAGAAATACAAAAAAAAACGTTTAAATTGAAAGAGAAAAATGAATACCGACTTATATAGAGATATACATCAATTATTTACGTAAGCATACGATGGCTGCTTAAATGCTATAGTTAGGAGACAAAATTAATTAACTTGTATAACTTTGAAACATCTAAACTTAATAGACGTTTCAATGGCTAATGATCTTCTCGAGCGTGTTATAATTAATAATAGAATCACACACTGTTAATAGCGTGTCATATTTACGTGTATTTCTATCTACTCGAAGATAAAAGAAAAGAAAAAGATAGTGGAATAAAATGGTTTGTATAGGGACCCAATTTTGAATTACACCAGCAGATCATGTTCCAATCGGTAGGGGAAACATTAAAATGTTTGGTAATGATTCGTTCAAATAAATTGTGGTAAAATGTCGAGGCTCGTATGAAAAAAAAAAAAAAGGAAGAGATTCGAAAAATAGATAGAAAATTAATGCTATAGTTGTCTGTGATTTTTATATAATTTCAAAATAACAGAGAAGACAAAAAGAATGAACTATTTGATGATAAAAAGGTACCGTAAGGATTAACAATGAAGATTAAATCATTTTAGTAAATGTAAAATAAGAAAAGAGAAGAAAAAGAAAAATAAGACACTCGGATGAGAAAAGAACATCAACATAGCATTGTTCTCGCCGATGCTTTTTGTAAATATACGTGAAAATGGTTAGAAGACAATTTTTGTTTTTGCACCGTGTTCTAACTATGAACTGAGTTTTTTCATCAGTCTGCAGATTAAATCATGAATAACGGGACAGTTGTCAGAAACAATAGTAAATTGGTAAAAGAAGCGTATCTTACTGATTGGTACATATAGTCAGTCTTGATCGTGCAGTCACGTAAGACTCTTCGTTAAAAAATTATGCATGTTTAGAAAATTAAGGCGCAAAGGTATATATTACAAGCTCTCGCAACATCTCAAGAAAATGACAAACAATAACTATAAATACTAATGAAAAAAAGAAAAAACGAAAGCAAGTAAAAAAGAAAAAAAAATACATTATATAGGACATCTTCATACGCGTGATCATTTTTAGAATCATTTATCGATACGAGTGAGATCGGACGAAAAAATTAAACTTTGAACAACAATATAAAAGAGTAAAAAAGAAAATACCCACAGAAATAGCGGTTATAAAAATTAACTGGAGTGTTTTTAGGAAAAATAAGCTTCCGAGCTTTTAGACAATATCCTAAATATTAGCACTAACAATAAAAGTGCCCCTTCCTGGCCAACCCCTCCTTCCGATATCGTTACGAGAAAGTACTTAAAAAAGAAATGATTAGAAAATTTTAATCAACTAATTGTAAAGAAAAGGAGTGAGCGACAATTAATTTGATTCTTTTTCTTTGGTTTTACTTTTTATCTTTGATTTTATTTTCTTCAAACTAAATTCATTTCTTGATGATTGTGAATTCATATTGTTAGATAGTTTCGAAACAGAATTATTTCGTATTAAATATTTTTATTTTTGAATTTATCACGTGTTTCACAAAAATAATCATTATCTATTTTCGCATTGTGTCCGCCTCTACATATGTTTATTTGTAAATTTTTCTTATGTGTTTCGCAAGATAAATGAATTAATTGAGAATAATAATAATAAAAAAAACAAGAAATAAGTAAAAAAAAAAAAAGGAAAAATAAATCCGTAAAATTATGCACGTTAAATCGGCACGATGTCTCATGTGCTCCAGTTCTTCGAGATTAATAAATTTCTCGTAATAAATACATGAGGCATTCGTAAATTATTATGATCAGTAGACAAGGAAGAAACAAGCCGAAGGAAATAAATGGATTTGATGTTTAGATGCTGCCTCCATTATATGCCCTGCCACAGGAAAAAGTAAGATAATAAACATAGACCCATGTACCCACCTTTAAAAGAATGATATATACATAAAAAATAAATTCGCAAGAAAATAAAAATAAATTTAAAAAAGCGGTAATGTTTTCTTTTCAACTTTATTCAATGTCCCATCAAATGAGAAAGGAAGAGAGAGGAAGAGTAAAACAAATAGAGATATAATATACAAAAAGAAAAAATTCAATACAGTTACGCATTTTATTGATTTTATAGAAATTAACATTTTTTTTATTTTACGAAATATTTTCAATTAATAAAATTATTTTTAATCATTAATAATATAGAATATATACTACATAATTTACATATTTATGTTAAGAATATTAATTTTTTATACATTTTACGTATAACAAAGAAAATGATAATTTTTACTTATATTTATATACTAAATTATTTTAAATCATAACAAGATATTTTAAAAATAAAAATTCTTTTAAGAAGAGTTATAATTATATTGAAATATAAATGTGCAATTTTTGTATAAAATGAATTGAATGTGAAAAATGACAGTTTTATTATTGTTGTCTACATAAACAGTCATTAAACGTAATCACCTTACACTGTTTTTAATTAAATCACAGTTCAACGAATTCTAAAATGACTTTACCATTACTTTATATATATACTACTTATCATTGTTATAGCATTTATAAAATTTATTTATAAAGTCTTTTTCTTCACTTTTTTAATTATTCTTTTAATTTAATTATTTATAAATCTCCGAAAAATAGGTATCTTCTACCAATCCAAATACAATCTAATATATACTATCAATTTTTTTTATTTTTCGTATTAAATATCACTTTCTATAAGATAGGAATATATAATATTTAAATAAGCTGTGATTATATATACTAACGTTCATCACAAATATTACATTCGTACGTATAATAAATTAAATTGTATTCGAGCATGCACGTAATTATAAATACTTCTTCAACCTTCTATGTTTTAAAAAAGATAAATTATGTTTTTACATAAAATATGAATAAACGTTAATAAAAAGTAAAGTACTTGACCAATATATTTGAACCCTATGCCAGCACGTGATATACTGTCATTTGAAATATAATTGGAAATAACATTATTAAGATTAAATGTAAATACTTATACTGTACGTATGTATAAATTACGTACTAACAGGATTTTTATAAACCATCTTTAAGGATAATATTTTTTTAAGCTATCCATCTAAATGCTCATGTTTTTAAAAAAATATTCATTTATAGACGTAATTTCGTTCTTACATTCTTAGAACGATATTATGCATCATATTACTTATAAAATACAATAACTCATAATATATACGAATATTTATAAATTATAAAATACATTGGAAAATTATTTTACATCGTTAGTATTAAATATATTTGTAAAATTGTACAGATATAATTGTGCATAATATATAAGGCGTAATAGATAAAAATATCAGTTTACATTATCTTTGTTTATGTCATTTAAAATGTTTTATAAAGATAAAGTAGCCAGTGAAAAAAGTGAAGAAGATAAAAAAATATTTAATTTCTGTTTAATTTTAAGTCTTAAATACTGTAACACTTTCCATTATAATCTGTAATAAAGTTATATAAGCATAAATTATTAAATTAATTATAAAATGTTTATATAATATGCACATTTTTTTCAAATAAAAACATAACAGATTTAACGTTCACTTATAGTGACAAATTATAAATAGGATATTGAAGGGTACCATATATGACTAATTGTAAAAAAGAAGTCATATATTATAATATTATCTAGAAATTTATCCACACAGAGTCAATATTAAATTAATAATTAAGTAAGATATGCCAGATTTTACATTTTAAAAGTCACTTATTGTACAATTACATATCGCTGCATGATATAGTATTATTTCTTTAAACAATTATATAAACTTCAATTTGAATCAGACCATTCTTCATCATCTCTGCAAATTAATTACAATTTGATTAGTAATTTTTCAAAAATTAATTAATGATAAAACGCAACCCATCACCACCAGAAGCATTATTTACTGCAAACCAAACACTTCAAAGGATGCAGAAGAATTTTTTGCAATTGTATACCATATATCATCCAAGATTTGCTGAGCAACGTAATAATAATCATATGCACGTACATAAAAGAGGATACAATGAAACTTGCATAAACTTTTGAACATGATAATTCCAGGATTGTTTAAATAAACATATATAGAAGAATCATTAGCATTCTTTTTTTTAGTAGCTTTTTATACGATATAGCCTTATATTTAGTATTAATGAAAATTTCATTTGAACTTGTCTTTGGATAGAAATCATGAAAAAATTATTTGGCCGGAAACTTTAGCACGCCATTATATGGACCGTTTATTTTGAAAGTGGTGTAAGTCTACTTTCTATTACTCAATTTCTTTTACCGACCAATTTTAAATTGTACAAAACATGGGCACTTTTAAAAAAATTAAATATTAACTAGTTATCCATAAAAAGTTTACATTAAATTAAGCATAAATTACGTGATATCTTTTTTTTTTTAACGCTTAACGGACGGGCCACGTAGATCTACGTTTTCCCATGAATTTTTAGTATGTTGTATTACGCTTTTCTTTTATGCACATTGTTATTTTTTCATGATACCATCAGTTACAGGTATAAATATACCGTTATAAAATATTATAAGAAATATAATTGATTTAATAAAACTACAACGCTTTAAATCCATACATTTATGTTTATTTAATTCTCCTGAAAAATGCCCGGAAACTAGGAAAGACAGAGCAGATTCGACCGGTTCGTTTGGTGTTACAAATGGATTTACACCACTTTCTAAATAAACGGTCTATATATAGTATATGTAGTATATTTGTATATACTACCTATATATAAACGGATAATTTTTTTCAGTAAGAAGCACTTTTTTTTAATACGCATTAGACACACTTAAAGAAATATATTAAATACTTAATATCGACCCATGACTAGAATGTCCTTTTTTATTCTTTATCCATCTTTCGTTTCCAGACTCTCCAGAAACATTAATATTTAATTGTGCTGTTGATGTAGTCGTCACGTCGTCATCTGATTCTAATGGACTAATCCTAATTGCTTGATACCATTGGTTCGTTAGATCTGTCATTTGTGATTTACAATCTTTCAGTTCTTGCTGTGTAAATCTTCGAGTAAAGAAAGGAATGAAAAATTTCAGATCCCATCTCGCGAAACCATGAATCCGAGATTGGAGAAAAGATACTTCCATTTCTTCTTCAGTTAGTTCTGACAAATGTTCAGAATCGATTGTTTGACCCTACCAGATACAAAATATAGAATATATAATATGAATAAAATTTGTGTGTATAATTCGCATAACATTTAATCATACCCATTCTCTTGTTTTACTTAATGAAACTTCTTTATCCTTCTTTTTTCTTCTACTATTCTTTGGTTTCTTTTCTGCTCGCAAAAATTTAAGCAATGGCATTGTAGAGCCACCAAATATTAATGTTGTAATTAACACAATAATCAATGTAGTTGTAATAATCACATGACGAGTTTCATCGCTAAAATCTAAGTGAAGAGAGAGTGCATATGATATAGCACCTCGAAGACCACTAAACCACATGATGAACATCATTTTTTTTGTAATTTGATGTTCTCTAAATCGGTTAACAAGAAGAGCTAAGGGAAAAATATTTGCTGCTCTACCAATAAGACACAATATAATAGACCATACGACCAAAGCAGGTTCGACCTGTAAGAAATTAAATAATATAGTAATCTAAGAAACCAATCACAGTTATTGCTAAGGATGTTCAATGAAACTACTCTAATATTATATAATACTGCATTATATATACTTACTCTATGCCTAAAACTAAAGAGAGCTAATCCTAAATAAGCGAAGACACATGTTTCAGCTATAAAAGCTAAAGTTCTCATAGTCTGTTGCATTGTAATCTGAGTAACGGTTGATAAATTAAAATGAGTATAATGTGACATCACTATTCCATTAAATAATATTGCCATAATACCTATAATAATATCACACATTATATAAGAAAAGTGTAATTTAATATTATTATATATGTATATTAAATTAATAAAAAAGATTTTTACCAGATAATTGTATGCCTTCCGCCAAGACATAAGGAGCATATGTAAACACCAGCATCATTCCAAATTCTAGAGATGGATTTTTTCTAAGATCTACATGCTTCAATAGTAAAGCACTTATAAGTGCAAAAACAACTCCAATACCAGCAGAGGCAAAAAACATGAGACAAAATCTATTTATGCCAAGAATAATTGCTTCGCTAGTGGTAGTAGCATTATTAGATTCTAACACCGAGGTAGTTAAAACAATGGATATTGCATCATTTAAAATAGATTCTCCAAAAACTAACATATTCAAAATTGGATCGACTTCTAATGCATGGAAAATTGCAACCGTAGCAACTGGATCTACAGCAGATATTAATGATCCAAATGCAAAACTTTCCACAAAACTAAGTCTATATGCAACCTGTGCTAAACCTAATAAATAAATTCCTGCGCCAATAACAAATGCAGAAATCGTTGTGCCAACAATTGCAAATACCAGAATGCTACCAATATTTTGAAAAAAATTTCCCTTATGTAAATTATAACCAGACTCAAATATTATTGGTGGTAGGAGTACAAGAAAGAAAGCAGTTGGAGAAAAAGCTTCTTCTTTTCTCCAATTTGCTATATTTTGATGGGACATAAGATTTATAATCATGCCAATAGCACCACCTAAGAAAACAATAACCACAGACTCCGGTAGATATTGGAAATTGGTTTGAAGCATAAGATGTATTAATAGAATTCCTAATGCTAATACGCAAAGAACAAAAAATATGGACATGGAACTATTATGTTCCTCTTCTGCAGAACCTTTGTCAGGAAGTACTGGTTCTGCGGGTGTAACCGTTGTTGTACTTGTATTTGTTGCATTAGTGATATCTGGATTTTGAGAAGGATAATCTGTAATCATGCTTCCATTTTTTTCATTAATCGAGGTAGCCGTTACTTCAGTGTTAATTTTTTCAGTCGTTATATTTTTGTCATTTTGTTCAATATTAGCCGATATACTTTGAGATTTTAAAGTCGTCTCAATAACATTAATTGTAGACAATTTAACTTCATCATCAGAATTTTTAGACACATTTACCTTACTTTCATTTTCATTTATCGAATCTGTATTTGTGATTACAGACACTTGACTCGTTGTATTTATAATAATTTTTGAATTGTCAAGGATCGGCAAAACAGTGTTATTTGCCAATGACAATTTATCGTTTTCAAGGTTAGGAACCTCTGTCATAAAAGATGTTTCACCACACATAACATCAAATTGCCATATAAAAAAAAGAACACAACATTTACTCAGCACTTTATATTGTGTTATAAATAGATTCATTTTTACACTTTTCTTTACATAATTATTTCCACGAATTAAATATAAATCACATTACTTTCGAAAGGAATTTAATTACACATATTACAGTTACTTAATTTCTGGTATTCCGCTGTATTCAATGGAATATGAATGGTTAGACTTAAAGTAATATGATAACGCAAGCGTATAAAAATCCAATCAAATGTTAGACGCCATGACACTATTTAGGCGGCAATCAATTAAACCTGTTTTTATCTTACATTATTTCATCCATATTATGGACAATTTCTATGTTATATATAGTCGAAAATAATTCCTTATTGATATTACAATCAATATTTATTTCTATTTTATTTAGTATAATTACAACTATAAAAATTTTCCTATGTTGCATATCCTCTTTTTATATCTGTATATAATAATTCATTGTAATAATTCGCTATATCACTGTATCCTATCTGCGCAGGACATGGAAATCTTTTTCTAAATTTTGCTGAAATCCTTTTCAAGATTGTTCTTGAAGAAATTGCGCTCCTGTAGAGCCAATAGCGACAACACATATAGAATATTAACGTGGATTTAACTGCTAATTTTGTATGTAATTATAACTGAAACATTACCTGGTGTTTTTAAAACTAAAACATCCATTTTATCTATGTGGAGAATATCCTTATCTGTATTTTTAATTTCTCCAGAAATCGATAAAATAATTGTTTTCTTGAATGTTTTTAAATCACAGTAATTTAAACCACTAAGCAGTATTTGCCTAAAATCGATGCAATATTGTGTAGAAAATTTCCTTGAAGCATTGAATATTAAATCAACTTCAAAATACATTGACATGGATCAGAAAAAATCTCGAGAATCAAATATCGCATTCTCTGAACATGCTATCAACAAAGTATCTAACAACAAAGACATCGATCTAAAATAAAACATTAAATGCGCATTTTAGTTATTAAAACTAAATTAATAGATGGATAAGTACAATATTTTCCATATTTCTAGAAAATTAGCTAATTTTGTTGGATCTATTTTACCAACGGACAAAATATATGTCTTTTTATTATTTTGCTTAAAAGTATTTTTAGACATTGATATACATTTCAGATAATCTTTAATTTCTAATAAAATCACAACTATACCTACAACTTTAGCATCTTTAACCACTTGACCTACGATTTAACTTCACGGTTGTGGTGCCGTGCGCTACGATTTAAAGCATATCTGCTCTATACTCTATCTAAAATAATCATTTTTGATGAACTTTTGAAATCTTTAAATTCCACATTTGTGTTTATTGTAATGTATACTTTAATAAGAATAAAATTAAATTATTAAATGTAAGTTGTAAACTGCTGTATATAAATTTTGAAAATAATAAAATAACTTAACTCTATTTCTGATTAAAATAAACTTCATCAATTTTTTCAATTGTATCAATTAATATATATATATATATTAAATATATGTATTCAATTGTACAAATTCATCAATAAACATCAATTTTTCTTTTTGGTAACACATGAAAAACTGATATTTAATTTATAGGATTAAGACAAGCATGTCCAAAATGTATGCTATCAGCATTGACGTGTTGAGCAATAATTATATTGACATAACAACTGGCACATGTAGTGTTTCCCAAAATATTGTAACACTCCGGCACGGAATAAAACAAGAACAAAAACTTTATTCGAAGAGTATTATCAACAATATAATAGACATAAATTCTTAGATAATTCCGCGATCTCTCTTTACACGTATGTACAATGCAACCATTCATAAAGTTCTCCCTAAAACATCTCACTGTAACAATCAAACTGGCTCGTAACAATATATACTTTTTTATTTATATTTTTTTTAGATTTAATGCAATGTTCACTGAATCTATTCAGTAAAAAAATTCAAAATGTCATCTGGGAACTGTAAACATATCTATAAACATATATCATTTTTCATGTTTTACATTGAAATTAATAGTTATGCCATAAAATTAAAAGTATCAAAATATAATATATTAATTATAATACGTTTTAAACCAACAAACCTATATTGAACATAGTATATATATAATATGAATTATCTTATTTTTTACCAAAAATTAAATGTAAAAGAAAGAAGATACAAATCTTTTTTAAATTATGAATTTCAATCCACTTTGTTCATTTTTCTATTTCATAAGAGTATACAGTTGGATTTGTTAATTGTGCATGAACATTCTTTGAATCGTTTATCATGATATTTTTTGGTAAATGTTCACTCATAATAGGAAATGTGTACACTGTTTATTATTCAGTATGAAATATATTTAAAATTATTTTATTGTTATTTTCCAAGGTACTTTCCATAGAATATATGAAATAAGATAAATATAAAAGCATCTTTTTTCATTAACTACACACATAAGATTTAAATACTTTATTCTAGGAAACACTATGTACAATATCCAAGAAGTTTTAAATTTTAAGAAGCTTAAGATTTTTTTTTCTTCTCTCCTCTCTCTGTGTTTTCAACATACCCCACTGAAGCACATTTTATAGATTGATTAAAACCCTCTAGGCATTCTATAGAATGACCAAGTGATGTCTGAAATACATGCTCATTATATATATTGCCCAATTTTAATGAGCATTCTATAAAATGCCCCGAGTAATCTATATAATGCCCAGAATATATAATATATATTGACAGTAACATATATATACATATGGGGCATGCCACGGTAAATCGACTACTTTTGACACCCGACCCCTTTAAAAATATTTATTTAGTATGAAAACAAAATTACATTGCGAAAAAACAAAAATTTTGAATTAGTAAAAAAAAAAATAGAAAAAAATGTCAGCCCATCTAGACAAGGTATAAATTAAGTTTAGAATGAACCAAACTTTAAAAAAAAAACGAATAAAAAAAAATCAAAAATACCAAAATTTGAAAAATTTGAGATTCTTTCCAAAAGAACTAAATTTCTTAAATAATTTGATTTTGAATATTTTTTTAATATTTTTTTTTCAAAAAGTACATTTAAAAACAAAAAATTTAAAAAGTAAACATCTCGATAAGTCAATTTTTGACAAAGTTATGGCTATTTGAACAAAAAAAGCCATTTTGAAAAAACATTCATAATTTTTGTGGGTTAGGCATAAAAATTAAAAAAAAAAAAAAAATACTCACAAAAGGTTTTTAATGAACTTGAAAATGATAACAAAGTTTCAGCAAAATCGAAAGGGGTCGGGGTCAAAAGTGGTCAATTTGATGTGGAATGCCCCATATACATTATATGAATAAAAACAAGGTGTTGTGCATGAATCCAATCAATGCCTGAATACATATAGATATCACGTATTATACAAAGTAGCACGAAAAAAATTAACAAAAAATTAATAAAAAGAGTATGATCCGCATTAATATGCATTATTTACTATCTCAGATTTCTAATCAGATTATTATAATATTTCTTTATTAAGGAAATCTTAATAAAATGTTGAAATTACTTACGATTTATTCATTAAGAGAGGAGCTTGAGCTGTTTTTGGAACATTTGAATTTGTCTTAAGAGACCTGCAAGTTTCATTGAAGTCGAAACTTCTTTTGGAGTATTTGTAATAGTTTGGCGTTTCATACTGAACACATGCATTGCATCTCTTGTACAATTCTTGCTTGTTTTATTTAAACTAACCGGAGTAGAAGAATACATTTTATCAGTTGCGGGAACCTTCGTATCAATGCATACAAAACTATTTTTCTGTTGTATTATTTTCATTTGTTGTTTCAATGCCATAACCTGTATAAAATATGAGGAAAATAATATTAAAAGTCAGTTACCCATAACTGTAATAGCATGAAGTCATCAATTATATACTATGTCTATTTTATATACATATAACAACATACATATATATGTATGTTTTAAAAGAATGATATATTTATAGAACAATAATTATACAAACTGTATGCAATATTATCTTACCTCTTTATAAAGACTAATCAACGCATTTATTTCTTCTTCTTTGGAATTCAATTCTTTTTCGAGCGTAACGATTTCGTTCATTAATGATTGATCATTAGTATTTTCTGCTTCTTTTCGTAAATTTTCATATTTCCTGTATATAAAATGCATGTAAGTATTCTTGAAAAGAATACAACATTTGTGTAAAAACTTACACGTTCATTGCTTCAAATTGATTATGAAGATTCATTAAGACTTCTCTTATTCCTTTTGATTCAGATAATCGTATATTTGATTTGAAATTAGATTTAATAAAGTCCACCGTATTGTGCTCTTCCTATAATATTTATTTTTAGAGATATAGATTAATTTATTAGCATCTATTTGTCACTTACTTTTGAAACAGAATGCATTGTTTGCGGATAGTTTTTGAAATTACACTTGGAAGTAAATTTTGTTGCAGTATTTTTTACAGGAGAATAGTAATCCTTGATTGATTCTCTTCCTGCTTGAATTTTCTGTTTTTCTATGTTATCAAGGTTAATGCAAGAATTAGTTTCACTCTGTACGATAATTTGCGGTTTCACTTGAGGTTGTATTGTTGGAGACTGTTTTATAAATTTTGAAGACGATTGACCATCATATAAACATTTGTTCTCTAATATGCTAACAATGTGATGATCATTTCCCATCTCAATAACCATTTGATTCATAAGAGTAGATACAGGTTCTAATCCTCTACTTACTTTACGTATAAGTAATGGAGTAATTCCAGTTGTATTTGGTTGCCTTGTTTTCATAATACTTAATACCTACCACATTATAAAAACAAATTTAAACATAAATATAATATTTAACATTCTACATTAAATATACTTGTTGAATATTTAATCCTAAATTGTGACTAGGAGTTACTGAAGTTCCCACTACAAATGGTATATTCCTAAAATTAAATCTGTTAAAATATGATCGATTTGTCCTTTTTAATTTAGAAGCTAAAGTTGGCATCTCATAATTACGATTAACCATTGGAACATAACACGCTAAATCAAATATTGTGTTCTGTTGTTGATATAATTTAGGCTCATTATTAGAAATTGCTATTTTGTCTATATTTTGAGTTGATTTATAAGCGTATTGATCTTTAACCCTAATTTATGAAAAGAATATTATATCATTATCTTATAATTAAAATTAATTACATTTTTTTTAATGAACACTTACGTTGTAATCTCTTCAGAAGTAGGATGTAGCTTATTATCATTATGATATTCATTTGTTTGATGATTCTGATAATTTTGAGATTGATTATAAATGTGAGGTAATTTTATATGTATATTACATTGACCATTGTTTAGCCGTTTGTTCATTTTTTTCACTTCAAGTTTACTGGAAATTGCAGAAATGCTATCACTCTTCATAGCAGCATTATGATAAAGTTCTACTATTCCACTCCAATTGTGTTGAAGTTTAGAAGATGGTACATATTGCTCAAATAATTGATGATTTGTTCTATGATCTGTGATATTAATTGTGTTAATAATAAATTTATCAAAAAAACAGAAACTTAAAAAAATATTTTACTTTTCTGTTTAGGTTTTCTAACATCTTTTCTTGCAGTTAAATTCATTTCTTTGGTAGCTACTGTACTTTTCGAATTAATATTACGTAATTTTCCTCGTCTCTTCTTAATTTTGTTATTAATTGTTTGATCGCCTTTACAAGTAGATTGTTTTTTATCTATATTAACAGCATTAATTGCAGACTCCTTATTTCCTTTGATTAAACTTCTACATTTGGACATTTGCGAACTTTTTATATTACTAGAAATATTCAACCTTAATTTTTGTAAATTAATATCAGGACTTGTAAAAGATGAAATTTGACTGGTCCATTCGGTTGGATTATTTATTATCAATTGTTCATTTGGTTCTTTAAAAGAAAAAATATTCTTTTGCGTCATATATTCTATCTCTTGCTTTTTATCATCGCAAATCATATTTTCCAAAAATTCCTTTTTTTCTTTCCCTTTCTCTTCCTCTTTTGTTTCATGTGTAGTCGATTTTAACGTTGAGCAAACAGAAATAGAATCAAGCATTCTATACAATTTTTCAGTTTCATCTACTTTTGATACTTTTTCGTTACACATATTCATTTCTATAATATTAATAAATAATAATAGTTTAAAAATTACTAAAATGAAGTATTTGACTTATACCATTGTCTCCTTGAATTCTTTCTTCAGAATTTTTATTTTCTTGTATAAAATTAAAATAATTTGGATTTGTTATATCATTGACATTTGAATCACAAAGATTGATGTTACAATATGTTTTAGAATTTTCTGGTATTAAATTATGTTCTTGAGAATTATCAGTAATTGTTTCAATTATCGGTTCTACTTTTGTCTTATCTGTTTTAATTTGACAATACATTTTCATATAATTTATTTTAGATTTCAATGAGCCGCATTTTGTTTCTGCTACTTTTAATTTTCTACAGCATTGCTCCAACTCTAAATTAATCAATAAATTTGTATATAAATTTATCATAAATTAATTTAAATATATTCAAAATATAGAAGAGAAAATTAAAACCTGTTCGCCTGATATCTGCTCCATTTTTTTTAGTTGTCATTGTATCAAATTATTTATTATATAGAATTTAAAAATTTATCTGCGAATATTTGAATTATTATAAAACATGAAAGAAACTGAGTAAACATTAAATGTTTAGGTTTAAATTTAAGTTTATCATTTGAATATGTTTATAAAAAAAAGACAATAATTAACAAAATTTCTCAAAAAATAAATATTATATAAAATATTTAAAAATTAAAAAAGGTTACGCGCAGGTTACGTCTCTAGAACTATTAATAAAAAAAAAGTTGTTTAAAAATCTGTTTCTTTTGTTTATAAAAAAAAAGAGTAATTATATAAAATTATATACCTGATATTTATGCGAAGGATGAATTGATCATAGTAAAAAAAAGAACTAATTTTAAAATACTAAACAAAAAAATTAATATAAATAAAATTAATTAATATAAATGAAATCAATATAAATTAGACTTAAGAACAGATGAGCATCGTTTGAGAGACTTCAGAAGTTAACTGTTTTATGATTTATTATTATTAGAAATGTTATAAATACATAATCTGTAAATAATAAAGATAAAATATTTCATACAAAATTTCAGTGTTAAAAATGAAAGATTTAAATGAAAATCAATCTGAAAAAAGAAGAAACAATTAGTGTTATTGTATCATTTGAAATCTAGAAAAAACGGCGCGAAATACATTTAAATTGTGAATAAAATTCACTACAATCTCAATACACTATTCTACCGCTAGGTGCGTTAAAATCAACTTCTTTAATGTATTTTAAAGAAGACGTAAATCGGTGTACCTGCGAGTTGCAAATGGTGGACGGCCTGGCATTATTGCTCTGTGACATCAGGTAAACATTTATTTCTGATTATTTTACATTTATAAGGATTATAAAATATAATTATAATTCTGGAAAAAACCTACTAAAAGTTAATACAAAAAGCGGCACTTGACGATACGGATTTCGTTAAATATTTTCAAAATTCCTTACGATTACGTAAAATTTTTACACCAGACGAAAATAGTCAATTGATCCTTAATAAACCAAACCTTGCATTCACCAGAAAGTTGATTTTTCCCGGTAACTCAACCATTAGATATCTCTATCTTTTTCTTTCTTTTTCTCTTATAACAAAAAGATAATTAACCGAAGAAGTATAGAATATTTATCTAAGAGTAAAAAATAAAGATAAAGAATTAAATCTTATTTTATATATATATATATATATATATATATATATATATATATATATATAAAAGATATATATATAAAATAAGATTTAAATAAAGGAATTATATATAAATAGTTAATTCTATTCGTACTCTGTGAAGTGCATCAGATATACATAGGTAAATTTCGATATACGTATTGAATAGTTCTTATATCTATGAATATAATCAATATAACAAACTAATATGTATCACGAACGATTTTTGATCAGTAACATGCGTTTGAAATTAGTGTCACATAATTTTGACATATACTATATACGCGTATATATATATAATATATATATTATATATGCACCTGTATATTGTATATTAATATCGACAAATAAAATTTCTCTCGACATAGATAGATCGATTTGCGATATATTTTGATGTTCTAGAACATTTATAAATATTCCGGTATTATTTTAATCGATTATTTTGTAGATTCGTCTTATAGAGGTTAGTAATAATTAGGTTAGTATGACGTTAGCAATGGGTTAGTATTGTGTAATATCCTGCAACAAACTATATATGTGTATTGATGCGTATCGCTTTTTTTTTTTCTTTTCGATTGTATTGTAAGACGTATATATTTATTTGTTGGTGCGTGCGCGTACGAATCTACGCGCTTATATGCATATAGTATTACATATCTTTATAAACACTTTTTAATTTATCTTTTTAAAATGATAAAAATATTTATCACAGTAACCGATGATGTTCTCTAATGTTTTACGTCTTTAAGTAACTTATACTTATTTACGTTAATCATTGTTTGTGTTATTTCAGACTAGTTTGGTATGTAATGTTTTTTGTTGAAATATCTAATGCACAATTTAATTTACATTACATCAATGAATTATTTAATATAAGAGTTTAAAAGTCTGATTTATTTATAAAATTTTCCATACTTCTTTTTTCATATTACAGAATATGTTTTGGATCATTGCTAATTTTTTAAATAATATTCTATATTTGCGTCTATATGTTAACTGTTATTGTTATTTTTATCCAAAAATTTGTTTATTATTCTATAATCATATTTAAATTATAGGTAAAATGTATAAAGCCAGGACGATGCTGAACACCTTGGTGCCTTTGGCACCACGTGTGTGTGGACCGGAAAGATTTGCTTCATGGTTAGTACGTAGTCATCCTTTGGCTAGAACAACTCAAACCATAGTCGCAACACCGGCTCGGAAATATAACAGTCGTGTTGCTACTGAACCTTTCTTAAATGGTAGTACCAGCTCTTATGTAGAAGAAATGTACAATGCATGGTTGCAAGATCCTCACAGCGTACATGTGGTAAGTATTCTTTTAATTGTATTAAATATAACATGTTACACATTAAATATGTATAACATTTTTGTATAATTTTATGTGTGAGTACTCATCGATTTATGTTTTTGCAGTCATGGGATTCATTTTTCCGTAGTAGTACTGCTGGAGCTGGTCCAGGCCTTGCATATCAAGCTCCACCATCTCTTGCTCCAAGTCATAATCAGGTACCACTTGGAGCATTGTTGCCTCTCGGCGGTGGATCTCAAATAAGTCAGATGCCCATTAATGAAAAAATTATAGATGACCATTTGGCAGTACAAGCCATTATTCGTTCCTATCAGGTATGATATCGTCTTTATTATTTTGTTGATTATATCTTATTTGGATTAATTTTTTTTACCATGCTTATTATTTAATTTTATATCAATAAAAGTGATTAGATAGAATGTTTAACTTTTTAAAGTATTTTATTTTCTTTTATTTGAATTTATTGAGAAGAATGAATTTATTTAAAAATATATATCTAGAATTATGAGATATAAAAAAAATATAAATCAAATGAAAATATTATATATATTACACAATATTTATTCTATTAAAAGTTATGTCAATTTTTATTAATTTTATTAATTCAAATCACAGATAATGTATCACTGGTAATTGTACGATTTAGTCAGTTTATTGCCCGCATATTTCATTTTTATTTGAATTTTTATGTTGTCATAGCATGTATTATCTATCTATATCAAATACATGTGTGTTACATGTTTAGGGGAAATCATAAATATCTGAATGCATGTAGAATTATATCAAATACTATGCTTAACCATCTAGCACAAAATTTATTAAACAAGTTTTTGTGTATATTTGCATATATTAAAGATGTTAAAAATTACAATTTCTGTTTTAAATTTAGAAAAAATCTATTGAAGCAGAATGTAGTTGTTCAAAGCTCAGATGGTTGACGCATTGTTTTCTATTCTTTATTGTTTAGGACTATCATATGTGTTTAAAAATATTTAAACATGAGGTGTCTTAAGATTGTATCATGGTTGAATGTTGCATAATGACCCTTATATCATATGATTACACTGGCTGTACACTGTATCTTCTATTTCAAGCATGTCATGCAATTTATATTTTTCTCTTTACTCAAAATAATCTATCTTTAAATAATTTTAATATGAACAATGTTCCTGCTCAATGATTGCTTGTCGTAATTACAAAACATCTCTCGTATACATTTTTTAATGAACGAGGAAAAAGCAGTAGCATCGCATTAATAATTTTTTTTCTTGGGTTTAATTAATATTTTTTTTTATTTAATCAAATATGCTCCTTTTTGATTACACTAATTAATCAATTTTACTTTAATGATATGTGAAGAATTGATGCGATTATTAGTACACCTTATATAATTTGAAAAAATTAGAAATTAACTGATGAAGCGTTTGTACATATAACTAATACAATTGTTTGATACTATATATTTATCATGAACGTGATGGTGATTATTTATTTAAAAAATTTACACAATTAGTTAAACAAAATATATATATATATATATATATATATATATATATATGTGAGGTCTATTTGTTGGGATTATTCATTGGCATATAGGCTCGAGGTCACTTAGTCGCTGATTTGGACCCACTGGGTATCATGCAAACAGACCTGATACATACACATTATGCAGCCCGCAAGGGAGCTCCAGAACAAGTTCTGCGACAATACATGCTTGGTAAGGCTTTGTCCTAAGCCATTTCTTTGAGCTATCATTTAAAATTGTTAATTTGCCTGTGTGCGATAAGGTAAAGGTGTACTAAATATATTCTACTAAAAAAAGTATATTTTCCAAACTTTAATGACATGCAATTATTAAGAGCATTCTTCATCCTATATTATATCACCTTATGCCAATATGCACACAGGATATCTTGTCACATACATATGTATGATGTTCATTTGCATTATCTCCTTTTTTAATCATGTATATGTGTATATATCTATATTAATTTATTTATTTTTTGTTATATAAATTTTTATATGATGTTATCTAAATTATATTTCAAAAAATATATAATTCTTTATTTTAATATTTAATGGCTCGTTGACATTATGCATTTGGTATACAAGATATTTTTAGTTATATACACATATACAATGTTAAGATTTATTTAAATTAGAAAATTGTGATTTTGATATCATGGTTATTCCCTTTATATATTTGTATATTTTGGGTGCAATGGAGGAAAAAGGGGTAAATGTGAAAACATCATAGTTTTATGCTGGTACTGAAAATGTATTGCTTATGTATAATGATGAAATATTTATGAAGGAAAGGTACATATCAGGAAAAAATCTAAAGTATAATATCAATATTTATTTGTTTTATTTTGTTAATGTATTTTGTCCAATGAATATCTGTATACAACACGTGTACAACACTGTATTCAAACACATGTTTGTAAATTTGCAGATCAAATCATTTATTGTATATGTTAACCCTTTGAGTGCTGAATACTTTTAACTAAAATGATTTGTAGGAACGGAATAATTTATTATTAACTAGATTCTAATAATAAAATATATTTAATAATTAAAGTTTTTCTTTCTGTGAATATAATTTAATTAATTAACATAAACATTACATTATTTTACATTAATATTGACAAACACGTATATGCGTCGATAGACCACTCTGGTAATTTTTATTAAACACATATATGCGTCCATAGCACTTTAAGGGTTAAAGAAAACAAACAAAGTTATATTTACTACTAAAGTATATTTACTGCTAAACATTTTTAATTACATATTAATATGTATACAAAACAATATAGGTAAGAATATAATCTATAAGATATACTTTCTATTGCTTTGCACGTACTTATGCTATTATATATGTTTCCGCTTTACTTTTTTTTGGCATGTTCAATGTAACTTGAATATTTATTCGATTACTTGCTTTATACGAGTTTTTTGCTTTACTACCAAACTCCATATAAAAAAAGGAATTTATTTATTTTTGTATAAACAAAGGAACTATTGTGAAAATCGAATGTATTTATTATATGTATATTTGTGTTTAATGTTAATTGTATATAATAGTTATATTTTAATTTTTAATATTTAAATTATATCATACAAAATTATGATTTAAAAAATAAATACAGAATACAGAATAAAAAAAATTCTGTAATCTGGTGTCTCCGAATTTGTAAATGAAATTCGGTCCGTATGAATATGGCATTACATTGACAGATTCGTGGCCATCATATCGCAAAATTGGACCCACTTGGAATCAACAGTGCAGATCTTGATGATAGGCATCCTCAAGAGTTGCTCTATAATCATTACTCATTCGGTAAGCCCAACTAAACGTGAATATGTGTAAAAAGAGGAATATTTAACATAAAAGATAAAGGAGCACCTGTACTTAACAGTTTAAAAAAAGATATAATTATATTTATATTAGTTAAGATTATATATTGTAGAGGAAACAACACGCATACATATAAAATCTTTTATTTAACAATTAATCACAATCATTAGTTTATGTTTTGCTATTTATTTAGCTTAATATGTAATAGTAGTCATTTTGATATAAATATGCACAATAGCGATATTTAATAAGAAAGTTTTATTGCCCAAGAGAAGTTACGTTATCATCTAGTCTTTTTTGGACACAGAATTAATCTTTTATATCGTAAACTAAGTATAGATTGTCTTTAAAAAAACTAACAAGATTTGTAGATTAATTAGTTTCTAAAAACACGTACACATTATTATGACATTTATTGTTTTATCCGTTTTTAAGTAAACCTTATCGTTTATATTATAAATGTATATGAAATTTAAACTTTCAAATAACCAGTGAATCTTTGAACCAGTGAACTAGATGATATTTATTAAAAAATTTAGTTATATATAAACTTATGTGAATACATTTAAGATATATATTATTTTTTATGGAAATGTGTTACCAAGATTCACTCGAACTCAAAGTGCGTTTTCACAAAAGTACTTCGGTAGTAAGTACAAATAAAGAATGAAGTGAAAATTAGCTCTCAAGTTTATTATTGAGTTTGAGTCTGATGTCCACAGGGAGGGGACAACGCACTACTTACGCTCAGGAACTACAATACCGAGTAGCTGCTCTTATGAAAAGTATGTAATTATTACATCCAAAGCAGAAATTCCTTCTGCAGTTCTCTTTTTCATTTGTATTATTCTCTGGAAGGCACTGGTTCATTTTGGAAGTATATACGGTTTCTAATGTCACAATAAAGGTGCTTGGGAACTATTACACTACTGTACATGTTAAAACTATTTTTTCTTTATTTTTATTAAAAAAAAATTAATTTATTAATTATTATTTTGTTGTTGTTGACAAAGTACTGGTGAAGGTCCACGTGCATGTTATAATGATTAATTCAAAATCATATAAATAATATAGAGCTAAGGTGTAAGAAAAAAATATGACCTTCCTTTTTGACTTTTAAACTAATCGCTTTGCATTAATTTTATTTGTATTATTTTTTAATTATTATTATTATATTTATAGTTTTGTTAGTAATTATTATTACTTTTTTTTTTAATAATTTCATATAGCATTGATTAACTTGTAATTGTTTAGTAATATGCTTTTCTCGATTTTTTAAATTTGTTTAGTAGATGTTTATAACATTAATATGCTTCTTGTGTACATATGTATAAAGCTTTATATGATTTGAGAAGAATAATAAACAGCATTTAAATTTGATGAAATACTTACTAAATGCTTTACACGCAGTTTTATAAGAAAAGCTATTATATTTGTCGATTTGAAATTTGCATGAAGTTTAATTAAAGTTTGCACATTTAAGTTTTCTTTTAAGAAGACATGTGTTCCTGTATGTATTAAATAACTAAAGCATAAGACTTTAAAATTGAATTTTAAGATGAAAAGTTTATATACGATATGTTACACAGTATATATTAAATACAATTTCAGTATCAGTTTTAATTTTATAGAGAAGTGTAAATATAATGTAGAAATATAAATCTATTATATTTTTTATGTTTATATCTTTCTATAATTTCTGTGATTGTGTTTGTAAATGAAAAACAAAAAATATTATTATCAGATAAATTCAATAAAATATTATATTTATCACGATTTAAAAAATTTCCATTATAGTATAAAGGTACATTAACAAAAGATATCTAATAATAATATTTTCGATTATAAGTCATAGGTAATTTTTTAATTTGTATAGATGATCATTAATGAAATTAAAATTGTTAATTTTATTATTTAAACAGAGGAATCAGATATGGATCGCGTATTTAAATTGCCATCCACTACTTTTATCGGCGGTAAAGAAAAATCATTACCGCTGCGTGAAATTCTTAAAAGATTAGAAGCAACTTATTGCGGTCATATCGGCGTAGAATTTATGTTCATTAATTCCTTGGAGCAATGCAATTGGATTCGACAAAAGATGGAAACTCCTGGTATCATGGAAGTTACAAACGATGAGAAACGACTTATTTTGGCTAGATTAACTCGAGCAACAAGGTAATTTAATTATCAACTGATAGTTACAATATTCTCTCTCTTTTGAAAATATATTTAATTAATTTATTTTTAGGTTCGAAGCTTTCCTCGCACGCAAGTGGTCATCTGAAAAAAGATTTGGATTGGAGGGTTGTGAAATCTTAATTCCTGCAATGAAGCAAGTAATAGACAAATCTACAGAGCTTGGTGTGGAATCTATTGTTATGGGTATGCCTCATCGTGGTCGTCTCAACGTTTTGGCTAATGTCTGTCGTAAACCATTGAGCCAGATATTTACACAATTTGCTGCACTTGAAGCTGCTGATGATGTATGCATATAAATTATCTAATTTATTTATATTATTAATCATATTACTTTCTAATGACAAAATAACTATTTGTTAAGGGTTCTGGAGATGTGAAATATCATTTGGGAACATACATTGAACGTCTTAATCGTGTAACAAATAAAAATATTCGTTTAGCAGTTGTGGCAAATCCATCTCACTTGGAAGCAGTTGATCCGATCGTACAAGGAAAAACTCGAGCTGAACAATTTTACAGAGGGGATGGTGAAGGTAAAAAAGTATGTATTTGATCAATATAAATTATTATTATTATTATACATGCATGAAAGAATGAATTATATTAATGTTATTAAATCCTTGTATTAGGTAATGTCCATTCTCCTTCACGGTGACGCAGCATTTTGTGGACAAGGCATTGTATTTGAAACTATGCATCTATCAGATTTACCAGATTATACAACTCATGGTACTATCCATATTGTTGTTAACAATCAAATCGGTTTTACGACGGATCCAAGACACTCCAGATCTTCTCCTTATTGTACTGGTTAGTTTCATGCATTCGTTTATATATTTTTTATATCTTAGGAATTATTTTTTAAAACATCATTTTTCCAGATGTTGCCAGAGTGGTAAACGCACCAATTTTCCACGTAAACTCTGATGATCCTGAATCTGTAATGCACGTATGTAAAGTGGCTGCTGAATGGAGAGCAACATTTCATAAAGATGTTGTTATTGATATAGTTTCATATAGACGTAATGGACACAACGAAATTGATGAGCCAATGTTTACGCAACCTTTAATGTATCGTAAAATTAGACATACACCACCGGCTCTTGATAAATATGCTAAATCACTTATCGATGATGGCGTTGTTACAAAGGAAGAAGTAAAGGTATACTATTTGTCTTTCTATTCTTTTTAATCATCTAATTATTATTTCATGTTCATATTACATATTCATATTTTTCTATAGGATGTGCAAGATAAATATGAAAAAATATGCGAAGAAGCATACGTGAATGCTAAACAAGAAACACATATTAAATATAAAGATTGGTTAGATTCTCCATGGTCTGGTTTTTTTGAAGGCAAAGATCCATTGAAAGTATCTCCTACTGGAATTAAGGAAGATACACTTGTGCATATTGGAAAGAAATTCTCGTCTCCTCCACCTAATGCCGCAGAATTTGTGATTCACAAAGGTTGTGTTTAATTATTCAAAATTTTACATAAATTACAATGAACTATCATGATAATCTCTAATTATTATTTTCAATCAAGGTATCGAACGTATTTTAAAATCTCGTATGGAAATGGTCGAAGCTAGAACAGTTGATTGGGCTCTTGGAGAAGCAATGGCATTTGGTTCTCTTTTAAAAGAAGGAATACATGTAAGGTTGTCTGGTCAAGATGTGGAACGAGGTACATTTTCACACAGGCATCATGTCTTGCATCATCAAACTGTTGACAAAGCTACGTATAGGCCACTTTGTTACTTGTATCCCGATCAAGCTCCTTACACTGTGTGCAACAGTTCTCTTTCAGAATTTGGTGTTCTTGGTAAGATAAAAAAAATTAAACTCTTATATTCTCAATTAATTATATATTTGAAGATATATCTTAAATTAATTACATTTATAATTTAATTTAATAGGTTTTGAATTGGGTTACTCCATGACGAATCCTAATGCATTGGTATGCTGGGAGGCACAGTTCGGTGATTTCAACAACACAGCACAATGCATAATCGATCAGTTTATTAGTAGTGGACAAGCTAAATGGGTACGTCAGTCTGGACTTGTTATGCTCCAGCCTCATGGTCTAGAAGGAATGGTAAGTTTCATAAATAAACACGTGTTAGAAGTGAAACCTTCAAAAAACTAAGTTTCGAGAGAATGAGACGAATGCAAAATATCAGGTATAGGATAATTGTAGGGGGTTTATTTGTTATAATATTATTATTATAATATTGTTACCAAATTCAAAAATTATTTTACGTTTTATTGACATATAATACATAACATATTACACAATAAGCAAGTTCTCAATTTGAAGAAATGAGGTAACTAAAATATGTATGGTAATTAAACACCTCTCTGCGTGCACGAAATGCACGACGCGTTCCGTCGAACTCTTTGAAACTTTGCTAATATTTTCTTTCTGCAGATTTTCACGACACTGTTCGGCGTTATTTTTCAGTAAAGAGACACTTGAATCACAATTCACAATATCCAATTGCGAATCATCTGAATAGAAAATAAAAAATAATGATACAAAAGTAATCTATTGAGATTATGCTTGTTTAGTATGAGTAGAAAGAATTAAGAAAGAAATATATTGATTGAAAGCTATTTAATGACTTACGATGATCGTTTTCACTATTTCTAATAGTGGACGCATTATTACCCGCATTAGAGATATTATTCTGCACATTTAATAACGCCTTTTGGAGTGCACGAAATGTACGAACACATTCTGTTGAACTCTTTGGAATCTTCCTTATCGTGTTTTTCTGCTTAATTTCACACTTTTTTTCTCTAGTTTGCGGCATTTTTTTTTATTGTTAAACAGATATATGAAAAATAAAGTCTTCTGGCCTAAACGAAAAGCTATGATGAGGGGAAAATGAGAGAAATTAAAATGAAAAATAAAACATGTGATCGAACCTAATAGATGGTATAATAAAACCTTATTTGTTCGTTAAAGGAAAGATTCCCTTCCTAAAAAACCCTAGTTTATATATAAAAAATATAATATCGTCCAAGCAAAAATAGGACATGTAGCTTACCTTCTTTTGACTTCGCCTGTATGCAAATGCAACGATGAAGTCTTATTTATAATAAATATAAATGATAGTGTGGAACTTAACCTTGTTTGTCGAATTTCGTCAACTCTTAGTTGCTTGTAATGTTATTTATTCACAGATTGTCTAAGATGTATCGCCGTAGACGTCCAGTGAAGAAATAGGAAAATTTTTTTTGTAATGGACAAAGTACGGTTGGTTGATTATGTTGGTTATGAAAAACCGTTGATGGTTAACGTAGCAACGCTCTGACATAGCAACATCATGCCACGCGCAGAGCTTGCCTTTGCTTTGACACACACACACAAAAAGCTTAGTAGCCAGGAGCGGGGACTACGAATCAAAGACTGAGAATAGGAAAAACTGTATAGCTATATTCTGTCTCGTTCTCTCGCAGGCTCAATCCTATATGTTTGTCTCTTTTTCTCTTCTTATTTAGTATCGCGGCCGTTTTATAGCCGCCTACCGCTCCGTTACATTTTTTTCAAATCACATCCATTCTAAAGAAGTTTTCACTTCAAAAATGAAAATAGATTGCTAAGTGCTTAAGTCTTCATAATAATATATTTGTAGGGACCTGAACATTCAAGCGCTCGTTTAGAACGTTTCTTGCAAATGTCTGCTGACGATCCGGATTATTTTCCACCAGAAAGCGAAGAATTTGCCGTAAGACAATTACATGACATTAACTGGATCGTTGCCAATTGTAGTACACCAGCTAATTACTTTCACATTCTAAGAAGACAAATAGCATTACCGTTCCGAAAACCATTGATAATGATGACACCCAAATCTCTACTTCGTCATCCAGAAGCAAAGTCAAGTTTTGATTTGATGCTAGAAGACACCGAATTTCTGAGAGTGATACCTGAGGAAGGGCCAGCTGCAAACAACGCTAGTAATGTTAAAAGATTAGTTTTCTGTTCTGGCAAAGTCTACTATGATTTGAAAAAGGGACGTTCTGAAAAGAAACTTGATGATCAAATTGCTATCGCCAGAGTTGAACAAGTAAATATAAAGGATAAAACATTATTCTAATTCTTAAAAATGTTTTTATTTATATTATATTCTTTACAGATTTCACCATTCCCATATGACCTTGTGAAAAAAGAAGCTGCTAAATATCCAAATGCAGAATTAATATGGTCTCAGGAGGAACACAAGAATCAAGGCGCATGGACTTATGTGCAACCAAGATTCCACACTGCACTCAATGGAACGCGCGGTGTTACGTAAGTATCATTTTACAGATTTTGTTTTTTTTTAATTCAAATATCAAAGAAATTCTATAAGAGAGTACTTTCCTTGATCCCTCTATTGTTGATGCACGATCATATTCTTTTTTTTTTAACACTAGATTTACGGAACCCGTCAAAATGACAGGTTTTCGATTCAATCCTTAAAAATTCTGAACATGTAAACATTATTCTTTATTATTCTTAAAATATTACATATTCGTTTTTTATTATATAATGCAGTGAATATATATTTTTAGTCATGTTCTCTGGAACACCTTTATTTTATTATTTCTACATGTGGTATACCTCTTTTTACAAAAATACGTCTATTTAACGGTTTAAGTTATATAGATAGACAATATCTGGAAATAATAGAAATGAAATAACAATGAATAAGAAAAAAGAACACTAAACAAATGACGGCTATTTTCCAGTAAATATACAAGTTTGGACTTGTTGTCTACCGTTAGATCAAACCTTTTCATATCACAAATGCTCACGGTTTACTGGTGAGCTTTGCCGGTAAAAGAAGTTATTTTTGGAGGTGAAACATCTCTTATTATTTTATAAAACAAGTAGATCAAAGTGAAAGATTATAAGATAGAGTTTACATATAAAAAAATGTATTGAAGACAACAGTACATGAAAATCTATTCGCTTCAACTTAGAGTACTTAGTAGTCAAAGGGTTAATAAATAATTTCAAACAAAATTGCATTTTAACATGCCCGTCAAAAAGACGGATTTCAGTAAAAAAAGGTATACAGGCAATGCCCATAAATCTAGTGTTAATATGAATTAATTTGAATTTATTTGAGTCTCTAGATTCATATAGAAAAGAGAAGAAGATATGTTTGATAATTCTGTGATATGATTGACGAGAAATACGTAAATGTAATTATTAATAATCATTCAGATTGTTTAATAATTACATTTGTATGTATGAGAGAGTGAGTTTTATACATTGAAATATTTCTTTTATTTTTTTGTTATAATTTTGTCTGTTCACATGGCCCACATTTTTCCACTTTATTAGTATGTTAGTAATAATAATACTTATAATGTTATAATAATGGTTCATTCAAATTTCACACTTATTTAAAAAAGAAAAAGCAAATGTCTTTAGAAGAAAATAAAAAATGAAAGAAATTTGGGCCATGTTACAGTTTTGAAGATGCGACAAATTCCAAAGCAAGTGAAAGTAGTGGAGGATGGTTAAGTGATTGGTTTTCTTCATTGAAACCAGTAAAACCTACTCCTATGCCTGAGTCATCAGATTCTAATAAACCTAAGCCAAGAATAGTGAGGTAATATCGATGGCACATTGCTTATGCTTCACTTATATGTATATCGCTGTAAATTATACATTATACATTTATTTATATTACGCATTTCGTAGAAAGAGAGAGTCCTTTGTTTGTTTTTTTGTTTATTTATTTGTTTTCTTCGTATTATCAAATATAATTAGATCAATAATTTTTATTTTACAGATATGCAGGCCGTCCCACTGCAGCGTCTCCCGCAACAGGTAGCAAAATGCAACATCTAAAGGAACTTAAACAAATCCTGGACGATTCATTGAATGTTTAATAATCCTTCGTTACGCTATGTAGAAACAAATTTTATTTATTCTATTATACCATATTTGTTAATGCTTTTCCTCTTCTATTTTACACTTTACACTTACTACTTTACGGAGATAATATCACCATTCAACTATGTAAATGATTTCTTTGCTAACGACCAACATTTAAAATCAACTGATACACATGGATATTTTATCTGACTAATGCAAGATGTATATTTGTTATATATATATAATATTATTTATATGGCTTATATTTTTAATTGCATGAACTTTATGGGTAAACGAAGCTATATATATTATATAATTTTTATTTTGTATTTTTTATCTCTCTTTTTTTGTTAATAATTAATTATTACTTTTTATATAGTTACCCATATATTCTTGCAGTGAATAATACATATATGTAACATCTTTTTTCATTTACTACTTAAATATAATTAAATGTTATTTTGTTTCTTTGATTAGCGTACGCATAAATATTTTACAAATAAATATACATGCTAAAATTAAATTAAAATTTCTGAAAAAGTAATTTTCATTCGTTTAAATCAGTTCTATGAAATGTTGCCGTCATGTATTATTCAATGCCGGTCCATAGATTTGAAGGAAATTTGACATTTGTATTAGGATAAGATACTCATGTGAAAGTATTAAATATATTATTTGTTAATATTACGATGAGGAAGAAAAAAAATACGACGATCCTGTGAACAAAAAGTATTATTTTTAATTTAATGAAATACTACGCAGAGCGTATGTGTCTATTAATAGTAACATTTTCGAAATATAAACTGAATCTCTTTATGTCTTATTATATAAAGAAGCAAAACATAATTATTTATTTTTTCCTGTGATCCATACATGCCAAAGGTAAAAAAGAACTATCAACTACGTTCTTTTACCGTAGTTAAGAAAAATATGTATATCTTTTACCGTAAAGTAAAAATATGAATGAAAAACTTAATTAATATTTATTTATTGGTATTTAATATTCTGAGGACTACATAATAATAATAATAATAATAATATTATTATTATTATTATTATTATTATTATTATCTACAATTCATTATGGTTTCGTTGATAAATAATATTTTACATGAAGAGTTTCAGTAAATATTTCATTATGAAAAGAAGGTGGTGAAAATAAAGATATGATGATGGTGATAAACTAGTACAACTAGTTTAATATATAATTTTAATAATCGAACATCTTAAGAAAGAGCCAATTATACAGATTGGAAACTACATAGTTTACGAAGGGATAATATTTATATTTCTCTATTTGTGAAAAGTTTAAATTTTGGGATTCGCGAATTATATTTATTGGGGCGTGTTATTATTTGATAATCAATGAATAATTATAATAATAATTACACGCGCTGTGTTTTTGAATAATGATATTATCCAAGAAATTGGATTGTTATTTAAATGAAAAATGGTAATTCCTAGAAAATTTTTGTTTGTCTTAATGATTCTAATCATCGATAGTGAAATGATACTTGTGGAAATTACTGCTAGGATATTATATAGAGATGCAATCTGGTCAAATGCGAACTGCAGTGTTGTGTTATCAACAATCCTGTAATAATATGCATAATAACAACAATTTAAAAATGCATATGTATGACTGATAACGAAAACAAAGAAATAAAAAGAATTACAAAAAATCAAGAAAATAAACTTTATTCAATAAATAAATAAACATAAAATTGTAGTACTTTAAAATAAAAACTGTTACACTTATTTTTTTGGTAATATATTTATTTCTTCAACATCATATACGTGTTTCATGCGTGAATCTTAAAGTTATGTACTAGAGATATTTTTAGATAGTGTGTAATAATTAAAATAAAAATCATTGAAAAGATTTATTTTCTTTGAAATACATAATGTCAAACGTATATGATACAGCATGCAAATAATTTATTCGTTGTGTTCATAAAAACGTGATAAAAGCAATATAATTTAATGTATTCAACAAAAGATATACACCATAATGATGAGGATTAATTTCTTTTAATTAACACGTTTTCACTAAATTAAAAAAGAAGTCTACAAGCTCTGAAGAGAATAATAATAATACTATGCTTACAAATGTTGATTAAAATATTATATGATTACTTTTTTCTTTTTTATCTCCGATGTTCTTCTTGCACGTCAAATTTTTTTTATTGCACAGTACAATAAATAAAATATATATATTCAATAATATAATATCAGTTTAGGAACTATTTTAATAATCGGTTTGTCCCAGAACACTGTACATAATCCTCTTGAAGCTGTTGCTTTGATGTATTTTTTCACCATCGTCATCAAGAACATTTACCTACAACGCATTAGTAACAATTTCTTCAAAATATATTAAATTCTTACGGAAGTAATCTTGTTATTATACGTATATTGTAATTAATTGTAATAATTTATGTTTTTATATGTTAATTACATATTATATATTTTTTATTATTATTATTATTATTATTATTATTATTATTATTATTATTATTATTATTATCATTATTATTGATTAATTCGTCTAAATATATATGTATATACTTATATAATTGATTAACTCTTTCGAAAAGGCTAATTTGCATAAAATTTTTAATAGAAAAGCATTCATATAATAATTAAGGTTTGATAATTATAAACATATAACACGTACAATTCGATGAACAAATTTAATAGTCGTTGATGCGATCCTTAATGAAAGGAAGGGGGAAGGGACGTCTATTATTTCCACCCTTAATTAAACAAATCAGACAAATTAGAACAATTAAAAAATTTCATATTACATAGTAAATATCGAACGAATGATATTCATTTTCCAAAAATGGTATTCATCGAAAAGTGTTTAAAAGAAACATTTGGGTATTTTTCAAGCTTAAGCATTTTTATATGCACATATATTAGACATTTATACATATGTAAGTTAAATAACAGATATAATATTGATTTTATTTAAAAATCACTTACATATGATGCAGCAGGACTTTTCGGCCGAGCATGAGAAACCTAAAATTAAATCGAAAATAATTTACTTTCGTACCGTAATCTTTAGATTACCCGGCTTATTATAAGACGTTTAATTGTTAGAAAGGGAAATTTTAAACCCAAAAAATTGAAATAAATGCGCAGTTTGAAATTAGAATGAATTTTAAAAGAATGAATTCAATTTGTATGTAGATAAATGAAATGATTTGTTAACTTACCCTATTATAATTGACTTTTTGTGGAGAAAATACACCGGTACGTGCCGGTTGCCTTTCTTGAACAGTGTCACCGAGAGCTTCTTCTTGAAGGGCCTTGTAAGCTTCACTCTTGCTCGGATCGTACTTTACTGACACCTTCGGACTGTCGGCGATGCATATATATATATTTATACATATATATACGAATCACTTTTAATCGACTTATTTCGTTTAAATTTATTATTTTTTGTGTTTTCGAGTAACATCAATTAACAGCAACATCAATGTTATTGCTCATTAATGTCCAAGAGCTACTTTCGGCGCGCACTTTAAATCTTGTGCTTTTTTTTAAATTAATGTTAAAGCAACTATTTGCAACAACAGTGCAGCAACTATGACGTGCAAGCTCCGTTAAGAAGATAAGCAAGAAGAAGAAAAAGAAAATAAGAGAGTGAGAGAGAGAGTACACGAAAAGATCGTTAAACGGTACCCCAAAGTTTCCGAAAATTACGAGCCCTATTCTTACACATAGCAAGAAAGTTTATAGTTAATAATTTAAAAAGAAATCTATAACAAAAGGCTTTTCGTCCGATTGACACTTTTATTATTTTACGATGGAAAATAAAAGTAATAATTAATCGAGTATTTACATATATATATATTAGGGTGGGTCAAAAAAATCAATTATTTTCTTTTTTCAAGTGCCACGGAAAATGGGTTGCTAGACACCTTAAAACAATTCTCACCAAATATGAGCTCTTAATTTTAATAGGAAGATCCTCCGCATCGCAGTTTTTTATTTTTTTTTTTCAGTCCAATAGAATAAAATTCATACTTCATCATTTATTGATTGTACAGAAAAATGTTCTAGAAGAATTTTGTAGGAAATTTAATGCTCTACAAAAAAGGCATCTTATATTTTTTCCGTAAACCTCACCATTTGAATGATATTGAAGATTTAAATTTGATGATTTTAAGACAAATTTCATTTTTCTTTATGAATTTTATAACTCGACAATAAAAGACTATTAAAAAGTGCACAATACAAATTTTTGTAGGAAATTAACTGCTCTATAAAAATGGTGTCTTATGTTTTGGCGATTAAATTAAGCGTTCAAAAGATATTCAGAGACAAAAATCAGTACACATGAAAGTTTGCCATTTATTGTCGAGTTATAAAATTCATAAACAAAAATGAAATTTGTCTTAAAATTATCAAATTTAAATCTTCAATATCATTCAAATGGTGAGGTTTACGGAAAAAATATAAGATGCCTTTTTTATAGAGAATTAAATTTCCTACAAAATTCTTCTAGAACATTTTTCTGTACAATCAATAAATGATGAAGTATGAATTTTATTCTATTGGACTGAAAAAAAAAAATAAAAAACTGCGATGCGGAGGATCTTCCTATTAAAATTAGGAGCTCATATTTGGTGAGAATTGTTTTAAGGTGTCTAGCAACCCATTTTTCCGTGGCACTTGAAAAAAAAAAGGCATTTTTTTGACCCACCCTAATATATGTATATATATATAGAGAGAGAGAGAGAAAATTGCATTTTTCATGCGCGATAGATTTAAAATATTTTTGCATAAAAAATACTATATATATATTAACATACGTGCGTTATTTATTCATAACATCAAAAAAGTATTGAATGTTAATGTAATATCATATTCGCTTTGAAAAGAATAGTATTATAAATTTAAACAATTCGCTATTACACAATTACTTACCCAGCTTTTCCATTCGTATTTGCATTTCCATTCAGATTACTTTTGATGTAAGGCGTTCTGCGAAATATTTATAGAACGATATACTTAAATATTTATATATATATTAATTCGAAATTACGAATTTTGGGTATACATATATAAGTAATTTGTAAAAATAAAGGAACGTAATCTTCGAAAGCTATAGCGAGATACCGCATGTTAAGTTAGTTTATTATTTTCTACTTTATTATTCTACTGCATGCAATCATTATTATTATTATTATTTATTTTATATATATATATATATATATATATACATGACTTTTTAAATCTTTTTGTATAATTTTTTTGTGTAAATTTTTTCCTCTTTAATTCGAAGATTATAATATATTCAATCCGTAGAATATATAGCACACACTAAAGATAATAGATTAATTAATATCGATAATTTATAATTTAATCGATCGAATAATCACGTTCGCACGAATTTAATTATTTTGTTTGAAAAAGAAATTTATAACAAAAAAAAAGAAAGATGATGACGAGCGTGATCGACAATCGATAATGCAGATCTTTCATAAATCAGTCGGTAAAATTGATAAGTAGTACTTTTATGTTCTTTGATCGCGGAAATAAAACATCAAAAACATCTCGAAGGTGATTCTAATTCGGTTTATTGAATTGCGGCCATACGTTCTTCGAGGAAGCGGCTTTGGCCTGTTCCTTCAAAATTCTCGCTTGCTCCCTTATATCCTGTTTTTGTTTCAGGAAGGAAAAGTCTATGAAAATGCTGTAAAACAAACAATAGGCATGTCAATTTTATAGGATTAAATAAGAAGGAATTGGATAAAGCTGCGTAAGACAGAGAGAGATAGAGAAGAAGAAGAACTTCAATCTTGTACTCTTTTTCCAGAGGACCGCCATCTTGTGTGAAGAGTAATATTTTATTTATTTATTTATTTTTGTAATTGTAACTTGATCATAATGTACAGTTGTGAACAAAAATATTGAATAAATTATATTTGTTTATAATGTATATATACATATATACTCTATGAATTGTAAAAAATAATATTAAAAAATAGATATCAAAAAATAATTTGTAACTAAAAACGAAACTTTTAATTTTATATTTGAGTGATATATTTTACCAAAAAGATTAAATAAAACATAGCACTTTTTATAAATGTACAGAAAATGTTTTAAAAAGATTGAATGTGTGTAGATACTTTTGTTCAACACTGTATATCGAATTAATTGATTTAAAATATCTAATTAATTTGTATTTACTAAAAAAATTTATATTTTTTTTATTACAATTAACGATAGTAAGTACAAAAATTTTCTTCGTGAATAAATCATGTCAATCAAACGATTATTTGATAAGTATTTGTCAGTATTTTAACGAAAAACCAATATGTATAATAAATTATTTTGTTACATCTAATCTAATCTATGTAATCATGCTATCGCAAACTTGTATGGCGATTAGTATGGCGTTTTTTCGTTTTTTTTTTGTTTCCTTTTATTTTTTCTTTTAATGAAATAAATAAGAAAAGTATTGAAGAAATTCCATAATAATTGATATTATTAAATTATGTTATCATTGAAACTATACTTACGGTATGGCCGATGCCTGACATTTGATAGTATCTGCAATATTTTGTTCGGAGTATAGTCCAATCGGTGAATTGAATTGTTTGTGGACGACCTATGCGAGAAGTAAGATTATTTCTAGTATAAAATCATTTTTTAATTTAATTAAGAAAGTTCGTGAAGTTTTAAACAACAGAAATAAATGACGTACAAACCTAGAAACGGCACGAACTTTTCGGGTTGCTCAATATACGTGGGTGAGTTGAAAAGTTTTGAATTTAATACAGGAATAAACTCATTTTTATTTAAAAATAAATAATAGTTTTTTAGTCAAGACTCAAAACTTTTCAACCTGTTCTCCTATGTATGTCAGTTTTTAAATCTCTGATAATAATTAGTATATTATTGATCTATCTATCTTTATTCATAAAATCTAACGCCACAATTTTTATAATTATGCTTTTATCCGATATTTGCACACAGGCCCCAGATCAATATATATTATAAAAGCGTTTCAGCAAATTAGTCAAACTTTAGTAAAAGTTGCAAGCTTAGATTATATCTAATTTATATTAAAATTGGCCCTAAATGTGCCATTTTTATTTATAATTTGTAATCTTAACAAATGTAAGAATTAAAAATGTTACATAATGAAGTACGATAAATATAAATATAAATATATATATATATATATATATATATATATATATATATATATANTATATATATATATATATATATATATATATATATAAATTTATTTTATTTTTATTAATTTATTAATATATATATATATTTATATTTTAGATTGATGATTATTTTTAAATATAATAAAGTTAATAAATTACTGTAAATGCATTTGTTTAGCTAATTAAATATATTATAAGCGAAACCATTGAATAATCTCAAAAAGCAGAGAAACTAATTAAAGAGATAATTTCGTTCAAACCTTTGGAACTTCATTTGGTCCCAAGACACGTTGAAGTACTGTTTCCGCCACCTGGTCAGATATTTAATCAAATATATGTGCTATTTAATTCTGCTAATCACATACATACTAACAAAAAGATCTGTAAGATCTAATCACAGCATTTGTTTTTAACGTTTCGTTCAATTCGTTATTTCTCATTTTCGAAAAATCTTATAAATATTAATCGTTTTCATAAACAATTAATAAGTTAATTACATACTTTTTGTTTCATAGCTACTTCAGGATGAGCTGGTTCGTAATGGTGTGGTGCAGCACGAATCATAGGATTGGGATGATGACGAAGGTAGCATTCTCCCAAGGGGGCATCCTTTTTAACCTTAGCACCAGGCAAGACTAAAGGAGTCGTACGGTATGGCTAAAACAAAAAATACATTCAATTCAATTATAAGATATATGAAAGAATAAAAGAAATATAATGTAGGATTATTACAAAGAATTCATTGGATTTTGTTTTGCATCAAGATTGCGTCATTAAAAATAATGAAATCACTTCAACGATTTTACCACTCGGAGAACATGATTTAGAAAAAACTAAGGAGGGAATTTTTTAATGGATGATTTGGGAATGAATGAACGGATTTTGCTTCCACACACTGGGAGCAAAATATCATCCTCTAAAAATTCATAAGGCATTTTCCTTCTACCAAAAGAAGGGATTGCATTAGGTTTTTTTCTTTCTCTTTCATATGTCGTCAAAATTCGTTGAATAATTTGCAGTAACCTTGCATTTACGATTGCATAGACATACAATTTATTTTCATTCAATTTTAAAATGAAAGTACTTTTTAAATCGAAGTTCAGTTATTTTTATAAATAATCTCGAAAAAGAACTGGGATATGACTAAGGATGATATAAAAAGAATAATACGTGTTACGTTTGAATATACAAATAAGTATAATCAGACATTTTAAAAATATATCGTCAATGGTAAAACATAATCAGCGTTTAAACGTTAACGAACTAGCACTAAACGATAGTTCATTAAATTCTCTTTTAACCTATCATTAAAATTAATTGTCAATAATTTTTCATTAAACTAAGAGAGGAACTCGAGCAAATTCGTCTAACGTAAATCTAACGATATTCTTGGCATCGTTTGGAAAACCGGAAGTATATAAGAACGTATTACGCGATGCTGTTCCTCCATTCCTCTTTCTCTTTCTTCTTCTTCTTCTTCTTTCTTCTGTTGTTATTGCTGTCAGTAAGTATAAAACAAATAAATGCTGTAAAGAATTTTTAGACTGTTCGCTCATTATGTTGGTGTAAGAAGAAAATTGCACAAAGTCGCTAGAAGGAAAGTTTGACAAGATTTTCTTCATTATATTATTTTCGTTGAACCTCTCCTTCTCTCTTATTACTTCATCACCCCTATCTACTTCACCATTCCACTCCTCATCCTGAAACTATTACGAAATAACGACAAATGGTGTTGAAGTATCGAAAGATCTTTGAAATTGACAAGATAAAATTAATCTATGATTCTTTTTCTTCTTCTTCTTCTTCTTCTTCTTCTTCTTCTTCTTCTTCTTCTTCTTCTTCTTCTTCTTCTTCTTCTTCTGCTTCTTCTCCTTTTTCTTTTTCTTTCCTTTTCTTCATTTCGTTTTTAAAAACAACTTCTTAGGATTGTACGTCAGAGGAACGCGATGACTATTATTATACGCCGAATTTATATCTCCTCGCGAAAGAGAAACTTGGCATCATAACCATCGACTCTTTATATTTTCTTTTACCAAGGATTATGTAAATTCTTGCTTGTTTATGATAATGCATGGTAATACAAATAAAAACGGGAAAACTGTTTAAACTTTAATTATTGTTAATAACTATTATACGATTATTTAGTTGTTTGGCAACTAAAAGAAGCTTTTAATTGATAACAATCATTATGAATGTTGATGTTGAAATTTATCTCTCATACCTAAGATGAAAATTGCGATTAGGAGAATTTCATTATAAATGGGTCAGGAACATTATGTTACAGGGTGAGCAAGAGTGACTCTCTCGAAATAGATGAAGGCTCCCAGCTGACAAAAATAACGTCCACCCTATGTATTTGTGTTTGTGTGATACGGAATAAGCCAGTGTCGCTACAATGTCCACTCTTGAGTTTTTCCATTAAAAAATCTGGACGAATCCTCTCGCCAACAAGGTCGCCATTCTATGTTGAAGGGCAGATTCAAGGTCATCGTCGGCAGAAGAATCATCGAATTAGAGAAGCTAGGATTAATTTCCTTTAAGATTGTTTTGGAAGAAGAATTTTTATTGACAAACAAAACTTTATGTTACTTATTTTTTGTGAAAAAAGAAAGATACCAGTGATACATAATTAGTGTTGAAGAAATTGGAATTTTGTGTGTATGCGTATATTGATGGAAAAAAGAGAGAAAGAATTTTTTTCTTAAGTTCAAAAGCTTATTGTTTTACAGATGTGCTGTTCTATCTGTGTCTTCTGATGAAAAGTTGGCCGAACTAAATTCAGACATAACGATACAGCTGTTTCGTTGAAACTTTATTGCTTATGTACCGCTAACAGTGCCATGAAATTTGTAGTTTTCTTTACTAAATTTTTCTTCAAAAATTGGCAAGTGCTCGACTTATACGAGTAGATATCTTAAGTAATTATATTTTTTAATTGATAGTCAGCAGTGGGCATTAACTGATCAATTATTATTTGAAATCGATTATTGTTTGGTACAAACGATTCTATTTTATTTTCCTCAATCTTTGTAGATCTATTAAAAAAAAAGAAAAAAAGAAGATGACAAGAAAAGAATTCGCTAACGTCGCTAAAATCTTTTTTAAGATCAGTAGCGTACTTCAGTGAAAAATATCGCCTTTGAAAAGGCATTAGTATGCTGTAGGTGTAAACATGATCATACCTCTTTCGATGTTTGAGTAACCCAGATCCCGTTAACGAAAATAGAATAAGATATCGATGAACGACTTATGCGATACGTTATGCGTAGTTTTATTGCAAATGTTTATTAGTATAAATGCTTCTTATTTTTTCTTATTTCTGTATCTCTTAACCAACTCTAATAATTCGATGATCAATTTAACGATATCAAACTTAGATTATAAATATGAATAAAATTTGTCAACGCGTTATCTTCAGTAGGTCATATTTTCATGTGCATGAATATCATGTCAAGGTTAACTATTAATAAATTAATTTAATTTAAATAATACACATTGTGTGTCAAGAGAGACATTGTAGTTGATGATGAGGATCAAGGATTTGGACATTGCCAAAACGTCGAAAAAATTTATTACGCTACGTTACGTTGTCGAGTTTAAATAAATTTCAATGTGAACAATTCTCAAGGAAATATTCTAGTCTCTGGGTCATTTGTAGTAAGAGATATTAGAAAGTTCGTTCATTCATGACGACTATAATATATTCGAATATAAGTAAAAATATTCATACATACGTTCACGCAGTAAGTACGCGTGTACGTTGATGAGAGACATGATGAAAATTCCTAGATAATAAAATGTCAAGAAAAGACAGAGACAAATGTAATTGAACGACCGAGAACAAATTAGAATTGTGCATACGTTAACATATTCCTACCCAATAAACAGCAGCCTCTTCCTCTTTAGGATGATGCTCGATGGTTTGACGATAGACAGTGGTAAAAGCTGGCATTTTTACCTCCTCTCTCTCCTGTCAAATAATTTTCTTTATTTTCTTCACTCCTTCTTTGAAACTTTTCTTCTTCTTGTTAAAAACTTGCTGTTGTTGAAAATCCTCCTTTTCGTAACACTATCTTCTTCTTTTTCTTCTTCTCGTTTGTTTCTTTCGTCTTTGTTTTTACAAGACGATCATCAAGACAATCAAATCCTACTTGCTAATTTTATAAATTATTTTTTCGACTTATACTATCTTTATTCGTAATGATAATTCGCTAACGCACTGGTTCGTTGCGCGGGAGGCACTAACTCTAGTCTTTTCCGAAGTGGCTCCGTTTGACTTCTCGTTCTTCCATCTCTCTCTCACTCTTTCTTTCTTTCTCTCTCTCTAACGTATTATGCGAGGGCTAACTCAACTCCTACGTTTTTGACGTTTAGATAGATATAAGATACCTTTTTTATATAAATGCAAGAGACTTAATTTCGTTGAACAGTTGTCTCATCGTTTCCTCAAAAGTGAGAACATTTTGAATTTGGCGTTAACAGTTAAACACACTTATACCCTTATTTGTTATTCCAATTTCAATTCTAATGTTGAATTAAATTTCCCATTACATGTTCTATCGGAATTATGTTCATTAAAGGTCGCTAGAATAATCAACAAATTTTCATCATTAATGATTACATTTCTTATTCTAGTAAACCGATTCGATACGATAAAAGATGACGTTGAGACAACGATGAAACATGGGAGAAGTGTTTTCTTTGGCAACATTTAATCTCACATTGAAATTAATGACTCCCGTTTGTACGTCTAGAAGTCTTCTCTGTTGTATTCCATCACATTTATCTCATCGTCAGTCATCTTTGAAGAAACTTTATATCAGAGAGACAAACAAAATCGATGTGCAATCAATAATTAATTATTTATATTTATAATAAACTTTGGTAAGCAGAAGAATCACTCGTTAACTGGATTTAAATTATTGTCAAATATAATCTATCATTTTGATCAATAAATCGTATTAATCGAATCGTTTTATAAAACCTTCTAGATCAGAAAGAGATAGTATTGGATCGAGACAGTGGTTTCGATGCAAAAGCGATATTTATAGCGTGGCAACAGCCTCCGCACGCGGACTTTCCGGCATCGTATCGGGCCAACAAAAATATATTCACACTTCGAGTGTTCCACAAATAAAGACGGTGTCGCGTACGCTTTTTCGCGATAATCATCTATCCGATACCATTCGACAAAATCGAATTCTATACTCTACAAAAATATTCCTAACTTGGATAAAATATTTTTTTTTAAATAACGAAATGAAATTACTTATGTTCTCGTTTTTAACAAATTCATTTTAACTAGCCTACATTTTATATGCCACTGAAGAAAATCAAGAATAAAAAATTAAATTATCTTGGATATCATTACCTAAATATATTAGTTATTGGATTTCAAAGTGGAAATATAATTTTGGACGTGCAAGAGCTTGCCAAACGTAGTACTCGTTTGCTTTTTGAAATTCGATAACTCTTATGTTAGTTGGACAGAAATGTACAGTGAAATTGCTAGAGAATATTACAATGATATTCTACAGTTATAGATATATTTACTAAATAAATAAATTAATTAATTAAATGTATACATAGAAGTATCAAAAATGATTTGAATCAAATTTCAATTTAATTTAGATTCTGATTTCGATCCAATTTTCTGATCATTTTGTGAAATGTATTTTGAAGAACCATTCCCATACATATTTTTGAACTTAGGCACGTTCTTAAGAAATAGGTAACGTTTTCCTTTCTATTCACAAATGGAATTCATTATAAACATTTGCATCGCAATTTCGTCGAAATTTTTACTGATAATTTAAATTCAGTAGTGTGCATTTCTATGCATGTTGATAAATAATCGTTTAATCTTGGTAGAAAACAGCCTTCAAATAGATAAATACTTGCTTTTAATTATTTTATTTTTGACCGATCAATTAATGTCTGAATATTATAGATTTCTGAAAAAAATTCTCGATTGTATTAGTTCCAGAAAAATTAAATATATAATCTTACAATTAAAAAGCAACAATAAGATAATCAATAATATTAACAGTAATTAATTGTTAGATATTGTAGAAATATAAAATATATTTGTGGTAATTAGAAATAGTTTAAATAATCTCTGGTTTATATATTTGAAGTACCTGTGATAAATATGCTCGTTCTTCGCGGACTTCATCGAGATGTTCGTGTGGTGGTTGAAAACGATCCGACGGAATAGGAGATGATATAAATTCTTCGTACGATGCCGGTGGTACTGGGCTTTTTGGTAATTCTCCTGGATTTTTAGCCGATTTAGCTCTGTTCGATCAAATTACAAACAAAAATGATCAATAACAATATTATTTTTACTCGTAAAGAAATAATTAACCTAATGTTTACTTGAGCTTCGTCATAGCGAAACCAACGAACTGTTTTTGAACGATTTAAACGCATTTTCGATTGTATACTACTTTTTGAAGTAACAAATTATGAGGGTGGTTTGAAAAGTTATGAGCCTATTCTTTTCTACAAGTTTTAGTACAAAACTTTTCAAACCTACCTACGAATAAATTCGAATATAAATCTCTTTTATGTTTGTTCAAAGACCAATCGAAAGTTTTTTGTTTGTTTGTTCTGCGGTGTTGCAAGCTGTCGATTATATGCGAAAATACATATTATAAAATATTAGAAGGTTATATCACATCGTAAATGATAAGGAATTAAATAAAAGCGTTGATAAAGAGTGGCGTTATTTCTTTTTTTGCTAAACTCAACTGAATTATATAATAATAATAATAATTTAATATATTTATGTGATTTTCTGACAGACTAGTAACCGCAGCCCTGTCGCCAATGATCGATCCGCTAATCATAGGCGATGTTGTAGGAATGTCGATACGAGATGCTTTAGATTTCTCGGACCTTTCCACGACGAGCTTTATTCTTTCTGAGTTTTGTAGAAGATACTGGGCGTCTACATGCCTCACATCACGTCCGTCGTAATCGTCGATTTTTCTTATCACGTCACCCCTCTGGAGCTCCTCGTTCTCCGACTATAATTAAACACGTTAATAATACTATTAATATATTTTAATATATTATATGCGCAATAAAAATATTTTTAAATAATAATAAACAATAATAAAAATATATACGTGAGTGTGTTGAAAAATTTCGATCCTCAAGAATAATCTATGAAATAAAAATTGGTTTGATTGGAAAGCAAATAATTATTTCTATATTAAGGTCAAAACTTTTCAATTCACTTACGTATAATAATATTAATTAATAATATATATATATATAATATATATATATATATATCTAATATATAAAATTCTCGTGTCACAGTTTTCGTTGCCATACTCCTCCGAAACGGCTTGACCGATTTTGATGAAATTTTTTGTGCTTATCCGGTATCTATGAGAATCGGCCAACATCTATTTTTCATCCCCCTAAATGTTAGGGGTAGTCCACCCCTAAACTTTTTTTTCATTTTTYAGACAAAATTTTTAATTTCTATTTTTTTATGATACAACATACAAAAATACATACAATCCTCAATTTTCACCCTTCTACGATCAACCCTTATTTTTTAATAGCCATTTTAGTAATTTAATCATTTTTCCTCTCCGGTCGAAAACTGATCAATCGTCATTTAATTAGTTATCCCCGCCAGATGTCTACAGGTGTCACTTCTGACCCAGTAAACAGCACGGAGTAGGAATGAGAACGAAGCCGATCCAGTGCTGTCAGATCGTGGGTAAATCTTACCCTCTCCCTGTGCCACTGGGATTGCACACAATGAAAGTTTTCCATGTCCGTGTGTTTACATAATTTATTTATAAATATTTTCTGTTTGAGTAAAATACGCCTAATTTCACCTATACATATGTGTTATCCTTTGTAATAATTCTTCGGACATAAATGGTTATTAATAAATAAATATACATAATATTATATATATTTTTATATTATATGAGTCGTCCACATTTTATAAAGCCATTATATTCATTAAAAATCAAAATAAAGATTTTTACATAATCTGTTACATGAGACGACACTAAACATTTTCGAAATATGCTAAACAAGCAAAATACATTATTTTTCATAGAAGAAAGAAAAAAGAAAAATATCAATCAGTAAAGTGTTACTGGTATAAGTAAGTATTTAAAGTATTTTTGTGGACATTACAAACTTTAAAAATGGCACTCACATAGGAGATATCAATATCAAATTATTTTTATTAAATTTGTGACACTTTCCCTATTGTTTTTTAAGAATAACATTTTATCAAATAAATTATATTTTTTAAATAAAAATAATAACTTATATTTCCTAAATGAAATAGTGTATTCATGAACACACACACGCACATAATATCTGTAGTATTTATGTGTAAAAGTAAACGAGACTAGTCTTACAGTCGTATTGATAGTAAAATAGTTGGCATTGGTCCATTTGTGTTTATCGTTCTCCTCCCATATCTAATAATCGTGCCAGAAGATTTCATAGATCGTGGAGCTCATGAAAACTTTTACAGTTTATTATACTTTAATTTTACAATATATCTACGTTCACTTTTTTTAACTAACTGTAAGATTTATTCGTGCAAATCAAATACAACAATATTTTAATACTCAATTTAACATTTTTCGATTGAAAACTTAAAAACTTTAAGGAACCTTTATTGCTCACGTGACAATTTTAAATTTAATTAAAGAGTTCATTGTCCGTATTTTTTAACAGCCTGTTGTTTTTTTTTTTCTTTTTTTTTAGATACACGATCGTATATTCTCAATATTTTCATTTATCACATATATATTTTGTTTAAAAGTTATGTAAAAATGAACACATGGAAATTGGATTTATATAAGTCTCATCTAGTCTCATATTAATTATTATAGATCTATAATTATTTTATATTTCAGATTTCTCTAAAACATTTTTTCATCCCTTTCCGTTCATACATATAAAATTAAAAAGAAACTCACGCGGGTGACAACAATGGGTGAGCCCAAATCAGCCCCTCCGGCAATTCTGATTCCCCAAGGTCTACCAGTACTGGATCTTTTAAGTTTTATGATCAAAGTTTGCTTCTTCGTCATGCTCTAATCCCTTACTTCACGATGAAATGTGATAACAAACAAACACACCAAACGAAACAGAAAAATAAAAGAAGAGAAGAAGAGAGAAAGAATGTAAAAACTTTTCTCAAAAAATGAATATTTGATAGGATTCTTCTAGCACGAATGATTAAAAAGAAACCAATAAAAAATAAATAAAATGAACGAATAAATAAAATGAGGATTATTCTATGATTTATCAATAAACAGTGGATTAGAAAAAAAAGATGCGCGTTTAGAGAAAATCTAGAAGAGAACTGAGGTGTTTCACATCGGTGTTTGACTTTGACAGGCCTAACTCGAAAGCTCGTTGCTCAACTAACAGAGCCTCTGCTATTCTGGCCCCATTTTGAATTGGCATCCCACTTGTATTGTTCTGGCTCGACCTGCACTCATTTCTCTGGCATTTACAAGTTGGGGAGGGCGGCAACATACACATATGTATCCATGTAAGTATATATGTACACGTACCATATGCACATATATTTGCGCGCGCACATAAGATCTTTCTTCCGGACAAAATCACAACCCTGCTCAAATTTATTTCCATACAATTCTAACTTGTGGAACGGTTCATTGGGGGTTTCACCGATGATCTAATACCTTTCATTAGAATGTTGATATTATTAGCCTGTTTTAATCCATCGCTGATTATATCATTCATGTGTGTAAATAAAATCAATTAAACAAGGATAATTTATTACGTACAATGATCTATGCAAAATAATTTATTGTAGGGATTGTAAATGAGTATAACACGAAGGATATATTATTGCATATATTATATATATTACGCAATTAGTTAAATATATTATTACACATTTAACAGAATCTTTACAAAGGTTTACATACGATAAATTGCGGGAAGGGGAATATAACATTGTAGATATTTGGTTTATTTTTTCTTTTTATATATATATAGATATAAAATCGTAAAAAAACTAAAACACTATAATAAGGTAAGAGAATTAAATACAATTCCGGGTTGAGTCACATACTCACATAGGTCTCGTAATAATTGCCTATAGAGAACTTAAGAGCCATCTCTTCTTAACTTGCTAATTAATGAAAATCCTTATTATTCCCCTTGTATTTTTTTCACAATCAGTGAAAGAAAAAGAAAGAGAAAGAGAAAGAGAAAGTGCTGCTTTCACCGTACGAGGTCCGCAATCGTTCGAAAGCTCCTCCCTTACGCGTCCCTTCAATTGAATTAGTTTGGCTACACTGTCTGATTCTAACTCTCTTTAGATAGAAAAGAGAAAGGAAGTGAGAGATAAGGTGTAAGGCACCTAAGATGGAGCAAGAGGGATCTATTGTATACGTAAACTTCGCCTTAAATTAGCAACCTATGGCGCGAAAGGTTAGTCAATCAGAGTGTTAAGACTTTACTGTTCTAGTGACTCATTTGTATAGATTTATTCGAACGATTCTATATAAGAATCATCTATATAGATTGTTTTCAAATATAACATTATCGAAATGATTCATTAATTGATATTAAACTCTTCTATCTATTTTAATGATCTTTAATAATATATATTTTGCCAGTTTGAAAAAAGTATGTAAAAATAATATTCCTTGTGCATAAACTATAGACAAAAAGTTTGAGTACACTTATTAGTAAAGAAAATAACTTTTTAATTATTCAAAGTTATGTTTCTCAAATGATTGATTTATTTATATATAAAAATACTTATTTTATATAGATAGGAAATTAACTAAAATAAATTGGTATAGTAGACAAATTTAATAAAACGTTATTAATTGTGGCTAAAGTCAAAATAACCACGTAAACCCTGAATGTTATTTTACACAATTTTGATATTCTTCTAATTAATTTTTGCTATTTTCCTCTTTGGAAATTGTTACAACTATTTTGTAAAAGATTCTACAAATTTTCTCTCAAACTCTCTCGTATTATTGTAAATATTCTTCGGTAATTGCTTTACTTATAACCATTCTACGTATTTCACTGGTACCTGCACCAATTTCATAAAGTTTGGCATCTCTTAAATATCTTCCAGTAGGGTAATCATTGATATATCCGTTTCCACCTAAAATTAATAAAAAATAAAAATTAAATTCATAAAACAGGTGTCATAGATGTTATAGAATAAGTTAATTGAAAAAGAACAATTACCAAGTATTTGTATAGCATCTAGAGCAGCCTTCGTTGCATTCTCAGCGCAGTAAAGTATCACTGCAGCGCAATCCTTGCGATTTATGTGGCCTGTATCGCAAGACCTTGCAACAGAATACAAATAACTTCTACTTGCGTTTAGGGTTGTGTACATATCCGCGATTTTTTTCTGTAAATTTTAATACAACAAATTTAATTACACGCTTTTTTAAATTATTTTACACTGTTCTTTTTTGTATATTGTAGATGATACCTGTATCAATTGAAATTCAGATATATATTTTCCAAATTGTTTCCTAGTGTGCGCATATTCGAATGATACATCGCAACAAGCTTGAAGTAAACTACAAAAAAATAAAAGTACATTTATATTATGAACAATATAAAAAATTTCATTAAAAAATTGTATAATCATCTTGTTCTTACCCTACAGGACCACCTGCTAAGATTAAACGTTCCAAATCCAAACCACTGAAAAGTACATATATTCCTTTGTTTAATTCACCTAGTACATTTTCCACTGCAAAAATATGGATTAAATATTAATTTATATTAATTGGATTAAAATTTGTATAGAAAAGTATTTTAAATGATATACCAGGAACTTTACAATCCTCGAAAATTAATTCCGATGTGTTCGATCCTCGCATACCAAATTTATTTAATTTTGGAGCTGCACTGAAACCTTCCATTCCTCGTTCTACTATAAAAGCTGTGACTCCATGTTGTGGTTTCAAAGCGTTTGGATTAGTTTTAGCGTAAACTATAAGAACATCAGCATCTGGGCCATTGGTGATCCAGAATTTATTACCGTTTAAAACAAAGCAATCGCCTTTTCTTTCGGCTTTTAATTTCATTGATACGACGTCTGATCCAGATCCTGGTTCTGACATAGCCAAAGCACCAATGTGTTCTCCACTACACAACTATATTATTACTTATAACTATAATTATTAACATAATTAATAGATTTTCCTAATAATTAATGAATTTACCTTTGGCAAATATTTCTGCTTCTGTTCGTTTGTACCATTTCGATTAATTTGATTAATACACAAATTCGAATGCGCACCATAACTAAGCCCAATAGCTGCACATGCTCTACTTATTTCTTCCATAACTATTACGTGATCGAGATACGAACCACCAGTTCCCCCATAATTTGCATCAGCTGTTATTCCTAATAGACCCAAATTGCCTAGTTTTTTCCAAAATGTCTAAAGAATACGTATAAATTCGGTATTTAATTAATTTGTATTATAAAATACGTTACTAATTATAAAAAATTAATAATACCTACTCTGAGTTCGGTAAAATTATTTTCTTTGTCGATTTCTGCAGCTTTTGGAGCCAATTCTTTTTGAGCAAAATTAAAAACCAAATTGCGAAGCTGAAGAAATAAATAAAAATATAAGATCAAATTAAATAATAAAATAAATGTGCTAATATGCGCCATGGCATTGATACTTCTATATGCATGCTTGTAACAAAAATTGCTTAATGTAAGGGGCATATTAAAGTAAATTTTACTTAACTTAAACTTAACACTTAAGGGACGGGTCGAATCAGCTCTGTCTTTTCTAGTTTCCGGGCATTTTTCAGGAGAATTAAATAAACATGAATGTATGGATTTAAAGCGTTGTAATTTTATTAAATCAATTAAATTTCTTATAATATTTTATAACGGTATTTATATCTGTAACTGATGGTATCATGAAGAAATAACAATGTGCATAAAAGAAAACCCTAATGCAACATACTAAAAATTCAAGGAAAAACTTAGATTTACGTGGCCCGTCCTAGGAAGTCACAAAGGAAAAACGTAAAACTAAGGGGCCCGTACGTTAAGTGTTAAAAAATTAATTATTACATTTTTCCGTTAGAGCGAGCCACTAGTTCGATAATTTGGTGGAAGGCTATTTGAAAAATCAATCTCGATTTATATCGAACGATTAATAATCGAGTAACTTTTGAATTAGTAGTGACATGCTAACTGTGAGTCGTTTTTTTTCTTGTTATCATCATTAAAAAGTAAAATTAACTAACCTCTTTCTGCGATTCATTTAATCCGATGACATTATCATCTATTTTATAATATCTTGTTGAATATTTAACATGACATCCATACACAGATTTTATTGATTTATCAAGCCGTACTCTTTTTAATAAATTAAAGTGCCACATTTTCCAAAATCAAGAACTTATTGATAGGTGCTGGTCTGTTAAACAGACAACGTACTAACTCGTCTTCTTATTTACAAAAGTATTGCGCAACTGAGGACAATTTGAGTTATCTATTCAAAAATATTCACAATACTAACGTTTAAAAAAGTGTTTAAAACGACAAATTTAAAAACTGCGTTTAAAAAAAACAAGGTTGTTCATCTAATATTTAAAAAAAAAAGAAAAAGAATGAAATAGGGATGAATATAAAACACAAGAAAAATATACAACATAAGATCATTATTTTAAAGGAAATAATGAACTTATTTATAATAAATATGATAATAAAAATGTATATTCTATATATTTATAATGCATATAATAATAATAAATTAACATGCATATTTATTATTTATTGTATGTACAGTTAACATATATGTATATATATATATATATATATATATATATATATATATATAATTTTCTATTTGTATTATAGTCATTCTCTCGGTATATATTATATAATTATTATTTTGTATATTAGAATTTATATAAGATTATTTTTAATATTATGTTATCAATAAGTGATAAATAATTATCTTCAAAATATTTATAGAAATACGTTGAGTTGTAGCACCAAAGAATATAGAAGTATATAGAAGACCGCAAGACCACTTTTCATGTAAAAAAATCTGTAGGATTAGGGATCCTGTAGGAGGGATGCGCCATGTACATTGCTGGGGGACCGGAACTCAATTTTGCGCGCGAATGATTCAAACATTGAAATAATTATGAAATAATGAATTGCATCAAATACAGAAAAAAATGAACTATATTTAATGATAATTAAAAATTTATATTCAAATAGAATAGGTTACACGAGAAAATTATTATAAATTCAATAAGAAAGACTTAATTAAGTTTGATTTGATAAAAGGCATTACAGTATTTTGAAATTTCAAAACAATTTGTAGGAATTTATACAATTTTGATAAATATAATTATCTACTATATATATTATATTAATAATAATAAGAAGAATAATAAGACAAATATATAAAACAATTAAATAATAGATTTATTTTAACACATTTTTATTTCTCAATGTGATACATGATCATAGTTTTACTCGAACTGAGATTGGTTTGCTTAAAATTTTGTAAATTTTAGTGATTATACCTACGCGATGGTATAAGGTATTTACGGTCGTGCGTAGTTCTTGTTGAACTTTTCAGTAATTAAGAATACACTGTCGAACCATGATTATTCATCACAAACAATAAGTCTGTAAACAAACGATAAGTTATAGGTTAAGTTTGTACATTTATACTTGTAACTATTAAATGAGTAAATTAAACTTACACTTATAGAAAACTACTAAAAAAAAAAAAAAATAATTAAACATAAATATCACAATAAAAACTATAAGTATTCCAAACTTNTATAAGTATTCCAAACTTAAACTAACCACAGCCGTTAATATATACTAAAGATAAACATGGCTGCGGGTTGGATCGGATGAGGTCCCCCAAAATTTTCAGCCAATGGCACATGAACTGAATATGTATGGCGCATCCCTCCTACAGGATCCTTACTAGATATTTTCCTATGTCGATCGCCTTCCTGGTCAGTCCTGGTATCTAAGCTCCGTGGTACAAAAATACTTTTTTACCGTACTAAACTTGAATTTCTAACTTACTGACTATTAAATGAAATATATTAGTTGTACTTGAAAAATAAAACATGGGTGAAGTAAAATTTAGCAATACGAAGGATAAGATGTCAGAAAAACAATTTAACAATGTTGTAAAACCAATACAGGTATTAAAGAGGTTATGTTTTATTAAGTAGTATTTTGAAATACATTTTTATTTATTTATTTGTAACTGTAATTAATTATATTAATTGTATTGAAAAAATGACCAGGTCAATCCATAACTTCGTGCGCATTAATAGCATGCATGGGATTCACTATGATTCACTTCTAGACCAATAAGATTTCCAACCTGCCGAAAATTTTTAAAATCAGACGCAATTAGTACCCATTAAAAATGAATATCGATAATCAATACAAACGTGCTGTATTATATTTTTTATTTTCGTGTGGCGAATCTGCCAAATCTGCAGTGATAAAAATTAATAGTGTACATTGTGGACATACTGTCAGTGTAAGAACTGCTCAAAAATGATTTACAGCATTTATGATAGGCTCCGTTCAGGACATCCTGTTAATTTTGATAGCGACGTTCTTAAAAATCTTGTGGAGTCAGTCATTTAATTGGAAACTTTTGCTGTATCCTGCTTACTCCCCGAATATTACCCCAAGTGATTTTTACTTATTTCATGATTTACAAAATTTTTTACTAGGGAAAAAGCTTAATTCTAAACAGATTCTACAAAATTAACTTTGAAGTTTTTTTTGCATCAAAACCAGATTCTTTCTACAAAAATGGAATTAAAAAGCTACCTATAACATGGTAAGAAATTGTAAATAGCGGAGGAAAATATATCATTGATTAAAATGTTAAATTGCGTTTTATTTACACTATTTAAAAATTTCACAAAAATGTGCACTAACTTTTGGATTGACCTGATAAATGTGTAGCAATAATAACAATAATAATTAAAATAAATTTCATTTGATATTTATATTTGTAGAATAAATGGAAATTAGTACCCGCTTTTTTAGAAGGAAAAGGTTTAGTCAAGCAACATATAGATTCGTTTAATTATTTTATAAATGTTGAAATAAAAAAGATTGTTAAAACTAATGAAAAAATGATAAGCGATGCCGACCCTTTGTTTTATGTTAAGTAAGTATTTTTAATAATAATAATAATTATTATTATTCCAATGTTTTAATAATAATAAATAATATTTTGGTTACTAATCTTTTATTTAATTTGCTCAAATTTTATTCCTAGGTACTTGGACGTACACGTTGGTACTCCGGATGTAGAGGATGGTTTTGGTGTAGTTCGAACTACAACACCACATGAATGTAGATTACGAGACTTAAATTACTCAGCACCGATTACCGTAGACATAGAATATATCAGAGGACATCAACCCATTATTAGAAATAATTTAACGATTGGAAGGTATATTTTTTTTTATGGTTAAAAGTACATTATTAGAGATACTAGGTTGAATATTTGTTTTCAGAATGCCAATTATGCTTAGGAGTTCCAATTGCGTATTAACTAATAAAACTCCATTTCAAATGTCTAATATAAATGAGTGTCCACATGATCCTGGTGGTTATTTCATTATTAACGGTCAAGAAAAAGTTATACTCATTCAAGAGCAAATGCTTAGAAATAGAATCATTGTAGAAGAAGATAATAAAGGGTGTACAATAGCGTTTGTTAATAGTTCCACGCAAGAAAGAAAAACCAAAACTACTGTAGTTGGTAAAAACGGAAAGTATTACATGAGGCATAATATTTTTCAAGATGTAAATAAATAAAAAATTATAATGAATAATATACATTCGCGTTGATGAAAAATAAAAATGACTAATAATTAATTTTATTTTTTAGGATATACCTGTTTCAGTGGTAATGAAGGCAATGGGAATAGTAAGTGATCTAGAAATAATGCAATTTATTGGAGCCGAAGAAGAATATATGACAAAATTTGCTTTAAGTTTAGAAGAATGTCATACGTTAAACGTTTTCTCTCAAAATCAGGCTTTAAGGTTTTTATTTACAATAACATTAAATTAACATAATATAAAAAATGAATCTAATTATTTTTCTTTCTTGTTAGATATTTGAGTAATAAAAGAAAGCAAAAAAGATATCCCTTAATCAAAGGTAATCTTACTGATGAGATAAAGGATATTTTAGCTACCAATGTTTTATCTCATGTTCCTGTAAGTATTTTTAGAATATGTTTATAGTATATTTATTGAAAATATCTATTTAAAAAATGGAAAATTGTATGAAAATATAGGTCGATAATTTCGATTTAACATTGAAAGCCATTTATCTAGGCTTGATGATTCGCAAAGTCATACAAGTGCAAAATGATAGAAGTCTTTTAGATGATAGGGATTATTATGGTAACAAACGTTTGGAATTGGCTGGTTCCCTTTTATCTCTTATGTTTGAGGATTTATTTAAAAGATTTAATCGAGAGGTATGTTTAACATTATTTTTTTATCCTGTGAAAAAAATATTTACATATTACCACTTTTGTTTGTTTGCAGTTAAAGCAAATTGCTGATAAAAATATACCAAAAGTTAAAGCGGCCCAATTTGATATTGTAAAACATATGAGACAAGATCAAATAACAAATGGTTTAGCATTTGCTATAGCATCTGTAAGTTATAATTTATTATTAATTTAATTTATAAATATTTAATTAATTTTAATAATTTACTAATACATGAACAAAAATGGTCAGTATCGAAATATATTTAAATTTGTAGGGCAATTGGATTATTAAAAGATTCAGAATGGAACGCCATGGAGTAACTCAAGTTTTGTCAAGATTATCATATATTTCAGCACTTGGTATGATGACACGTGTTAACTCACAGTTTGAAAAAAGTAGAAAAGTTTCTGGTCCTAGATCTTTGCAACCGTCTCAATACGGAATGTTATGTCCAAGCGACACACCTGAAGGAGAGGTAAAAAATATCTTTTATCATAATTTATATTTCATTATTTTTCATATGATTTATTTCAACAGAGTTGCGGATTGGTTAAAAACTTAGCTCTTATGACACATATTACCACGGAAGTAGATGCAAAACCCATTACAAACTTAATATACAATCTCGGAATTGAAAAGATTAATGTTCTTGGTGGAGAAGCTATCTATGATAAACGTAGTTATATAGTATGTTTAAACGGAAATATTTTGGGCATCGTGCGAGATCATCAAAGACTTGTTGATACGTTCAGATTTTTACGCAGACGCGGTCAAGTAAATAATTTTGTTTCCATATATACGCAACGTCAACATAGGTATACCTAAAATTTTTGTTCTCATTCTTATTATTATTAGTTATATTTCTTTACTATTACAACATAATCTAATGTCTTTTTTACAGATGCATTCATATTAGTTCTGATGGAGGCCGTTTATGTAGGCCGTATATAATCGTAAAAAATGGACAACCACTTGTTACGTCTAATCATATTCAATTGTTGGAAAGAAAAGTAATGAGATTTGAAGACTTTTTAGTAAAGGGTAAGTACAGTGTAAATGTAACTCAGAAATTAAAATAAATAAATTATGTTCAAATGTTCTAATTTTATATTTAATATTCTTACTTGCAGGTTACATTGAATATTTAGATGTGAATGAAGAAAATGATAGTCTTATAGCATTTGACGAAAAACATATAAACGCAAACACGACACATTTAGAGATTGAACCTTTTACATTATTGGGAGCTTGTGCCGGTTTAATACCATATCCGCATCATAACCAAAGTCCAAGAAACACTTACCAATGTGCTATGGGTAAACAAGCTATGGGATTTATTGGTTACAATCAATGCAATCGCATTGATACTCTTCTGTATACTTTAGCATATCCACATGTACCAATGGTTAAGACACGTACAATAGATTTAATTAATTATGACAAGTTACCTGCTGGCCAAAATGCAATAGTAGCTGTTATGTCTTACAGTGGATATGACATTGAGGATGCTTTAATTTTAAATAAAGCTTCTATTGATAGAGGATATGGAAGATGCTTAGTATATCGAAGTGCTAAATGTAATTTAAAAAAATACTCTAATCAAACGTTTGATAGAATAATGGGTCCATTAGTCGATTCAAATACAAAAAAACCAGTATGGAAGCACGAGATCATTGACAGCGATGGGATTGCTGCTCCGGGTGAAATGGTAGAAAATAGAAAAGTAATGGTAAATAAATCTACGCCATCCACCGCCGATGTAGTTAATCCTGCTAATGCCCAAAATGAAACAGAATATCGTGATACTCCTCTTCTATTCAAAGGTCCAGTTCCTGCTTATGTAGAAAAAGTTATGATTACTAGTAATGCAGAAGAAGTATTTTTAATAAAGCTATTGTTAAGACAAACTCGGAGACCTGAAGTAGGCGATAAATTTAGTAGTCGTCACGGACAAAAAGGAGTAACGGGTACAATCTCATTCTTTATTTCTTTTTCCTTCTTATTTACCTAAAATAAGAAATATTTTTCATTGCAATTTTTTATTTAATAATTATATAATGTATTTCCACATAGGTTTAATAGTCGAACAAGAAGATATGCCATTTAACGATTGTGGTATAGTTCCTGATATGATAATGAATCCTCATGGTTTTCCATCCCGTATGACTGTTGGAAAATTACTAGAATTGCTTGCTAGTAAAGCAGGCGTTCTTGAAGGAAAATTTCATTATGGAACAGGTGAATTTATATAAAAACAAAAGTTACAATGATTAAGTATTGTAAATAATTATAAATTATATTCGTAGCATTTGGTGGTTCCAAAATTGAAGATCTACGTGAGGAACTCATTAATAATGGTTTCAATTACATGGGAAAGGACTTTTTTTACTCTGGAACTACTGGTGAACCACTTGAAGCGTACATTTATTCTGGCCCTGTAAGATATCTAATATAAAATATTTTATTTTTATTTTTATAAATAACTTTTTATAATTGTATAAATATTATTTATTCAATATTAAAAATTTTTATTTTTTTCTCGAACAGATATTTTATCAGAAACTCAAACATATGGTACAGGACAAAATGCATGCTCGAGCTCGTGGACCCAGAGCAGTCCTAACGCGTCAACCGACAGAAGGTCGTTCTAAAGAAGGTGGTTTACGTTTAGGTGAAATGGAACGTGATTGCCTGATCGGCTACGGAGCTAGTATGATGTTAGTGGAAAGACTGATGATATCAAGTGATGCGTTTGATGTTGATATTTGTAATAAGTGTGGTCTAATGGCATACAGCGGTTATTGTCATAGTTGCAGATCTAGCACTTGTGTTTCAACTATTTCCATGCCATACGCTTGCAAATTACTGTTCCAAGAATTGCAATCTATGAATATTGTACCTCGTTTAACATTGAAGCATTATTGTGATTAAACATAATTATAATTTATGATCATTTGCAAATAAAACAAATGCATTTGTTTTGTATAATCCAATGTACGATGTATATCTAATTGATTTCATAAACATATTTTTTTCCACTAATTATGACTACAATTTAACATAGATATGCACTATAATTTCTTTATATATATATATCCCTTTCTCTAACCTCTCTTTAGTCTTTTTTTAGCCAAAATTATGCGAAGAGAATAAATCTCATGAGTGCAGTATTAAGTCGTATAAAATGAAGTTGTTTTAAGTCAATTGTGTGAAAGTCGAGTATTACGTGAGGTAAGTTGACTAGGCGTGAATGATAATAAAAAGTCGTCGAACAATCGGTAGTGTGATGTAACAATAAAATAATTAGACGGTGAAGTGATGAAAGTAAGTAAAGAGACTAAAATAATGGCTTAAATTAAGTTAACGTTTGAAAGTAGTGAGGAAGAGCAAGAGATCGGTTATGAAGAATTGGACGAAACGATCGTTGAAAACACAACACAAAGAAGAAAATATTCAGAGCAGAAACGTATAGACAAAAACAAAATAACTAAAGAAGAAGAAACTATTAATTATACATATGAACAGATCAATTTAATAAAATTAATAGAATTAAGGAAGGCAAAATTAAAGAAATTAAGATTATTTACGTTAGGCAACAAATAGGCGTTAAGAAATCGCTTAAAGAATGCGATGGAAGATGAATAATGTGAAGACAACTTTTTATACTTCAGTAGAAACGATAAGCTATTAGTAAATCATTGGATCCACGACTTTAAAGATACCAGCGCATTGTTGGGTTGGAACGAGTTGTATAAATCTGTGTACGGAAAACGTATGCTAAAAGGATCGGCAAGGTTGTTTATTACCTTTTAAAGAGACAGTAGATCATGGGACGAGTGCCTTCATGCCAAATCTATTAAATAGACATTTGTGAAAGGATTGGACGGTTGGCCCTGGATAGCTCAATGGATAAGAGCAGTCACTTGAAAGTAAAAGATCCCTGGTTTCGAGTTCCTGTCCAGTCAGTCCAGCAACTCAACTTTTTCACGAATCCTATTTATAAATATTTTATTTTTATTTTTGTATATACATGCTTTAAATAATTTTTCATTTATTGTAAGTATAATAATAAAATATCTTCTCTTTTTTAATTTTTACATTTTATCTAAATCCATTATTAATCTTTAATAGTCTATAATATATAAAAACATTCTCTATGATATATTGTTCTTGTATTTATTAATATTATCATAGCATTAAAATCAAAATAAAATAATAGTTTAAATTTAAGAACATGTGTAAATATATATACGTGCGATATATAATTATATATATATATACAATTATTCTTTGTAATAAATTCGTCATCATAGAAATTCAGCACGTAATTTAATTTCTGGATTTTCTATGTGCCTTTTACTTTGTATCAAGCGTAATTCTATTTTTTGTGCAAATTGTGCCCCATCGTCTTTATATTCTGAAAATTAAATAATTAAAGACATATATGAATATTTTAGTTAAAGAAACAGAGTTAAATATAAATTTTACCTTGGAATGATTTAAAAGTTTCACAAAGAACACCTTGTAAAGAATTTATTGTCTTTTCAGTGGCAGTTTTGATATCCTCTTGTAGATATGTATGAGCGAGAAATAAAGCAGCAAATAAATCACCAGAACCAGTAAAGGTTGATGGTATCTTTGGAATATCAATTTTAAGCAATATATCATCTGTAAATGAAAAGTATGCATTATACTTGTCAATGAATACAAATGGGAGAAGTAAAACTTATTTTACATTGTATATACAAATAAGAAGTTTTACTTCAGTACATTTATAAATATAAAGAAATTAATTAATAATAATTCTTAATATATAAATTATTCGACACTATACTGTCCGTTGGCACCATGTTAGTGTCACAAATTGGACAAATGCTGAACATTAAAGCGTTTAAATTACCTTTCAATGAACTGATTACTGCTATTACTCTATTATTCATTTCTACAGATGATACGGCTACAGTTTGTGGTCCCATTTTATGTAACTCTTTTATAATAGTTTGCAACTCATTTAAACTATTAGCGCTTCTACCTGTTAACAATCTATAACAACACACATACCGTTCATAATAAAAAGAAAGTGTGATTGTCGATGATTAAATATTATTAAAGGGTGAATATATATTTAAATTTGTACATACTCCGTCTCAAATTGATTTGGAGTTACAATATCTGCCAGTGGAACTATGTCATTTTTGTAAATATCCTTTAATTCTTTAGGAACGTACATATGACCATTATCACCCATAACAGGATCGCATACTACAAATAATCATTAATAATTCATTGTTATTAGTTATAATGAATAAATATGAAACAAATAATTATACCATATATGAGATTAGGATTTTTGCGTTTTAAAGTTTGAACCAGTGCAGCTATTCTTTTTAAAAATGATGCAGATCCTACATATCCTGTTAGTAGATGAGTATAATGATTCAAATTATTTTCCGCCAAACCATCTACCAATTCATCTAAAATATAAATATATATTTTTTATATTAGATAATATAATATTATAGAAAACATATATTTTTGATTATACTTATATTCTATACACAACAAATAATAAAGCTTATTACTGTAAAATTGTTTTTACCTATATCTTTATCATTAAGTACTTGGCCTTTAATAACTTTATATCCTGTATGATTTGATAATTGAACAGAGTTGATGGCATCTACTTCAAAGCCCAATAACTAAAAAAAGAAATCAATTACATTTTTTAGAAATAAATCTAGAAAATAAATAAATTTTTACTTTAAATAATAATTAAATTTTGTATTTACTTGCAGAGGAAATGTAGCACTTTTATTACCAACATATCCTGAAACTACATGACTTTGGATCGAGAGAATCCGAGGACTTTTTTTCGAATTCATATTTCTACTTTTATACTCAAGATTCTTTTAACGAATATTGTCGATATACTAAATCTACTGATATAAGATAAGAAATAATCACGAGCTTTTATTTTTCGTTGATTAGAAGAATTGCACATATGTAGCATTAGGAAGAAAAAAATGAAATTACCATAAGAAACGATTAAGGTATTTTTAACGGTATTAAAGATTCCTACTTTACTGATCGTAAGTAAGAAGGCGCACTATTTTATTTGTCAGTTCGTTTTTTATATTTTTACTCACCGAAGAATATTAAAATCAATCTCTCTTAGTTTTTGTATTATAATATTGATAACATAAATTATAAATTAAATAATAATAATTAACATGGATTAAATGTAATACGATTAAAAATAATGCAATGATATAGCATAACATAGAATTTAGTTTACAGAAGTATTAAGATTCTTAATATTGTTGAAATATGAATAAATGAATTATTTAAAGTTCCCGCTAGAAAATATTAATCTTCTATAACTTATCTACGATTGGCAGAAATAAATAAAGAAATAAAGAAAGGAAGAAAAATAAAAAGAGAAAAGTTATATTTTTGTAAAATAATTTTGAAGAGTGGTTCCAATGTGGATGATAGTATAATATCATCTACGTTCATGTTACCTCATGATTTGTTTGTGCAGGCCTAAAAATTATGGCGACGTGGGAAAGTGATAATATAAATGACGATGAAAATGCCGATGGTATTAATGATAATTTCAACGATATTATTGTCGCACCTGATTTGCAGGATTACTTGGATGATAGTTTAGATTTACCTAGTTTCAGAAAAGTTTACGAACAATCGGATGTATTTGAATATGGAAAACAGTCCGATGATGAACATGTTAATAATGAAAGGCTATCTAACAACAACAGTACAGGGTAAGGTTGGATCATTTTTTTTAATCGATATTTATAATAACTGATTAATTTTATTCTCATAAATTAGATATTTTAACAATTAGAATTAAAATAAACTAACTTTACCTTAAAAAATCTCGATGATATCTATATGTATCTGAAGATTTTGCGTCGTTTCCTTATAAGGATTGAGTAGTTTTGAAATTGAATTCTAATATTTTTTATACTTTCAATGTTTGATAATTCATTGTATTCTATATATTTTCTTTTATTATTTTCCAATAAATTTCATTTATAATTTATTTTCAAAATGTGTTACAATATACTCTTTAAATGATCTATTCCTATTAAATTATTTAATATAAATAATATCTTGTTTTCTTTTCTGTTTCTTCTTTACAAAATTTGTATAAACCTACTTCTTTGCGTAAAATAATATTGTTATGATTATATTTAGGCACATCCACCATACAATTCGTCCTCAAGAAATTCATATGCATATTCATTCCAAAGAAATTTATACGTCATCCAATGATCCCTTGCATAAAACTATCGTCTATAATAATGTAGACATGGATACCAATCAAAAGCATATTAATCGTTATACTTGCGAATACGAAGGATGTCCTAGAACTTATAGTACAATTGGAAATTTACGCACTCATATTAAAACTCACAAAGGTAAGAGTTTCTTTTCCTTTATATTTAACTATATAAGTTTATACGAATGCAGTGTTGTCTATCAATTTGTTTATAGGTTAATTTAAATTTTTTTTTTTATAAAACAACTCGCTTGTTTAACATAGTATTTATTTTACCAACAATATACTTTTATTTATATATATATATATATTCTTCTAAAATAATGTATAATATATTCTAATAGAACCAAATACATCTATACATTTTCTTCTATCCGTTAGTGTGTTGTTAGTCCAGGCAAAGTGTGTGTCTTGTTTAACATGCTTCAGCATCTTGTCATTTTTGTTTTTCTTCTAAAGAAAGTAATTGTATATTGTTAACTATAATTGGAATTTATATATTATTATAATGCTATGTTTATATAGTTAAATATAAATGAAAAAGAATACAAAAGAAAATAATAATGACTTTTATATTAATAATAATCTTCGTGTTAGTGCTATCAAAGGATAGTTTGATAAGGTAAGTTCGTATATTTAAATTTCTATATTATTGTTAATATATGAAATTTACAATGCTTAATGTTTTTTAAAATTGTCGCTTATGTAGTCTTGATTCAAAATTATAGCGTCATCATTGTGTTAGTATAAAGGGAATGCTTTGACCTGCATGGCTTTCAGATGCCGCAAGAAAAGGTAGCCCCACAAATTTTTATATGTGGAGGGATTCTCAAAACTTTCAGGCGAGTTTCGATTTAAATGTGCAGAGCCAGGTTGTGGAAAGGCTTTTCTCACATCATACAGCCTAAAGATTCACTCTAGGGTACATACAAAAGTAAAACCATTTGAATGCACCCACAAAGGCTGTGGGAAAGCATTTAATACCCTTTACAGATTGAGAGCTCACCAAAGACTTCATAGTGGCAATACATTCAACTGTAAAGAAATTGGCTGTATTAAATTCTTCACTACTCTAAGCGATCTCAAGAAACATGTTCGTACTCATACTCAAGAAAGACCTTACAAGTACGTTTGAGAAATTTAACAATCTAAGGTATTTCTTTTAACCCTTTGACCGCAAAGCATCTATAAACGTCCAGTAGAAGTCACCAATCTCTATACAATTTTAATATTTTGTTTTTGAGCGCTTTGTAGTCCAAGGGTAAGAATTTTCTTGTAAACTCGCTTAAACATTTGATAACATATTTTTCTTCTTCTTTATTAGTTTTATTAAATATGTTAACATATAAATGAGTTTAATTGTATATCTATATATATATATATTAATTATTTTTTTCCTTTTTCTTTAATATTTAAAGGTGTAGAGAAAAAGGTTGTGGAAAGGCTTTTACAGCTTCACATCATTTAAAAACACATAAGAGAACACATACAGGAGAACGACCTTACACATGTACCTATAAGAATTGTAAACGATCGTTCACTACTCCTCATAGTTTAAAGAGTCATATTAAAACTCATAATAAGATTGTTAATAACGAAGACGTGGTAAGTAATACATTAATAGTACTAGGAAATAATTTATTAAAAAAAACATAATAGATAATTAAAAAGATAATAAATATTTAATATTTATGCATGTATACATTATTACAGAGTCAGCAAGACACAATAGACGATAGTATTGAAAACCAAAGAGATAAATCTCAAATTGTAAAGGATATAAGAAATGAAACGGATTGTGTCAATGATGCAACTGTATCGTCTTTTGATATTTCATTACCTGCGGATGACGCACAAGAACATAAAAGTATAGCGTATATCGCGACTTCAGATAATAACGAACACATATCAGAAACTTCGATATTAAATATTTTAAACGATAATTCAATTAATAAAGAATTAGAATATAACATTGACAATGAAATAATAAATTGTCCAAACGAGACTATAACTGTTAATCTTCTTTCAACTAATAATATTCTTAATAGCTTTGATAGTCAGACAATTTGTAATTTTGATAACGAAGATTATAAAAAATTTCATCACGTCGACGATTCCAACATGGAATCTAAAATAACAGATATGATAAAAGCTCAAAACGAAATATACGAGCCTGAAGTATTGCCCTGTTCTTTGAGCAATTTGCACAGCGATATAAGTGATCATAAATCGCCTAATCCGCTAAATTTAGAACAGAAAATTATCCAAGACGGTTTACAAAGTACGATAGTCGAGATTTCGGAAGGTACACATTTTAATAGTAAACCATTGGTTCGTGAAAATGATTTTACTAATAATCTGATGAATGAAACGTTGAAAAATAAAAATAATAATGCAACTACATTATACAACAACGAGACTAGTCAAGATAGAAATATATTGAATTCATCAGACCCTGTGCAACTTTTTAATGAAGAATTAGAAAACCTTTCATTCATCCATGGTGCAAAACTACAAACGGAATCTCTCGAAGTAATGACTCATTCCTTGGCATCTAACGCATTAATAAATGGGCCATCAGAGGCTGTGGAATTAGCTATAGCATCTGAAGAAGAAATACCTTCAGCTTGGGTAGACGTTACAGCATTGGCTACAGCACCTGTGCTCAAGACTGAATCTTGGTCAGAATTGAATGCCTTTCCTACGGCGGTACATTCGTTAGTAGATTTAGTAGGACCCGATCCTTATCCATTAGAAATAGAAAACCAGTTTCATAATACGCAAAATTTAGAAAGGGTTAATGCAGTAAGTATAGACACTGCTATTTCAAATCCCATTGAAACTAAGTCTAAAGAAAATGAAAATGACGTACATAAGGTTGATTACTTAAGATATAAAAAGCATAGAAATGTTTTGCAAGAGATTGCAGCTGATGCAGACATTTGTAAATGCATTGATTGTAAATGTAATCACTTGCAGAATTGTCAAGATTGCACTAACAACTCTACCTTATCTGATATTACCAAAAAAGATATATTATTGAAAAATGTTAATAATGAATGTTTACAAATAGAATGCGCTTGCAATTCCATTTCTGGAAATGGTGAATCTTGTTGCGTGGTAGTTTGTTTGCAAACTTTACAGCAGCTTCAAAAAATATTTAATACTAATTGCTGTAGAGATGTTAACGCCGATATTTGTTATAAAGAAAAATCTTTGTTATCATCGTTAAAATGCCAATTGACTAAGAATCAATGAAGTACAAAGTCGTGTGAAATAAACTAGTCATCAAAAAAGAAAAAAGTACAGTGTAAACTTATGTATAAAAAAAAAAGAAATATTTGTAATTCTATAATAGATACACTACGTTGCTTAGCTTTAAATTTAATTTAAGCAATTGAAATGCCTTTATAGGTTTTTACTTAGAATAAATTAAGAAAATATGACTACATGCATATATATATATTAGGGTGGGTCAAAAAAATGACTTTTTTTTTTCAAGTGCCACGGAAAAATGGATTGCTAGACACCTTGAAACAATTCTCACCAAATATGAGCTCTTAATTTTAATAGAAAGATCCTCCACATCGCAGTTTTTTATTTTTTTTTTGTCTAATAGATTAAAATTCATACCTTATTATTTATTGATTGTACAGAAAAATGTTCTAGACGAATTTTGTAGGAAATTTAATGCTCTACAAAAAAGGCATCTTATATTTTTTCCGTAAACCTCACCATTTGAATGATATTGAAGATTTAAATTTGATGATTTTAAGACAAATTTCATTTTTCTTTATGAATTTTATAACTCGACAATAAAAGACTATTAAAAAGTGCACAATACAAATTTTTGTAGGAAATTAACTACTCTATAAAAATGGTGTCTTATGTTTTGGCGATTAAATTAAGCGTTCAAAAGATATTCAGAGACAAAAATCAGTACACATGAAAGTTTGTCATTTATTGTCGAGTTATAAAATTCTTAAACAAAAATGAAATTTGTCTAAAAATCATCAAATTTAAATCTTCAATATCATTCAAATGGTGAGGAAAAAATATATGATACCTTTTTTGTAGAGCATTAAATTTCCTACAAAATTCGTCCAGAACATTTTTCTGTACAATCAATAAATAATGAGGTATGAGTTTTATTCTATTGGACTGAAAAAAAAAAATAAAAAACTGCGATGCGGAGGATCTTCCTATTAAAATTAAGAGCTCATATTTGGTGAGAATTGTTTTAAGGTGTCTAGCAACCCATTTTTCCGTGGCACTTGAAAAAAAAAAAAGGCATTTTTTTGACCCACCCTAATATATATATATATGTTATGTAGTGTGTGTGTGTGCGCGCGCGCGTATGCAATATTTAACAAGATTTCTTAAAAATGCAATATATAAGCTGTGAGATTCTTGTGCCAAAATGTTGATAAATTTTGTTATAACATTTTTATATATATACCGTATTATATTAATTATTATTATTGCACAATTTCAATTAGTAGAAATGCATTTTTGATATTACATATTAAATATGGTTATAAATCAGTACAAATTAAATTAATATTATATTATATTATATAAATACATTTGAAAAAGGAATGTAAACAATAATGGATTATTTTTTCTTTCTATTGGTAAAATTTGTGCACAATCAATCGGAACTTTTATTATTTTTAATATGAATATATTAAATACTAAAGTAAAATGGTATTAAATATAAATTGTGCATTATAAATAATTATAAATTAATAGTAACTATTAAAAGAAAATTATTTATTATTTAATTATTAGCGAATGTTTATGTATTACTGTATAACTATATTGTACAAAGTGCCAAATACTTATACACCATGTCTCAGAAAAACAAAAAAAATGTTAGATATTTTTAAGTAATATATTCTTTATACTGTAGAGTAGTATACAGGGTGATTCAGCTCTTGCCACCCAAATAGCTCCGAAAGTATGATAGTAACAGAAAAGTGGATGAAAAATTCAAGACTACAATATGACAGTATTTTTTTGCTAGGTTGAGACATTTTTAAGATTTATTGGTTACTTTGTATTTTTAAATACAATGTTATATTTTAATATTTATTTTCGAATAGCGGCTGTCAAGATAAATCCAATGATGTGCAACATTAATATTTTTAAAGGTCAACGAAGGTCAAAACTGGCGAACAAGTCAGCCACAATACAGCTCTTCCGTGTCATGGTCGCGTCAGGGTTGCGTCATCCTTTAGTTATTTCTACAACGGACGGAACAGATATTTTCCGAATAGTTTTTATTGGTCATTGTCAGGTTTTGTATTTAATGTTGCACATCATTGGATTCGTCTTGCCAGCCACTATTCGAAAATAAGTAATAAAATATAATATTGTATTTAAAAAAACAAAATTGACCAATAAATCTTGATAATGTCTCAACCTAGCAAAAAAAATACTTATGTCATATTGTAGTCTTAAAATTTTCATGCAACTTTTTTCTCATTCACTTTTGGAGCTATTTGGGTCGCAAGAGCTAAATCACCCTGTATAATATATCTATGTCGTATATATATATATATATATATAAACGATTACAAATTAACCTTTACGATTAATCATACATATTCTAATATTTTAATAATAATCGATTAATATGATTCTTATGATATATTTCATATTATTTTAACAATAATAGAGTGAGATTTTTTATGGGTGTTCATTTATTTGAAAAATATATATCAAATCACAAGATAACTTTTATGTACCTAAATAAATCATAATTTTGAAATATTTCCATGCTGTTATAGAAAAGAAAGTAAAATAAAATGATACAATAAATTATAATACGAAAATATCTTTTTCTTTATATATATATATATATATATTAATTTTTTCCCCTATAAAATAATTATTTATATATTATAATTAATATATATATATATATATATATATTAATTTTATTTAGAAGTTAATTTATCTGGTAGAGAACAAATGATCTTAATATAAGATTTTATTTGTACTGCATTTTATACAGCAATTATAAGATAATTGTAATTGTATGTCAAATACTTGTATCTAAGATTTTATTAATAGCAAACAATTCAGCAATTTTTAATACTTATTGTGTTGCTTGCACAAGAGCTTCTCCAACTTCGACAGCGATAGCTGCTTCAGCTTTATCTTTGTCCGACGATGCAGAAGAAAGTTGTTGTTGAGCTTTACTAAGAATTTCTCTTGCCGCAGAACCATCCAGGTTTTCTACAAGATGTGCTTCTTCCGCTAAAATCTTTACATATTTTATAAATACATGTGTACATGTGTTCTATATATATATAGAAACAAAATTGTGTTAACATTTCTAGTTAATAAATTAAATTTCTACCTGTACGCTATTATCTTCATTTATGGTTACCGTACCGGAAGAAACAAATACTTTTTTAGTATTACCATCTTCTTCATAAACTGTAACAACACCTGGTTTTAAAACAGCTAGAGTGGGTACATGTTTTGGTAAAATACCAAAGGAACCAGAGAATGATGGAACATCTACTTGTCGAATGACACTTTTATCATAAAATACCTAAAAATAAAATTTACTTGATAAGAATAATTGATTATTTATTTGTATATACATATTTAATACTTCTTTGATAATTGTTTAAGTTATATATATATGAGAAAATATTTAACAAGTATTACATTGTACCTGATTCGCACCAGCAAATGTGAATTTCATTTCATCGCTAGTAGGTGCATCGGCGTAAGTTCTGATTTGGTTACGTACATATTTTAAATACGGCCGAAGATTACGAGCGATAGTTGCCATTTTACTGACCTAAAAATTACCATTTTTTTAAATGTTATATCATTTTGATATAGATGATTCAGTGACATTGTTACATCATAAGATCGAAATATATAACCTTAATTTCAATTAATTATATCTTATTTATACTGGAAGTTTTTTTATTAAAATATATATATATATACATAATCACTTTTTAAAGAATTATACATATTCTAAATTATATCTTAATGTTTTAAATATCTTTAAGATATTAATTTTTACCTGTGTGAATTTAAAGTTCAATGCTGCTATCCAAGATCACACAGCACAGAGACGATTTCGGAGTGAATTGTAACTTAGTTTCTTAATTGATTAACTAGAGTCGCTAGTGTATAGCTACTGGTAATAGAAAATTCGAACTTATCGATAGATGGTCACGTATTTATTTGGTAGAAAATTGTGATATTCTCACTTTGGATATCTCGAAATTCGCAGTGAAATGATTTATATAACATAATTGTATAATTTTCAATTTTACTATAAAACACTTATATTTTATGATCAACCATAAAAAATACATTAAAAATACACTTTAATATCTATCACAATATACATTATTCTTTTATTAATTAATTAATAGAGCTTTTAATAATTATATTAAATTTATCCATTTTGTAACAATATACTTTACAAAGGGAAATAACGAATTATTAGATATATATTTATCTGTAAATTTAATGTAAAGCAATGCATCAAATATGGCGAAGAAGGCACATTAAATTCTTTAACAATAAATATAATTGCACTTTGCGAGAAATTAGAATCGTATATATTTTAAATGTATAAGAATATATATCTAATTAATAAAAATTATTTTTTTACGTCCTCTCTATCTTATTAAAAGTATCTTGACATTACAATGTAATTGATTATATAAATATATATTTTTATTTCTTAAAAAAATTTTTCATATTAGCTTGTATGCAACATTATATGCTATTAGACACGCAATGTGCTGAAACTGATATTGAAGTCTTTCGTGATTATTGGACTATTACTAATTATAGACTCAATAATTTGTTGGTAATCTTTTTTTATGTTTTTGTTATTTTTAAACCTTTTCTTATTTCTAATTGTTATTGCAATTTAAAAAAATTCTTTTATTAGATTACCATCACAGTGAACATCACGAACTAAAACTAAATAACTGTTACCGAATATATAATTCTAAAATTCCAATCCTTCGTTGGAAATATCAGTATGTCGATTGTTATTTTCGTGTTTCGTTTTAATGTGCCTTTCTAAATCTCTTTTTCTAACCAAAACTTTACCGCAAATGTCGCATTTGTATGGCGAATTGGAAGAATCCCTGTGAAGTCTAACGTGTTTGTTCAAATTGCTTGGATCTCCAAATGATCGTTTACAATAGGAGCAAATTAATGGTTTGTAACCAGTATGAGTCCTAAAAAAGAAAATCAAATAAAAAATTTATTTTTGTTATCACTTATGCCATTATTTACATTATTATACAAAATTCAAATTACAAGTCAATATGGAAAATGATCAATTTACTTAACTTATATGAATTTTCAATCCGTACTTTCTTGAATATACTTTACTACAATACACACAAATATAACCATTTATACTTTTGCCAATATTACTGGCATAATTTTCAATATCAGCAGGATCAGTAGAGAGATTGCTTCTCAAAGTTAAGCCTGTGGTATTTGCGACCGATGGGCAAACGTTAGATACACTTCTTAATTTCTTTGCCTTTCCGTATGGTTTAAACGCCGATAATCGATGAGAAATGTTGTGTCCATTGGGATATATCGAAGATAGAGACTGTGGTGAAATTGAAGAAGGTTGACTTGAAGATGAAGAAGATAGCTGATTAGATAGTGTTGGTGATGGATTAGAATATAAATGCAAATTGGACGTATCAATGGGATCTGGTGAAATCGCGTTTATGGGACCATTCAATTGGAATAGAAAAGGTCTTGGATGATGAAGATATTGCAAAGACGCAAATTCCCTTACTAAAACATTCCACAAATGATCATGATCTAAACGATCGCAATCTAAGAACATGTGAATTTTTAAAGGATTTGGATGTTCATAAACAGTGTAACACGTATCACAAATGTATCGATCTTGTCCTGTAACAAATAAACAAAATTATAAGGAATGTAAAAAAAAATTTTTTCTAATGAAAGTATTTAAGTGTTTCTTCTACTTACTTTGAATGTTTTTTAATGTCAAGAATGGCATATTTAAGATGATCAGGAGATTCTCTGAGAACCACAAAAACAAAATTTCATCTGGTGCTATATCTCTGATCGCTTTTATCACTACACCCTTTTCGCTTGGTATTAAAATTATATTATAAGTTTGACAATCAACCGCTAAATTCACTATCTTCAGCCAAAAGTTAGCATTAATGCGTTTATTTGTACTGTGGAGTCTTCCTTCCGATTCGATAATTTCAACCTGCAATGGTTGGCAAATCTTAATATATTTTTTTTTTTATCTCAGATGATTATTGGGATTAGTTTTTTAGAATAATTTTTCTTTCGAACTAACAATAACAAATGTAAACAAAAAAAAATCGAATACTTACACAGTTTACTGTATACATGCATGTTTGTGAAAGTTTATTAAGATCAATGATGTCGCTGGTAGCATCTTTTTTAATAAAACTGGTTGCTTTAACAATTGGACCACGATTATTTAACGAACTTGGATCAGAAAAACGATAAAATCTTATCATCGTTGAGTTAATTTCATCCGGGGTACACATTGTTTTTACAGAAGACAACAAATTCACTAAAAACTTGGATACTTCAACACTTTCAAAATTGTTACTTAGAAATAATCCTCATACAGAATTTTAATTTAATATTTCAAGGTCAATTGTTAAAAATTCACTTAAAGTTCTACTGATTTGTGTTATTGACGGTCATCTACTTGCCAACTAAATGTCAACTGACAATAAGTAAAGAATGAAACTTATCTACGTTCGAGTATGTTGGTTTGATCCTTACTACCTCTTTCCAAAGATCTAATCGTATTTAAATGTTCTAGAGGGAGTATTTCTAACATCCATCCTAGACTTATTGCCCAATAGTATCGCAGGATGGTGGGGTTTCAAAAGGGATGGTAAGCATTTTTCTTAATGGAAGATGCAGTAGGACCGCCTACAGTTTAGGCCCCCCACTCTTATCCGTGTAGATTTTTAAACATATAATTTATATAATACATTATAAATAATATATTTATATTGTTAATATATTATTAATAATTATTCATAAGAAAATTTTGTTATACAAAAAAATGGTATAACAAAATTTTGACACTTCATTATAAATTTTATATTTGATAATATCCAAAATTTACCAATAAAATTGAAAGAAGTTTCATTCAAATTTTAAATAAACAGCAAATGAAATATTTATTGTGATACATTTGTTGTAAGATTTTTGGATAAATGTTTATCAAAAATATTACTCGTGTTTCTTTGAGAATGTTATTTAACTAACAAAATAGAGTAATTTGAAATTCTTTACATTTTTCAAAAGAAATTATAAAAAATATAGATTAGGATGATTTATTGCTCAATTTTCGTGTGGACAATGCAATGTAATTTCCATTGAAGATCATTTTCTTTAATGAGCAATGGATTTGATAAGAAAAGGGTAAAATCTAATAGCTATATTTTTGAAAGGATTAAATCAGCATGATCAGAAATTTCACAATAGAACTCTTTTGGTACAAAAATAACCATAAAACATGTTAGAAATTTAAATATGAACCTTTGAATTGCCCGACGAACAAATTTAATTATTCTTATCTATCATTTTCTTTTAACTTTAAAACCTTAAAAAATGAATTGTAGTACACTTTTAGCATAATATAATTTAACATAATCCCCAAAAATCCGTGTCGACTCTCGTGTCTATACAACACTTTTATATTTAAAAATAGTTAACAATTTATACAAATTTTATTATTAAAGTATTTTTATAACTTATTATTACTATGTAAAATATAGTTTTTAATAAAAACCTCAGACTTCTTTCCAAATTTTCTTGTTATTCATACAATTTTATCTTTATAGACAATTTGCGTATCAAATTTAAAAAAAAATTGTTACAAAGGGACTCGAGGGAGAGTGAATCGAGATAAGTGTTAGATCGTATGCCGAGAAAAAGAAGATTCGCGATTTGTGGAACGTCAACGGGAGATGATGGGACACGTTTGATGGGGCTATAAAAGCCTCATGTGAAAGGACATTGTTTGGCTCAGCTGCAATTCGGTCTAGGACCTATCCAAAGAGAAAAAGAGAGAGAAGAGGGGGAACTGTCGAAAGGTGCATCTGAATCAACGCTTGATTAGGAAATTAAGTGGCTCATTCTTCTATGCACTCTTGCACAGATCTAACAAGTGCGATATAGGTATCAAGGATTGACCTAATCGTCCGTTTCGATCTCGATCGGGTATTTTATTCCAATCGGATTTATCGAACATTTGACGATAAGTTTTTTCTTTTTCTTTTTCTTTTATTATTTAATACTTTCTTTTTGTCTTTTTATTTTGAAAAGTGGAATAAAAATATAAAATATTAACATAAGTAAATAGCGCTTCGAAAGTTAAGTGACTCATTTTTATACTCGAGACTTCTATCTCCCGTTATTTTCGATGATATTTGTTTAAAAGTATAGATTTTTCAAAAATATTACCTACAATACAAGCGTTTATTGTTAGTCATATAACAATACGAGTTAAAATGCTTGCTTTAATGTGTTTTCTTAACGATAACATTGAAATTAATAATAATTATATTAAATAATATTAATGAGGAAAAATTAAAGATAGCGATACTTCTTGTCGCCGTGAACATCATGATTCATGTAGGTTTATGGTTCCGTAGCAGAGAATGACAAGTCTTCACAAACCGCACCATCTCCTAGGAGGACCCTTCTGTATATATGTATATCTCTCTTTATATACACATATAATTATTTCTGTTTTTCTCTCTTTATTTTTCTCTGATATTTCGAAACTAGAGTACGCAAGCCTTTCGTTCTTCTTCGAAAGTTGCTGCAAGTGTTCAGGACTGTATTTTCATAAATTTTTAATCTTATTCATATTGGTTAAACGTTAACACGTAATTTTCACAAAACGAAAAATGAAATAAACAAAAAATATAGGAAAGGAAATAAAAATTTGTTTTCTTATTTCGTTGACAAGATTCTTTGTAGATTTTTCTTGTGGTTTATTGGCGAACCTCAAAAATTTACCCGCATCTAAGGCAAGGGGATGGTCCCTTGGATACCCCCACTTTTAGATACCCCCACCCTTGGATAGTCCATCTCTTTCTAAAATCAGGGTGCATTGAGAGAAGCAAGCACAAGCCAGCAAGCGAGCAAGTGTTCCTCCGTGACCAATGGGCTCTTGCACGCATGTGTGCACTTCCCAATGCGATATTAATATCGCGATTATCATCTACTTATTATCGTTATTCTCCTCTACGCACGATCCTTCAAATAAGCCTACAAAAGATACCCTCTTTTGCTTGTACGCATGGTATTTCTCAAACCTTAGTACAAGCAATATCATACTTTTTCTACACATTTTTAGAATCTATAATAATAGGATTATTAAAAAAAAAAAGAAGAAAGACAAAAAAATAAATGTCCCTTGTATACACGTAAAATGATTTTTTATGTTTTTAAAATTGAATTCATTTTTTTCAAAAAAGTATGTACTTAATTATTATAAAAATTGTATATTAGAAAACATGATTAGGAAATTGTCAATTGATATTATTTTCTCATTTTCGAAAATCTATGTTTTGTATAAAATACTCAAATACGCGATACAGGAGGTGCGAAAATAATAAAATCGATTGTTGGATAAGGTTGTATTAGTAACTTTTAGTCTCTTCGTCATCGCGGAGATGGAACAAATCTTATTGTTATTCGACCCTTTACAAGAGTAGGACCTACGCATAGTACTTATGCAAGGACTATGTATGGTTACACGGGAACACCGGATGCTGCAGGGTGAATTCTGAATTATGGTGAATTTTGCGGGGAGGTACTCGTAAAGGTGATTCGTTTCGGTTCTGCAAGTGTCAAAAGTTCCCCTAGTCTAATGATTTTTTTCTTCTAACAGAGAGATAGACAGAGCGCTTCGTGTATTATTAACATTTCCAATCTTTCTATTTATTTCCATTTCTGTATGACTTTTCTCGTTAACTACCCATTATTTGATAATTTCTTGACTGAACAGATTGATTAATATTTAATTAACGTAATTTCAAAAATACTAACATTCAATTTTACAGCTTTTGTAAAAATGGTGCATGTATATCGATCGAAAATTAATTACAATAAAAATAATTTTAGCAAATTTGAACAAATTTTCTCTGAAATCGAATGTCAAGTTATTTCTCAAATGACTTCATCGAGTATGTACTTGTTCACAGATGAAAAATCAAGTTCTATTTTGGGCACGTGCCATGGACATATTGCCACTGTTACATAGAAGTGAATACCGTGTAACATGACACGTGACCATCAGAGATACCCCATAAGCTCTTTGCACTTCGTTCGCAAACTCTATGGAAAGAAAATTGTATTTAACCATTAGCAGCTATTTACTTGATTTTAAGAGTCAATTCATATTTATTAGCAAACACGTTTATTATTTGGAAACTAACTTTTGTAAAACTGTATTAATGAACATTGAAAACAAATGATTGATAAAAATTTCAGTAAAATTTCAACCATAAAAAAAGAAATTTTGCGTTTAGAGAGATACAGGTAACACAAATCACTTGATATAATTATAATGATAATAATAATATTTTTGATTCCTTTAATAAAAATTGAAAAATAAATGATATTGATTGAGAAAGTTTTACTAAAATTTTGATCTGCAAAAAAAATAAAGACAAAAATGTTGCATTGAGAAAAATGCAGGTGACACGGGTCACATGACATAATAATAATGATAGCAATATTGCATCCCTTTTCTTTCTTTTTCTCTCTCGTTCTCTTTTTCTAGATCGAGAATCCATGCTCTCTGTTGAAAAGCCAGCCTCCACCGAGTTCGGCTCACTTGGCACAGGAGTTCAGTGCATTTAATACTAGTCCGAGAGCCACCCCATGTGTTTAATTTAATCCAATACAATATGTCCGGTTCACCTTGCTCCTCTTCTCTTCTCTTACCGCTATTGCTATTTCTAAAGGGGTGAGTTAAAAAGGGTGGGTGGCTTTTTAAAACCGTACTGTGATCTCGATTCACCGTAAAACCTCATCCTATTATGATAAATTTAATCCTGATTCAATCGGACAGGTTTTTTCTTTACCTTTGCGGTCTACCGCGACAAAATGTATGGAAAAATATTTTTGCTCCTATTATTTTATTTATTTTCTCTTCTGATTGATAATAATTGGAGATCGTTGGAAAAATGATTTGATTTACTGTATGTAAACAAAAGTTGTGTTGAAATTAATCTAATATGGTTTTTTATTTTACGAAAAGTATTATCTGATCTCACATCGGAATATATACAATTTGTGAATACTTTTCAATGACTTAACTAAATCTCTTTTTTTTTTCAAATGGAAAGAATGAGGTTTGTTAATACGAAGTTCACTTGGTCTAGAATAAGATAGCCAAAGTAGTAAAACAAAAATAGATAAAAAATACACAATGATCGTAGAAAGTTACAAAGGAAAGAACGAAGTTTACAGGTCATTTTAAAAAAAGGTATAAAGAGGTCCCTTTAAAGAAAAAAAGAAATTCTAGAAAATATTTACATAAGAGGGTTCAAAAGTCTTGAGCCTAAGAAGATGTGAGAAACCTTAAGAAGAAAAGAAAGCTTAAAATTTATCAATCCACTTTCGTGCGTTAAGCTCAGAACTTTTAAACCCCTTTTCGAATATTATGCTTAAGACTTTTTTCAGTTTTCTAATATTAGGCTCAAAACTTTTCAACTCACCGTCGTTTATTAGACTCACAATCAGAATTTTTCATTCCATTCATGTGTATTTTTTCTATAATTTCTTTTGTTTTTAATTAAAGTGTAAAAAATTACTTTTCTATGTAAAATGAAATGAACTGATATATAAGAATACATGTGAAACTTTTCTATCCGTTTTCTTTGAAATAGTTAAGGGGGTATTCTGGTCTAGAAATGTGAAAAAATCGATTTTTTTCATATTTTCAAAGCTTAACCTTTTAAGAATATGTCCTTAAGAGGATTTTTCAAAATTTAAATTATTTTCTGAGATTTAGTTGTTTTAGTGACACGGCATCCTATATCCTATTCTTATTACACGAAATTTTGAACGCGTTTTTCTCGAAACTGTTTTTTTTTCACAATTGTCAAGATATCTCAAGTTCTACTAAACCGATTTGCTTGAAATTTGGTGAGAGTCTTCTCTATGCATTTCTCTATCGTACTAACTAAACTCTTATAACAATTTTCAATTTTTACTATTTTAAAAAAATTTGGAAAAGTAAAAAAAGTGATAAGAATAATGTATCTTTTTTTCAAACAGTTGTAATTTAGCGAACCCCCCACTCATCAGCCTATATCTTTTTCAATTTTGAATTTTTTCATCATTTTTTTTCCATGTATTCTTGAAATATTAATAAATATCTTGTAATATTATAGATAGTGAAAATATTATTCGTCTTTTTGTTATTACACTTGAAAAAGTATCCAAAATTCATGCCTCTAGACCAGAATACCCCCTTAAGTATTGGGTCTTACTGTTGGCACAATGTATGGACCCATATATCTCTATAATTGTATAGAATTTTAAAAAAATATTGCTATCCCATCAACTTAGCTCTCCCCTCGTTAGAGAAAAATGGAATGAATCATTTTCTGTTAAAGATATATAAAGGGCAACGTTTATTTAGACATTAAATAAGATTAGTTTCATTTATTTAATGCTTATTCTTACGTTTTTTAATTTATAAATTACGACAGCAATAAACATAAGGAAATATTGAAAATGCATTAAAATCAGTTATTTATGCTTTAAATTTGACAAGATTATTTTGTTATTAGATATTACCGAATAGTACATCTAATTGTAAGATAAACTAATTGTAAGTACTTAAGGAACTCGGTAAGAGATCTATACTTATAGATAAATGTATACAAATTCACATTTATTTTATATTAGAGATCTCAATAAATATTACATTGCAGAAAAAATAGGTACACAAAATTTGCTAATAACTTTTAATATTTGTTACCCAATTAAAATAAAATGTTTATGCATTGTAAAGCAGAGCATTATTTTTCAAACTAGAGATACACAATTATTTCAATATTTTTTTTTATTCTTATCAAATAAATTCGATTAATCACAAATTTATAATAATATCCATAAATAAAAAGACAAAAGAGAGAATAGGAAAGACACGAAGGATAGAAAAAGAATCGATAATTAATTTTTGATGAAACTATATCCCCTCCTTTTATTTGCGGCTCTTGTTGTTTGCTATAGGGATAGAAGTGCGTGATGGTGTCCTGTCAGGAAAAGGAGGAGTAAGAGGAGGGTGGTTATCAGGGGTGAAGTAGGGTGAGGTGAAAACAGAGATGGATTTGTCACACAGCTGTGTACACTGCTTAATGTAGAAAGCCACCTACCTATATGAAGAGTGTAAGAGACATTGGACCAGTGCTGGTAAGAGAAGGTGTCTCTAAACCTAAAGCCAACTAAGATTATTCGAATACGAAACGTAAGATCAATGAATGTGTCAAGAACATTCTTTATTGAGCTTTGAGTATTAATCAGACCACCATGCTTCCATATTTGTTAACTCAAATTCTATCCATTTTGTTTTCATATATATATATATAAATATATTTAAGGCGACCTTAAACGATAGTTTTGTATTTGTATATATAAAATAAACTTTCTCTTGTTGTTTTTGTTTTTTTTTTATTCTTTTCTTATTTCCCTTTAATTTCTCTTGTTCTATACATTTATACATGGTTGGTATATAAGCATAGGTTTTAATCTAATACGAGTTAGATATTAAGTAAGATTGTAGAAGCATTGTATCTTCGTTTTCTTCTTCTTCGTTTAACTTGTCTGTATTTTTCTAAGGTATATTTGTGCTAAGAAATTGTTTTTTAATCTTCCTTTTTACAATAATTTTTTTAATTGCCAGAGAAAGTTAAAAAGGATCTATAATTGTTGCAATAGATCGATAATTTCAAATTTTTTCTTCGGTGGAAAATACAAATAATCGTTGAATACAATAGCGGGGTATTGTCGCGAGTTATTATCGTATTTTCCCTTCGTATTCCTCCTTTTTTTCCTGGGATCTTTTTGTTACCTATGTAACTAATTCTAAAAACTCATTAGTTTGTGTATAAGTATAAAACATATAATTCACTCATTTCTTTTTATCTAAGTCAGATTTCTAAGTCAGTTGGTGGTAAAATCGTAAACCGAAACAGGTTCAACTAGTAATCTACTTGTAACGTAATGCTGTGACCTTGAAAAATTATAGCGAGATGGAGAGGTATGAATAAAATTATTTTATTTATTTATATATATATATATTACCTTTTAACTTTTTTCCTAAACTATAACTTATTATTTAATCGAATATTAAATAGAAAGCCTTTTAAATATAAATAACACGAGTTTGCTTCGATAAATTAATATTAATTAAATCAATTAATTGATATTAATGTAAATAAATAAAATAAAATAATTAAGCAGAACATTTACATCTCTCTTATCATCTGAGCTACGATAATTTAAAACATAAGTTATCTACATATAAACGTTTTTCTTTATTAACTAAATTATTATTAAATTATATAATTGTAAATTATGCGATTGATAATTTTTCTTAAATACAAAATATAAAATTAAAATTTATTTAAAGTATCTAATAATAATCATTTTGTATGATAACACATTATCATAAGATATCATTGACATTTTGCTATTCAACTAATGGCAATACGGATTCAGTGAAAGGTAAAATCTTATAGATGGCATTGGTAAAAACATGGCGCTGTTATATATATGTATATAGACTATATGTATAATATATGCTCACTTGGTATGGTTAAGTTGCGCAGGCTCGTTATAAACACATGATAAAAGAGGTGATATGTTTTATGATCAACGTTGCAAGCATCGTGGCGTTTTAAACAGTTTTATCACTTATATACAATACGTATAATTAATTGTACATGAAAACAATGTGACGTTTAAGAGATGATTATTATTATCTTATACTAAGATAAAAGATGCTAAATAGTTTACATGATTAATGATTGTATATGTATTTATTGTAAACATTATTTTGTGCGTCTATTTTACGTAAGCAAAGTAAATGATCTTAATTTATAATATAAAAATAAATTCATTTAGTAACTTAGTATAATTTTGTATAATTAATTTCATGAATTTTTATGTAAATCAAAAAGCGATATGACAACCCCTAAGTGTGAAGATGCTGGACCTTTAAAAGAATGGGCACCACCTACTGCACTTCTAGAAAGCATTCCTGCAAGAACAGCAATTGGTTTATTCAATCATGATATTAATTTTACTTGTATTGCTGCATTATGTGATTTCATTGCTGTAGGAACTAATTCTGGTGCTGTTTACTGGTACAATAGGGAAACACATGAGACTACCAAACTTAGTTGCTGGGTATAATGATTATCATTTGAATTAGAATCTTAAAAAAAATGCATATAAAATAAAAAATACTAACGATTCCAATAATTTTCTGATTTTAGTGTGTAAATACACCAATCACTTGTTTGCAAATAGTATCAACCGTTGATTACATGGTTGCAGCTGGTAGCGAAAAAGGAGTTAAAATTTTTCGAATACCTAAAGTTATTCCTGATTCAGTACCTGAAAGAATAAAACCAAAGGAGAAAAAAAAGGTATACAAACATTGCACGTAATTGAATTTTTATTACATGCGATATGTGACTGAAATAAGTTTGTAATACTAATGTGTTTATTAATGTGTTTATTGTATTTCAAGATTCTACAAAATTCTATAAATTTACACAAAGATACAGTGACGGCATTAGAATGGTCAAAAAATGGCATGCATTTATTTAGTGGAGATGAAAATGGTTTAGTAGTAGTAGCGGACTTCGATTATTACAATGTACGTAATGATGATAACATTTTTATATAAATATTTGATAATATGTATCTTGAATCTATCAAGAATATAATATTTATTTAATATATATTTTCACACAGAATACCCTTGAAGTTAGTAAATTGTGCAATGAAAAATATCCCATTGTACAATTGAGTTGTCATCGCGGATTATTATTAATTTCAACTACATTACGTACCATTTTATTAGACAGATGTGACAATAATAGAGTTACGCAAATTGGCCAAAGGGAACGTAAAAAGTAAGTATTTTTAAAATAGTATTTGAACAATATCAATAAACGAAGTGTATACAAAATGAAAATTTGTTCGAAAAAACGCATTTTAAATTACAGTTTAGGTCCATTTGGTGCCATATTTCGGCACAGTTATACGAGAAAGTTTATTATTTATGCTACTAGACCAGGCTTTAGAATATGGGAAGCAGATCGAAAGGGAACAGTATTAAAAACTCTTATGTTTAAGGTAAGCTTTATTCGACCATTTAATTATATGAAATCTCACGAGAAGTTAATGAAATTTGAAATACATTTTTTATCAAATGAATTATAAGGAAAGTTGTAAGAAACATTATTAATGATCATTGTTATAGTAATAAATTATCTCTTTCTTTTTTTTTTATGTGTGTTAAAGGATGCAATTAAGTTTAACGAAGCATATGTAAAATTATTAAATCCTGCTCCAGAAAGTGTAAGAAATAGTCGAACGGAGACAGCATTCGGCACATTGTTGCAATTTAATGAAGATTATTTAATAACATATAACAGTGATATAATATATATCGTAAATCCAAATAACATTACTGTAACAGCTGTAACGGATGTACGTAGAGTTACTAACGTTGCTTGTACTAAAGAAGAAATATTTATTGTCGAAGGAGACAGAAATATTATACGTATTTCATACTACCCCGATACTACGGCTAAAGGTAATGCGTTATTATTTTCAGTTGTATATTAGCTATATATTAAATTTATAATTTATTTGTTAAATATTTCATTAAATTTTCTTAACCCAATAGATGTCATGTCTTTTCCTGCTTTAAGTCAGTCGAGGACTGCCGGTTTACTTGAACTTACTACTATAATTGCGGAAAGTAAAGTTCTTCCAGTTTTGTCGTTCTCCAAAAAGAAACAAAAAAACGAAACTTCATCTACGTCGTAAGTTACCCATTTGATTTTTTTTTATTAATTAATTTATTTCTGTTCAAACGTGATAAAACGATATATAGAACTTATAAAATTGCATTAGAATATAGTTTAACCAAAAAGTGGATTATGTTTCAGTATTACATTGAATGATAATACTAGTATGGAAGCAAATTCTATAACAGACGCAGAAGAAGCTGTGGAAATACCATCTGTCTTTTCAGTAGATTTTAGTACAGACTCGCAAATGGATCTTAATAAACAAAACAAAAAAGAGGAGGAAGAAAATAAACAAAATTTAAGGAGACAAATATTTGAAAAAATTAGCGAACAAGATTTTGAAGACGTTGTTTTCACGCCGGAAAAGAAAAATAAGAAATTACGTAGTAAATCGCAAAATAGAAATAAATCTGAAGTATCGACTTCTGATGAAATTTCGAAAGCATCTTTTCCTTCACGAATTGAAGGAATACAAACATTTATGTCGACAAGTATTGATGATAAGCTTATGGTACCATCCCCGAGAGATTTGGAATCAATTCAACGAGACGTTGAAGATAAAGAAAAATTACTTGCACATATGCTCGATTTTGATTTAATTAGTTCTAAGAAGAACATCGACGCTGCTAATAAAAGTATTGATATCATTACTGATCCTTCTAGTACTATTTCATGCTCTATTGTAGGTATTGAATCGAATAATGTTAATCTAAGCAATGAGTTTCCTGATTGGGACCGTAATCACTCGCATATTGGAAATCATGAAAATGAATATAATCAAAGCAATAATAACAAACCTGTTGAATCGGGGGATGACGAAGTCAGCTATCAAACAGTGTTAGAAACATTTAAAAGACTTGTAGAAACTAATAAAAAACTAACTAAAAGTAAATTAACATTTGATGAAGATATTGCTAAAACACCTGCTAAAATAGAGAATATTGAAGCTAACTATCAAAAGGCACTTAAAATGTTAGAAGAATATGAATTAAGTAATGAAAAATTAATTGATAAAGTACCAACTGAGTCAGGGGATGACAAAGCTAGCAATGAAACGGAATTTAAAAAGTTAGAAAATATTTCAGGAGGTAGTGAAGGAATAACAAAATGTATATTAAGGAATAAAGAATTAGTAGACGATATACTAGCTGAATCAGAGAATGATGATACCAGCTATATAATAGACTTAGAAAAATTAAAGAAACTTTTGGGAATTGCTAAAGAAATAACAACAAATAAATTAAGAATTAAAGAATTACTGGATAACTCATGTGATGAATCAAGGAATGATGAAACCAATAGCTATCAAACAGTTATAGATAAGTTAGAGGTGCTTCTTGAAACTAGTAAAGATAAAAAAAGAAGTAAATTAATCATTAAGGAATTAAAGGACAATATATCTGATGAATCAAAGAATGATAAAATCAGTTATCAAACAATAATACAAATATTTAAGAAGCTTGTAGAAACTAATAAAGAAATAACAATTGACGAATATACTGTTAACATACATGCTAAATTAGCGAATGATGTAGCCAACCATCAAACTGCTTTAAAAATGTTACAAGAGTTTGAAAAAAGTAGTAAAAAACTAACTACAAGCGAATTGGAGAGTGAAAAATTAATTGATAATGCATGTGCTGAAATAAAAAATGAAAAAGCCTCCTATCAAGTAGTGTTAAAAATGTTAGATCTGCTCATATTAACTTCTAAAAAACTACAAAAAAATAAATTTAAAAATGATGAATTAATTGATAACACACCTACCAAGTCAAGAGAGAATAAAATTGACTATGGCACGGAATTAACAAAATTAGGAGAGCTTTTAAAAAGTAGCGAAGGAATAACAAAATGTAAATTAAAAATTAAAGAATTCATTGATAAGGCACCTGTTGAATCAGGGGATGATCAAAACTGTTATAAAGCGATATTAATAATGTTAGAAGTGCTTGAAGAATGTGCTAAAGAAATAGCAAAAAATAAATTAAAGAACGATCTATTATTTGGCAATGCGTCCGATGAGTCAGAATATGATAAAATTACTTATGATATGGTGTTAAAAATATTAGAGGAGATTCGTGAATTTAGTAAAAAAGAAAAAAAAACTAAATTAATAAGCGAAAAATTACTTGATAAGGCATCTGCTGAAATAGAGAATGACGAAGCCGTTCATCAAATGGAATTTAAAAAATTAGAAGAGCTTGAAAAAAATAGTAAAGAATTAATAAAAAGTAAATTAAAGAGCGCGGAATTAATTTCCCTGGAAGATTTACAAGATGTTACGCACGAACGAACGACTCGAGCCACCAACAGTGACTCAAGCTGGAGTGATCTTGAAATCGATTTAGCAGGTAAATAAAATTAATTTCTTATTATCATTTGATCGTCTGTCTACCATATGAATTACCAAAAATTTTACTATTATTTTGTAACGCTTAAAAATAAAAATAAAATAAAAAACTCAATAATAATAAAAAAAAAAAAAACACTTATTCGTTTTGAATTCTTCTTATGGTTTCAGTATTAAATGAAAGTATAACAGCATCGAACATTTCTGAAGACGAAGACTGGGTTTTGGTTCATAAACATTCCCCAAAGATCGATAAGGATCAAATTAAATGAGAATCGTAAAAAAATTTACTTTTTTATTGTTTTTTTTTTCGGATAAATTAATTTTTAAACGATCCTATCTCCTCGTGTACAATCTTGCATTTATAATAGAATAGATCAAAAATGAGGAAGTCACATATTTTGTGTACATGACGAACACGATTTTTAATTACAAAAAACATTTTTTTTGTTTTCTTTGTAATAATCTGTGTTATATATTATATATATAAATATTTATTTAATTTAATATTTAAGTTTTTAAATTTACGATCTAGTCTTAAATTTCAAATATTTTAAATATTTTTTTCCTTGCCTTATCTAAATTCTTTTATAATAATATTTTGCTTATCATAAATTAAACTCATTCAATTTTATATTTATATATAATATTTAAATTAATTTTTACATTATATTTTATCGTTCTCGTACTTAGCTGTAATACTCGACTATCTTGAGTTTTTATTAAATTACTGTCTGCGACGAATATAACATAATTTTTTTCATGTTAAGTAAAAAACAACCTTCGCTGGTAACTATTATTATGTAATTATTTTTTGTAAACAATAATATGGGCAATAATTATATTAATAAAAACGAATATCGTTATAATTGTATGTAAAAAAGAAAAACGAAACTTGGGTAACAAAAAAGTATTAAAGTATAAGTATGTAAGCATGTAAGTAGGATGCTGTTACAAATGATAAACAGATAAGTGTTATATATAATGTAATAAATGAGACATAATGATTATTAATTTATAAAATGAATTACTTTAAAAACATTTTTATTTATTTGTTATATTTTAATTTTTATTTATATGTATTTATTTTCCAATTATTTACATTACATTGGTAATTTCCTAAGTTTCATTTACGGTTTTGACTTTATTACGGGTAGTAAGCAATAAAACTTTTAAACTGCAGACTGAATAATGTCAGAATATTTCTTAATTTTACTAGCAACGCTCATGTCAACATATTTATCACCGATAGACACGATCATACCACCAATTACTGATGGATCAACTTTGGAAGTAAGCTTGATAGTCTCACCTTTTTTGAGGAAATTTTTTAAAGTCGATTCTAATTTATTTTTAATATCGGCATCCAATGCTTTAGCAGTGATCACTTCGCAAACTACTTCTCCTTTATCTGCAGCCATAATAATTTTATATGCGTTAAATACCTGACTAAAATTTTTAAGTCTACCATTCTCAGCTAATAAAATTAACAAATTAGAAGTAGCTGGGTTAAGAGATATCTTATCTCCAATAAGCTTAAGCGCTTCTGCTTTAGTTTTGCGCTTAATTGAAGGATCTCGTACGAATTCTGCTAATGTCGCATCTGTCTTCATTAAGCCCTGTTAAGAACAATATAATAATAGTTATATAAAAAATAATATAAATCAATAAATAAATATGAATATTTCATTTGAATGCTTTATTCAAATGTTTTTAATAAGTATTCGTATTTAAACACCTGGAATTTGTCTAAATCTTGTTCGATCTTGCCAAGCGACTTCTGTTTGCTTCCAGCAGAATAAAGTGCGGTAGCATATCTTCCTTCTAAGCCGAACACTTGAATTGGTGGCTACAGTCACATAATCATTTTAATAAATTATACAAATTATTATACAATTTAGCATTATTGATTAAAATATGAACATTTTAATACCTTCACCAATTGTTGTACAGTAGTAGATGATGAGAAAGACCGAACCTAAAATAATGATATTTTTTTAAATATAAATATGGAATAGTATTATTTTGTCTTAATTTATATTAATATTATACAACAAAAATACGATTATAATTAAATCAGTGAAATATTTAAAATTTAATTTCGATTTGAAAAATATTTGAAAAATGTTGCTTAGTATTCTTAATTAATCAAAAAAAGATTGATGTTGATATTATAAGATTTAAGTATTAATTACTAACAATTATTCTGCTGGCAATCATTTTCACAGATATTTTAATCGAGACAAAACTAATTCGTCTCTTTTTTCACTGATTATAACCATACATTATGTAAGCTATAGCAATGTATAGAAAGGTTCAATTTTATAGTACGTATCATGCCCTACAAGTCACGACAAAATCATTTAAAATCCGCCATTATGGAAGTTTCCATGAATGAAATTAAATACTCGAAAAGTCGACCAATCATATGCAGTTTATAGTTGCTGCATTTATTTATACCAAAATCAAACATAATTATTTTTATAATTATAAAATATCATTTTAAATGACTAACTTGAAATGAGGTTATAAGAATTTAGATATTTTTAATAAAGCATTTGTTCATTATTTACATTTCCCATTTAATTCTCTCAAAAATGTTTCTATGTTGATGACAACGTGTGAGTTTACAAAAATTTTTAATAGATGGTACTGTTAATAGTTGCTATTTAGGGATCCTATAGGAGGGATGCGCCATGTACATTGCTGGGGGACCGGAACTCGATTTTGTGCGCGAATGATTCAAACATTGAAATAATTATGAAATAATAAATTGCATCAAATACAGAAAAAAAATGAACTATATTTAATGATAATTAAAAATTTATATTAAAATAGAATAGGTTACACGAAAAAATTATTATAAATTCAAGCGGTCCCCCAAAATTTTCAGCTCATGTGCTATTGGCTGAAAATTTTAGGGGACCGTTTCCGATCCAACCCGCAGCCATGTTTATCTTTAGTATGTATTAACGGCTGTGGTTAGTTTAAGTTTGGAATACTTATAATTTTTATTGCGATATTTATGTTTAATTATNAAGTTTGGAATACTTATAGTTTTTATTGTGATATTTATGTTTAATTATTTTTTTTTTTTTTTAGTAGTTTTCTATAAGTGTAAGTTTAATTTACTCATTTAATAGTTACAAGTATAAATGTACAAACTTAACCTATAACTTATCGTTTGTTTACAGACTTATTGTTTGTGATGAATAATCATGGTTCGACAGTGTATTCTTAATTACTGAAAAGTTCAACAAGAACTACGCACGACCGTAAATACCTTATACCATCGCGTAGGTATAATCACTAAAATTTACAAAATTTTAAGCAAACCAATCTCAGTTCGAGTAAAACTATGATCATGTATCACATTGAGAAATAAAAATGTGTTAAAATAAATCTATTATTTAATTGTTTTATATATTTGTCTTATTATTCTTCTTATTATTATTAATATAATATATATAGTAGATAATTATATTTATCAAAATTGTATAAATTCCTACAAATTGTTTTGAAATTTCAAAATACTGTAATGCCTTTTATCAAATCAAACTTAATTAAGTCTTTCTTATTGAATTTATAATAATTTTCTCGTGTAACCTATTCTATTTGAATATAAATTTTTAATTATCATTAAATATAGTTCATTTTTTTCTGTATTTGATGCAATTCATTATTTCATAATTATTTCAATGTTTGAATCATTCGCGCGCAAAATCGAGTTCCGGTCCCCCAGCAATGTACATGGCGCATCCCTCCTACAGGATCCCTATTGTTATTCTCTTTTTTAAATAATTAATTACCTTATTACATATTATTCATTAAATTTTTCTCAACATAAGTTTGTTTAAAATTTGGACATTGAATTGTAATTTCTGGAAGTAATTAATTATATTAATTTTATATCATATTTTTAATTTTGAAATATGAATTTGTTTTATTAAATAAATAATATATAATAATTATTATTATTGTTTTAGTGATGTGTAGTAACAATTGGTAATCTATTTCCATAAATCATTTTTGTATGTATCCTATGTACTTATTATTTTTATTAGAATAAATGAATACTAAAAAGTGTAAAGAATCGATGTTCTACTTTGGATTTGCAATATAAAAAAATGACAATTTTAATGAACTCAATGTTTCATTAATAATGTGTTTAATGAAGAAACAGTTAATTGTTTATATATTTTAATTTTGATACAATGGCAAGCACCAATGAATTTGGCCCTGATTCTGGTGGTAGAATCAAGGTATTTGAGGTTATATTTCACTTATTAGAATAGTCTTAAAAACTATTAAGATTTAAAATATATTAGTATACCATTACAATATGGAATAATATTGTAATAATTGCAAATTTCTTTTTTAGGGTGTTACTATAGTTAAACCTATAGTTTATGGAAATATTTCTCGTTACTTTGGCAAAAAAAGAGAAGAAGATGGTCATACACATCAATGGACTGTTTACGTTAAACCATATCATAATGAAGATATGTCAACATATGTTAAAAAAATACATTTCAAGTTACATGAAAGTTATAATAATCCTAATCGCATTGTGATTAAACCCCCATACGAATTGACTGAAACAGGTTGGGGTGAATTTGAAATTGTTATTAAAATATATTTTCATGATCCCAATGAACGACCTGTATGTATACACATATACTTTATTATATAAAATATAAAAGATTTTTAATAATTACATATTGTTTTTTTATAGGTGACTATATATCATATACTAAAATTATTTCAATCGACTCCGGAAATACAACTTGGAAAAAAAAGTTTAGTATCTGAATTTTATGAAGAAATTGTTTTCCAAGATCCTACAGCGTTAATGCAACATTTATTGAGTACAACTAGACCTATTTCCGCTGGAAATTGGCGACATAATTCAGATTGTAAATATAAACTATTAAATATTACCAGATATAAATTTATTAAATTACTTAAATACTCTTTATATATTTATTTCATTACTTCACATTAATATCTTATTTTTATCAAACAGTTGAAGCTAAAAAAGAGTCAACAATGAAGGCGTTGATAGATGCTCGTACAAAGATTAGATTACAAGTGATAGAACTCAAAGAAAAATTGACATTAGCTAAAGAAACTATATCCAACTTTAAAGAAGAAATTGCCAAAATTTCCAAAGCCGGTGGAACTTTATCTGTAACTTAACATTTGTATAAACTAACATTTTTATTATGTTATACGCATGTAAGCAAATAAATTAAAATACAAAATTTTTCTATAAACATAAATATACTTATCCCCCGATTTACACTGAAGATAGGTTCCTTAGAAAACCGTGTAAATTGAAAATAAACTAAAATGTAAATAATTCAGTCTTTTATTTCAATGTAAAATAAAACTAAATATATTTCAAAAAACATGAAAATAACGTTTTATTCATAAAATGATAAAAATATAAAGATATATGTATGTAATTTATTTTACATATAGAAACAAGTAGTATATAATACAAAAATTAAACAAAAATTTAATTACTGTTATCACTTTCGTCAACTATTAATCTTTTATTCCTGATTGGTATGACGTCACTTTGATTCCCTTGATAATACTTGATGCAATTCAAGTTCGATGTAAAATAAATTAAAAACAATTTCAGATTGGATAGTCTTGGTAATGAAATCCATAATTAGCAATTGTGTTTGGTATTTGATCAAATGTTTATAGACTTCCTCATATTAAATTAAGCGTTTATTAATATCTTTCTGAAATAAGAGAGCTTGTTCAACGTTCGGATCATTTTGTAGAAAATGATTATCCAATTTTTGCCCTAATTCAAGTCCTTCACGTATAACTTTTGCTGTGAACAGACAGCAAAGATTACTTTCAGACTATTCGATCCAAGCCGGGGGTAAATTTAAAATATATTATTATTATTTTTAACAATATTTTAACATTTTTTATGAAGCATAGAACATAATTAAATACTATCGATTAAAATCGAATTTTCAATCGATTATCATATCGAAATGACAACGTGCTTTTTGATTGGCCCATTTTAAAAAGTCCGCTATAATTGTCTCTATTCACCCTTCATATGATTAACATATTCGAAAATTCGAAACACGTATTACAACTGGCGTTTATTAATTATTACGAATTAGTTGAAAGATATGTCAGGAATTTGTAAGCAAGTATTACGAACATTAAAAGCAGGCGCTGTTAATACTTTAGTTATTGGAATTATTATTAATAGTTCGAATGTAAGAACATTCGACGCTACACAAACGAGATGTACGAATTGGTCATCTTATTTTACAAACTTTATATCATAACTTAGACTTACAGAACTTATATCATAATATAAATATATTAAACGTGACTATTCAAAAAATATTGAATGTATTTATTGCAGTTAATAATGGCGAACGTGCTGTTTGGACGTTTACGTTACGAGATTCCGAAGAAGATTTTATTAACGTAACTGTATGGGGTACTGTAGAATATGTTAAAAAATTAGTAACCGCATTTCATATAGGTTCAATAGGTTTGTACCATAAATTTTCATAGCAAATCTGTAATGAAATTTAATTATAAAAATTAATTCTTTCATTACTAGCGACTCATGTATGGGTTGTCCATACAAAGGCTCGTATGTATGAGTAATCCTTATACGGGTTGTCCATGTAAAGGCCCCATATAGGAATCGTATATCATGCAACGTCACGCATTTATTTACAAACAAATTTATATGAAATGATATTTCTGCTAAATTATATCGCAACAAAAGGGTTAATAAGAGAGCGAAACGTTGTGAATAAATTAGATATTTTACTAACGTTAAAATTTACTTAAAAATTGTAGTTAAATATTTTACTTTTTAAATGACAAAGTCATATATATGGCCTTATAACGCATAGATAAGCGCATAGATAAACGCAAAAAATGTTAGATAAATAGATGAATGATTTTTGAACAAATATTATATCATCATAATTAATATCATAAGCTAATTAATTCTCCAGCATTTAAAAATTATTTCTTTATTTATATAAATTCTTTTAGATATAATTTTTTATTAAACAAATAATAGAGCAAAATATAATGAATAAATTAGTTATTATTTACTATTGTTCAAGGAAACTTAAACGTTGCAATTAGATATTCAACTGTTTAAAAATAAGGCCGTATAGATAAATGCATTGAATGCCAAGCAGTTTTATACTATTGTTTTTTTTTTCTATTATAATTTAACATAGTCATTTTTATTTTATTGATTTATTATTTATATCATTATTACTATAGTAATTATTATACGTATTAAAATATGATTGCAGTTGAAGTGATAAATGCAAAAATATTAGCTCGACAAGCTGAGGACAAAGACGAAATGTTTGTACCTTTTGTATCAATTCCATATAAATTAATAGTGAATGAAGGTGTTGCACTAATACAGACCCACTATGCACCTGTTCGAGATACCTATGAAAAATTATTAACAATACCAACTAAAAGTGCTGAACGTTTGCAAACATTAAAAAGTGTATTACAACAACTAGAAAATTTATGCGATCAATATGTCGACATTTTGGTCGTGATCACGTTCGTACGTAAATGTTATTTTTCTTATTCTTATGTTAAAGATAATTTTTCAATTGTTATTATTAACATTGTGCATAGGTTAGCGGAGAACGTAATATAACCACTCGAGATGGTAGAACATTAAAATGTCGTAATTTCGAAGCTACGGATGGATCCAGCGAGTCGCCTATAGTTTTTATACTTTGGGAAAACGAATGGGTTGAAAGAGCAGCTACATGGCAACCTAAATACACTGTTCTTTTTCTATCCGATGCTCGTATCATGTTTGATAAATTTAAAAAAAAAACCGTCATAAGTATAGGTCCTAAATTATCTTATTTTATGCAATATTATAAATTTTTAATATTTCTTAATATTATATTATTTTTATATCAGGGAAGGTTAAAAAGTTGTGTGCCTCAACAAAAAAAGCTTTTATTATTTTTTTAAAATAAAAGTGAATTGGAAAGAAAAAAGTTATTTCTATGTTAGGTTCATAACTTTTTAATCCATCCAAGTATAAGGAAACCACGAAAGTTCTTGTTGTTTAAATTAATAGAAAAAAATGAATATGCAAACCTAAGAACGATACAAATTTTTTCAGTAATCAATTATTGTATTATTTATAAATTTAACGATGTAATGAAATAATTTATTTAGTCAGAAAGACATTGATCACAGAGAATCCGAATATACCGGAGACAGAACTCGTAAGGAAAGCAGTAGATCACTTTGGTCGAGATATTTTTTCTGCCGATCCTTTTGCAGTACCTAATCGTGAGAATGAATTTTAAATTTTACTTCTAAATTCTTTAATAGAAAATCGAATTAGTGACATTTATTTTATAATTTGAACAAAATAGCCGATACGATCGTCACGGTGATGACTATAGAAGAAATTTCAGAAAAAATAAATCAAGCAACTATTGTCGAAGATGGAAGATTACAATTTGCAACAATTTTGAAAGCGATGGTAACTGATATGAATTTGGATGACACTAATCCTGGTTTAATATCAACGAGATGGTATTTTCAGTGTTATCATAATATTCATCTAATAAATATATAATATAAGTTTATATGATTATGATTAAGGAATAATTATTAAATTTACAGCGCTTTGTGTAAAAGATTGGTTCTGAAAAATCATGACTCTTGTATGAACTTGAATTGTCCATGTGGTAACGGTACTCGTCCACCATTTAATGCAATAACTATTAATGTGAAAGTTAATTTAAAAGACGATACTGGATACCTAATCGGTTGTAGATTAAGTGGAGAAATTGCGGAATGTGTTTTGGGTTGTACAGCTAATGAATTTCAGGTGATAGTATTATCCACAAATTCTTCAATCAAAATTCTACATTAACAACAACAACAAAGACGACGATAGCAATAAAATTATTAAAATTAATCATAAATGAATATATATATATACGTAAATGTATTGAACATTTTTGAGCCTAGTTCAAAACTTTTCAATTCATCGTTGTATATTTTTTGGACGCAGTTAGTTCTTTTTGTTACGTCAACCGTAACATGCGTATTTACATGAGTTCAAACGAGTATAGAATACGGAATATATTGAGAGAAATCATTCTGGTTGCTATATCGTTAACCGGTTTCCTGTATATTACCGATACGTATCGTTACACAGCATGTATACTTACATATGTACTTATGCATAGTATATATGCATGTACGAGGTCAAGAGGTTTTCTTTGTTCAAAGAAGAAAGCCAACCTCGGCGCTATTTTTTCTTATTAATTTGTTATCTTAGTGTGGTCTTCAAAATTAAATTTTGGAATTAAATTAATTACGATTTATAATTAACATATATTATTTTTTTTATGTATGGATACAATATACTATAGGCTATGACAGTAGCTCAACGAGCCGATTTAAAATGGATGTATGTTATGGAAAAATGTGATGTACGTTTGCACGTGTTGGGACCAACGTCTCTTTTCCCTCGTGCTTTATATAATATTTTATCAATACGACCAATCGCCAAAGAAGATAAAGAACCAAATCAACCGGATAAAACTTGTAACATGTAAAAGGATAACGTTATTAAATAAATATGATAATTAGAAAAGAAGAAAAAAAGCACATAGAAAAATAAATCAATAGGAGTTTAAGAATTTAATTTTATTCTTTTAAAACACACAAAAATATGACGAACATATAACGTGTGTGTTAATTTATTATTATTTATCAATGTATATATATATATACTCTTCTTTCATTTCTATTTAATAAATGATCAATCAAAATGTTTTTTATTTATGAATATCCAATAAGCGATAAAACACGTCACCAATCGTAATTAACAAAAATTAAACAAACGGTTAACAAAGGATTAAATGATCAACGAACATTGCCAGTCAATGAATAATCGATTTAAAAAAAAGAGACACTATAGAATCGATATTTTTATGATCGTACGAGAGGGCAATAAATGACGCGATTATTGGGCCATGCCTTCTCCAGGCCCATATTCTTTTCATTTAAAAAAAGATTAGAAGACGTATTTAAGGTAAATGATTAATTTTGTCTTTTATCTAAATAATAAATAAAGTAATAGAAAAATAATACTAAATAAAACATTAAATCATACTATTTGAATCTAGTTTCATGTTTGTTTTGTTTATTTTTTAGGTAACCGAAGGAGATCCTGCAAAGGATGGAAGAGGACGTAGATAAAAAAGAAGAACAAGAAATTGTTGTAAATAAACAACCCTGTTCTTCTCCTAATTCGGACGAACAACTTACATGTTCTCTCTATCTTTCCTGCAGTGGTATTCCTTGTGGTCAGGATCACCGAAGTCAAGGTAGATTGATTAAGAGAACCTGTAAATCCTTATAGAACATAATTTCTAGCTTTATTATATTTATTATAATTATTAAAGATGGAGAGACTCTTCGGTCGCGATTAGAAGAAGCTATTGGTAGTTCAGAGCCTTCAGGAAAGTGCCAAATTTTCGAAACTTTGTGTGGCTTTATTGTAACATTCGAACGAGAAAGTGATGTGGATAATCTCTTACAACATTGCGATTTTACACGACTTTTTGAAGGACCTGTACAAGTTAGTCTTAATCATGTTTTATATATAAGTTGAACGTTTCAGTTTCTATTAATGTAAAAATATTTAATGAGTTTATATATCAGGTAGTTCGATTTGCTGCAAAAGATACTCGTTATAAACAATCTGTGCTACTTCGTGACGTACCTTGGGCAATACCACTTCAAGAACTTAGCTCTGCCTTGGCGAAGCAAGGAATAGCGACTGGAATTATCGAAAGATCGCGTCAATATGTTCGAGTTGAGGTAATCTCAATAATGATTTAAATAATCTCATAATTACGATTGAATACAAAGAAGTAAATGAGACACTAACAATGATGCGTTTAGCTTTTGGATGCGGAACATTATGAGCTTCTATTAAGACAAGGATTAGATTTCTTCGGTGCTGTACGCTTCAGTGCTATTCCCGAAAGATGGTGGCGTCCTGGAGCTGGAAATATAGCTATGCCACCGATTCTTTCGGGTAATTTCGCTCCAGGACATCCTCCTGAAACATCCAATTCTCATCAAGGCGATAGTGTTCTTCAATGTTATCGATGCCAAGGATTTTGGCACGTAGCTGCTAATTGTCGACATCTACCAAGATGCGTTCGTTGTGGTGAACCGCACAGCGTTGAATTTTGTCCAAGACCAAGAAATAATCCTATCTGTTGTCACTGTTCCGGCCCTCATCATGCGGGTAAACTTAATTCGATATACTCCTGTGTTCTTGTTTTTATTTTAATCTTCATTCATTGTATTCATTATAATCGTCATATTTTAGGCTATCGACAATGTCCTGTTAGATTGCAATTATCCAACGCTACTCCTATCAGCATCACTTTAAGCACGGCACGTGCCGAAGGCCAATATTCGTCGAATCTTACCAATAATAAATCAACGCCTTCACCCCAAGAGTTATCACCATTGAAATCAAATCTTTCTTAAGCGATAGTGTTCTTTAAAGCTTCAAAGTGATAATTTTCTCATCTTTTTTATTTCCTCTTTGATATCAATTACTTCAAATCTTTCAAATTTCATGTTCACACGATCCATGATTCATATAATCTATAGTTAAAGACTAATTATAGATTTATTTTCCGATAACTAGGCTATCGTGCCAATGTTACTTATGAAAGTTTCTCTTTTTCAACGAAGAAATCGAAAGAGTAATACGGAAATAACTTCTCCAACTTTTTTTTTCTAATATTTTTTTTATTATTTTATTCTTTATTAATAAAAATATTTGTTTATGTGTACGGTACAATAAAAATTCATTTTAATAAAATGTATTTTCTTTCTCTCTCTACTAAGAAATGTAAATCGAACTCAAAGTCATTTCTTTTTAAAATACGTATTACAATATCTAAGGAGTCGAGATGAAATTCGACTTACGAAAAATTTGCAAGGAAATCTATAATTTACCACTAATGCAAAACGTTTCTGTGTTCTTATATATATTCTTTTCCCTTCTTCTTGTCTGCGTCCCACTTTCTTCGTCCTAGTCGCAGTGAATGTTCAGTGATGACTTCGTGATCAAACGACACACAACAACGTTGTTTCGAGTGACAGAGAAGGGATCATTAATATAAGAAAATAAGATATTACATTCGTACAGTTATATTCAGTTATTTAATTTAATTCTATCGACAGATTATCTCTTCCTCTCTTGTGTTTAATCATTTAAAGATTAAAAAGCGAGAATTACAAATGTTTCGAGTTAAATAGTTAAAATATATGAACTCAAAGAAATTGAAATTTTATTTTATTATTTGGAAACGATTTTTACACATCAAATTTCGCGTAATTCAATGAACATTTCTAGGTAAACATCATGAAAAATATGGAATTTATCATCATTTTAAGGTAAAAAAATACAAAAGGAAAGTTAAATCTTTAAAGTAATCATCAAAAAACCGTACGATGTCTTTTTTAACTACTACATATTCTATCAATTTCTACGACAGGACGGTACGTTTTAAATGTTATCACTTATAATTGATATAATTCAATTGCTTTGTCACGTTTTACGTTAGACGCAAAAAAAAGAATTTTTTTTTTTGTTAAATTTTCTTTACCTTAAAAATTAAGTATCGTAATTAAAAAAATATCTTTTGAACGCGCATAATAACATTATCCTAAATAACTTTGTTAAATAATTGTACTTTATTAAATCTCAAACATAAGAATTTTGGTGTCTTTGTTTTCGTTAATTAATTTAAAACTAATCATCAATATATTCGTTACTATACTTATTTACGAAGAAAGGTTCTAAGTATAAATATTGTGGAAGAGATAACAAAATTATAGCATTCGGATATCATTAATTTAATCTATGGATGACAAGTTTTGTTCTAATATCAAAATGACTTCGGTGAATATGATAGTATTTATTTTACTAACGTTATCCGCGAGTAGTTTGCAAAGGCCTACTTTTTTTAAAAATACTTTCAAAGGATTGCGAGGAATTTCAACGAATATAAATTTGTTAAAACACATAAGAGCGGTTTATTATCACGAGCAAACCGTTGCTATCGTCGATCTCGGATTTAACAACGAATTACACGATTGCAATATCGTTGAAGTATAGTAAGTTAAAGTTTAAATAATTTTAAAAAATTATAAGAAAAAAATGATTAAATATAATTTATAAATTCATCTTATAGTGAACCAGAAGAAGCTATCGAAGTACTTAGAAATTTATCACTAACTGTAAATCCACAAAGAGTATCATTTATGCAAATAATGAAGCTTCTACAACAATGTGAAACTTTGGATGGCCTACAAACTCAAGATTTATTAGATACTTCGGAAGATACACAAGATGGAAAAAATTATTCTCGAATAAGTCCGTTTACTTTGTTTTCAGGAATATTACCAGGTAATTCATTACTTTCTTATACTCTTTTTACTTCTTTTACAGTATGTCATTCGAATTGAACATCTAATTTATTTTGTTCATTTTGTTCAAGGAACAAAATGGTGTGGAGCTGGAGACATAGCTGATAATTATCATGATTTGGGACGAGAAGCAAATATTGATAGGTTCGAATACCTTTATTAATATCAAAATGCAAATAGAATTAATTTGACAAATACTTTCTGCTTCAACAGATGCTGTCGCAATCATGATTTGTGCCCTGTAAAAGTAAGAGCTCGTACATCACGCTTCAACTTAAACAATAATTCTTTGTACACTAAGTAAGTGTAATACAATATTTTGTTTTATATATAAATATTTAAAATAAAAATGTTATGTAGAATGAGTGAAAAGAATATGTGTGTATGTATTTCTGAGGCGACATGACTAAAAGTGTGTCTAAAAGTGAGACTGTGTGTCTGTATTAAATTTTATTTTTAATAATTGAATATACAATTTACCCTCTTTTTATTTTGTTCAAGCATATCCCACATTTCTTATAATATATCTATAAATATTAAATAATATTATATGTAAATGTGTTTATCTGTAAGAAATTTAATATCAACACGTTTGATGAATCATCATATGATTTTTATTCTTACCTATTTCAGATCGCACTGTACTTGTGACGAATTATTTTACAACTGTTTAAAAAATACTAAAAATTCAATAGCCGATCTTATAGGCAACATATATTTTAATATTATAAGAGTGCCATGCATAGAGGATATTTCAAGTCGATGGAATCAAGAATCTGAAAAGCAATTTATTTCTGTGAAAATGAAGTATTAGTCTTCTTTGACAGATTATTTTTTAAACTGTACAATTTTTCTATTTTAAATCTGACATAATTAAATATTAAAACAAATTAATGTATACTGTTTATTTATTATACATACCATTGTCGATATAAATAGTTTACTTTTATACTATTCCATCGTGGATGCAATAATTTCTTCTAATGGTGGTAAAAATGGGATGATATCTTGAAATGTTTGACTCACATTCGAAGATGCATGATTGCATAAGTTTCCTACAAAGATATTCTTTTTGTTATATAAATTTAATAATTAAATTATTAATGAATTTTTACCTAATAACCACAAGGTTTCTTTTCTTATATGCTTATGATGATGAGATAATAAAATTCTGAGTAATTCTTGCACATTCAAATCACCAATCTGTAGATCCATTAAAAAAGTATTTACAATATCTTCAAGCGTATTAGCGGTTAGTAAGTTTCCTAATATACGTAAACACGCTGCAATCTGATATAATTCAATTATATTAATATTTAGAACATAATATAGTATTTATAGAATAAAAACATATATATGTACCAAGGAACTATTATTAGACAAATAATTAGGAATAGAGCAATGCAAAAAGTTAACGATAGATGATAACACGTAATATAATGAATTGCCACATGCTACATTGGAAGATAATAATGCCAGTAGCCAGAGAGTATCAGAATTTTCTTCAAACAAGTGTCTGTTTTTACATGCTTCCGCAAGTTCCATCAACTCAGCTTCCCTGAAAAATTAATAAATTTATTAGCAATGTTTACAATATAAGATAATAAATATGGAATTTAATAAATAATTTTTAGTGTTTTCTAAAGTTATGTACTTGATAAAAGAAAATCCCCCATATAGATAGTGCAAAGCTGCATATACTACGGAAGGAAGAATTTTATCATCACATTCATTTAACAATTTTATTAGATAACATAGACACTTCTGCGCATGTAAAATTTCAAAAGCTTTTTTACTTTCGCTAGACAAATTTCCAATGGTCCAAAGACAGACTTCCTAGAATTAAAGTATTAATAATTTTTGTCATATCAATTCAGAGATGTGAATATTTAAAAAATACACTAATATTATTTACCAATAAAGGACAGTTCAAGCTTTCGCATTCGGTAATTAAATACGGAGATATATATTTGGCTATCGCTGTGCAAGCTTTTGTATTACCAAGAGCAATGTTGCAACAACAATTTGTAGCGCCCAATTGCGAGATTGGATTGTTCCCAGAAATATCTCGTGCCAATGCAAATATTATATTATCAACTTGTAATAATGCTTTAATATTCGATTCTGACTACAATATATTTGAATATTAATTAATTGAAATTATTCAATTAAGCCTATCAAAATTTGTAGTTTTGCAAATTTATTTCTAAATATAATTACAACCTGAATTAAAGCATTTTGCAAACGACGATAATCGTTGACGTGAAGCGTGTTTTTTTTAAGCTTCATTGCAATTTCTGTAACAAATGCTGCAGAATAAGATGTATTTTCTATAAATTCTCCAAGAGCAGGACGATTTTCATTAAGAATTCTAGCACGTTGCTTTTTCCTTTCGACACTAATAGTTTTTCTTACACGTTCTCTTATATCTTCCATTTTACAATTATTTTTATAACACTTTTATATTACATTAATAATACATTTTCACAAGACAACACTAAAATAACCTTAAATTTGAATCTTACAGATTTTTGTTGATAATTTATCGATCGTTCGAAGTACCATCTAGCGATGGAACGTATAACTAAAATACCGGGTTCCTAGCAATAGGCAATACCTTACATACATACGTGAATGAAAAAAACTTAATAACTGAGTAAATCGAATATATATGTACCAATTGTAAGAATTTAATTTTTTTATAGAAAAATAATTTTTAACAAACATATGTTAAAATAAAATCAAAATTTTCATGGACTTATCACTTTGTTTGGAGAAAGAAATAAAAAAAATAAAAATATGAAGAGTTAAATGAATATTTTTCTTTGGGTGGACAGATATCACGAAAAAAAAGAAAAAGAAAAAGAAATCTAGATAACAACTGATAAATAAATTATTTGTGTATGAGACGTTGCATCGAAGGATGGTATTTCAGTCCTAATAATAGAATTGCTTGAAAAATTCTGCGTAAAGTCTTATTGATTGTCTCGACGCTTCACAAAACTTTTTTTATAGAAAATTATAGGGTATATACGAATACAAAATTATATGCTTTCGTGTCACACTCACACTTCAATAATTATATGCAATATACTCATAAGAAAATACTGACTAGAGAAAAAAACCTCGGATATTATGACTTCGCTGGTGTTTCTTGAAAGGGAACGTAAACTAGAATTTTTCTTTGATATCATTGATCGTAAAAAAATCCTTGGAATTGACAAAAAAACAATAAAATAAAAGAATGGATTTGTTTATCGATGGCTATTACAAACTCAATCGTTTACTTCTATTAATAATGGGCCAATGGCCTGATCAAGATTGCAAAATGAAATTAATTCTTATGATTACCATGGTTTCCTATTTAGGTTTCTGTTTGTTAGGACAGGTAAGAAATATTCAAATCTTTATTCATATTTCTGATTTATCTGGATATTTCATACTGTATATTCTTTTCCACAATTTTGATGGATTAAAAAAATTTAGATAATTAAGCTCGTCAAAGCTGAACATCATTTGGATCTTATATTTGAAATTTTAGTATCATTCTTGTCTAATAGTATTTGCATAATAAGGTACTGCAATTGCATCGTCAATGTGAAAAAGGTGAGAAATTAATAGAAAAAATAAAAATAAAAAAATATTATCATAAAATTCGATAAAAAGAAAAGAAATAAATCATTTTTGCAATTGTTTCATAGTTTACAAAATTGTTTAAAGATATTCAAGATCTTTGGAATGTGACAAAAAAGAAGGAAGAAATAGAAATAATGAAAATGTATGCTAAAGAAAATAGAAATTATACTTTATTTCTTACAGGTAAAGAAAAAGAAAAGAAAAGACAAATGTCAGGATCCATTTAAATTTCGATTTTTCCAATTACTTAGCATTGTACCATTTGTTGCAGTGATCAGTTATTTTTCCTTAGGTTTCGTAAATTTATTATCTTTAATGCCGTGCATATTGGACATCGTTTTGCCACTCAACGTTACGCGAACACGTAAATTTTTGTATCAAGCAGAATTTTTTCTCGATACGGAGAAATATTTTTATCCAATTCTCTTGCACACGTGGATAACTCTATTTTTTGGCGTAACTATATTGGTCACTACAGAAAGTATATTTCTTATGTTCGCTCAACATTGTTGCAGTATGTACAAAGTACTTTGGTATGTGAATATATGAATTTTCTCTGCATGTATGTATATATGCCTATGTATTTTTTTTCATAATTAAAGTCATAATAGAAGAGATTAAAAAATTAAAACAAATATTTGATCTTATCGAACGCAATTAAATAGGTGTTTAGAATGTTTCATTGTATTCTTATTTTCTTATTTCATAAAGAAATCGATTAACAGTTCGTATAATTATAATTATGATTGTTTTCTTAATTAAAAATGATTATTAGTTACAGATTGGAGCATGCATTTGATACAAACTTAGAAAACACTGATATGGATAATGCTTATTACGAGGCTCGTTATAAAATAACGGATTGCGTTAAATATCATACAAAAATCTTGGAGTTGGTATTAATGTGGCTTGGATTCATTGATATAAACCAATCATTTATAGACTTTTCTTTCTATATTAAAAGACGCCGTTTAATTGAACGCAACATCAACGATTATCATCATTTTATTAATAAAAAATATTTCTAATATCGTTTGATATCATATAATTGCGCACAGTCTATCAATTGTTGTTAAAAAACACTTATCATGATTAATAACTACCACGAATTATCAACAATGCAATAATTTTTTTTTCATTCTAATCAATCTTTTTTCTTTTTTTATAATTTAATCGCATAATCTATGCAAGATGTAAACATCAAATAACATTCACTTAACGTGCCTTATCATATAATAAATGTTAATCATTGGATCACCTCTATTCTTAAATATTTTCAATGATAATATAGAAGATAATTATTTATATTTAAAAAAAAAAAGAAAGAACTTAGTAAGGCTATGATTTTCTTTTTAAATGACATATTATTTTTTTTTTATCAAGGTTCGTCGCAACTATTATTTCCTATCATGAATATTCCTTTATTATTCAATTTCTAATTATTGTACTACTAACGAGTATCATTTTGGTCCAAGTAAGTAAATATTTTTATTTAATTATCGTTTCATTATTCTTTCGGTGTTTATTTTCACTCATGTTTATATTATATATAAAGTAGCAATATATTTTTGATGATAAATTTATATTTTTTACAATTAGATTAAAATGCTCCTTGGAAAATTAGAAGTATTATTATATTTAACTTTACTTGGAAGCGTTTTTTGTCATGGATTTCTTTGTGCTTATCCTGCACAAAAAGTTATGGATCATAGTAATATTTTATTCGAAAATGCGTTAGTAATAATATATAAATATATATATTTTTTTAAGTATTAAATTATTATAATTAAGTATTATTATTATAATTCAATTCTATTGCTCGATTTCCATCAATTTGTAGATACAATGGATTTTGGTATCTCGCACCAATTAAAGCACAAAAATTATTATTGTTAGTAATAAAAAGAAGTATAATAGATACTCCCATCATTTTTATGAAATCAATCGAAATCTCGCATCAAAGTTTTGGTGTGGTAACGTAGTCTATAAATATATTTTTATTTAATTACCATTTTTCTTATTTTATTCTTTATAAATAATAATTATCTTCTTTTATTTAAGGCGATAAAAACATCATTCTCCTATTTTACGGTGCTCTGCTCTTTTCAATAAAAATACAAATGTAGTACTATTAAATACAATTTGTTTTTGTGGAATATATTAGATTAGTAAGAAAGTTACGTTGTCTTTCTGTTGCTCCAATTAAAATGTTCATTATTTCGTTATTCTTTTTGCAATTTAGAAAATTTTGGTATTAAATCAAAAGCTAATATTTCCATGGTTTTTTTTTATATAACAGATGTTTTTCAATCATTAAATTTTTAAAAATAGTAATATTTAATGCATCAAGAAAAACTTCCTTTTAGGTACTTTATACTTCATGAGTTCCAACTTGATCATAATGCGACGGAAACTCATAAATCTTGTTTTTTATCTTTGGACCATTTAAAGTTAAAATGCATACGATTCAAAAATGGTTTGAAAAATTCAGGTCAGGCGATATGAATCTTCAAGATGAATCTCGCACCGAAAGACCAAAGAAGTTTGATGACGACATTCTGAGGGCCTTAGAGGGTAATGAACCACTATTGGCTACGAAGAAGATCAGGGATAAGTTAAGCATTAGTCACATAACGATTGAGAACCACTTGAATAAGCTTGGATTTGTCTACGAATGGTGTCGTTGGATTTCTCGTGCATTAACACTTAGCCAACCATGCGTGCCGCAGCGAACTGTACGGTTTCTACCACGCTTGAGCAACCAAAACTACGCTGTCCACCACGCATTTTTCGTAAGTGACGCGTACTAATATGCGACATTTGAAATCAAAGTAGTTTGAAAATTATTTAATTGTCAATTATATCTTACATTACAATTATCATTATAATTATATCCTACGTAACAATTTTATTTAACGATTTCACATTTTGTTTATACAAAATACCAATATATCCCGATAATTCTTAGGTTTGTTTATGGTTTTATGGTCCTCCTAAACTTTCCCTTTAGTTTCTGAATGGAGTTTTCCTTTCCAGAAAATAAAATATAACGAAAAGAACTGAATACTAGTTTTTTTCCTACACTATATAGATAAATAAACGAAAAAAAATGCGTTGGTAAGGTCAAACGGGAGATCTCCCCGATCGGTCGGGCACCGATCTACATTGAAACGGGGAGATCTCCCCGAGTGGTCGGCTAAGTGTTAATACATTGCATGCAGGTATATTTCGCCACGGTCTTACGCGTGCAGTAAGATGCGTTGGTCATTCAGTAAAATCGCAATAAATCGAAAACTACTTCGAATAAACACCATACATACATTGCTCATTGTATTTATAAAATGTCCGCTCTCTAGCAAAAATCTACTAAATACGTACTTTTACGTGATCCGTGCTGCAGTGACTAACTGTGAAAAACATAAAAGTACGATGTCTGCATGCAATGTATTAAAGAGTTATGCCACCCTATCACTCGGAAAAGTAACTTAGAATTTAAACTTTTTTTTAAAACAGACATTTTTAAATATTATAAAATAGTCTTTATTCTACATATATACATAGTAGTTTTATGAAAAATTTACAATATTAAAAATTAAGAAACAAAAAAAATTGCGGAGATATAAGATGATATGTAGAGCCCTGCCCACATAACATAAAAACTTTCTAAAAACTTTCTAAAACATTTCTTTAAAAAGTTTTAAACCTTTCAAAAAGGTTTCTAAAAATTTTTCTACAAGGTGAAAATGTCCGCGTTCAGAGACTTGCAAAAGATTACTCTACCAGTAAAATATTTTTGTAAAATCTTTTATGAATCTTTTTTAAAATATTTTAGAATGATGCCTGCAAGGTTTCTGAAAGATTTTTTGGAAATATTTTACGAAACTTTCGTTGAAAGATTTCAAAACCTTTCGTGTTATGTGGGTGTTTTTCTGAGGGTGATCCTGATTTCGGTTTAACAGATGTTCTGAAAAAAAACTATAATTGTTTATTAATAAAAAAAGAAATGGCTTAGTATTCATTGCGAGAAAAAATTTTTTTAAATTTTTCTAGAAATAGCAGCTGTTTGAAAAAAAATTTCAAATTTTTCTTGAAATTTTGAGTTTAAAAAATTAATAACTTTTGAACAAGACACAAAATCAAAAAACGGTCCGATGAATACTAAAACAATTTTATGAAGTGTGTTATAAATTTCAAACAAATCGGTTGAGTAAATCTTGAAATCAGTCTTACCGAAGCAACCGAACCGATCGGACGTGTTTTTCCCCAGCTCTGCTCGAGCGCTCTTCGTGTTTTATCTCCTACCGTTATCGCCCCTACCATCGTATCGCTACAATGTGGTGTATCTTTGCATAGCGATAGTGCCTATACCTGTGGGTCGACGACTATGTGTACAGCATGAGTTATCTTGCCTACGTCACGAATAATCCTTCAGACAAAGAACCCATCAAAATGAATTTAAGAAACGAATGGAAAGAAATATCCACGACAGAAAAAAAATCCATCAATATGAATTAAAGAAACAAACAGAAAGAAATATCCATACATATCCACGACTCTTCCATCCACCCAACCTACCAAATCATATGCCACAACAGCAGCAATCAGCAGGAAAAGACCAGGCTATCATAATTGACGCAATTAAAGGTGCAACCATTCTAGACTACGCAATCATGGTTGGAAACATTCTCGGGCCCCAAGCAATTCACTTTGTCTCCCGAATATCCAACAACAGAATATGCATGTACCTCTACTGCAAAATGACAGCCACAAACTTCACAAATAAGCATAAAACATTAACCATCAACAATATAGCCACTACCGTTAGACCCCTGATAAACTCATCTCAAAGAATCATATTATTCAATGTCTCTCTTTTCATTCCGTACGAATTTCTAGAAAACCTCTTTAAAAAAAACAATATCAGTCTCACTTCCAAAATGACCTTTCTTGAGCTGGTATACAAAACCCTATGGTCATTTAAACCACCAGGAAACCTGTTTGGAAAGATGAGAAAGGGCAGATGAAAGGGCATAAAATAATAACATTCAGTACTATGCCGTCACATGTAAGCTGTCCAACTGAGTGTAAGTGAGAATTCAAAAGCATAGGTAGAGACTTTTTGGTCATATAGTTTTGTACAGCATTCTTACCACCAATAGATCTATCGAAAATAATGAGAAAACAGTGTGCCACAAAGTCGGAAAAAATTTTTGATTTTCCGGCTATTTTCTGGGTCAATTTGGTCATTTGATTTTGTACGGCGTTGGTTCCATACAATTTCAATACCTCTTCTAATTCATTATTCCGCAACACCGTACAAAAATCATGCAACAAGGGTGAAAAATCGAGGGTGTCAACCCACCTCCTTCAGTAGTCCGGGAAAGGGGGGGGGGTGATTTGAAAAAGTACGGCATCGGTTTCAAATCATTATTTAGCACTCAAAAGTACTATTAAAAATAATGCCGTCTAAAAATTATTATTAATTTGAATGTATATCAATAATTAACTTAATTTAATCGTATATTTGATTTTTACAGCTGTAAAGTCATTTGACCCTGTACGGCAACTTTTTTTTTAATATGATATTGCTAAATACAATTGTTATATATTATTGCCGTTCAAAAAAAAACTCTTCTAAAAAAAATATAGAGAAAAACAAAAAATGAAATTTTAAAAATTTTTTCAAAAGTTTAAATTATCGTACATTAATAAAATAAAGCAATTTTTTGAAATATTATTGTTGTTTTAAATAGTATTTGGGTAAATGAATGAAGAAAAAATGATGCCGTACATTTTAATGCAGACCATATTTTTTGGCAGACACTACTGTTTTAGGGGTACTTTATGGTCATCTGATACTGTACGGCATTAACATACTTTTGAAGGGAACAATTGATAGTATGTAAAAATCATTATGCCGTCTATTTAAAGTGAAACAGTGTGAATATTATATCCAAAAAATAAAAATTATCAAACTCAGTATTAACATTTTTCTATAATTTTTGATGAAATATACTTCAAACATTATTATAATTTGTTTATATAGGAAGTATTAATAAAAAATAAAAAGTACTACAATTTTATTGAATAATTTCACATATGTTTAATGAAAAGTAAAAGTAAAATTTTTACAAAAATGAAAAAAATTAGGTTTCTCTTTTAAATTATAATTCGTCATCAGAATCAGCAACTGAGTCGTCATCGGAATCATCGTCCTCATCGATGTCCGAATTCTCTTCTTCATCACCTTCTAGAACATAAATATGTGTTTTCATTATCAAAGTGTTACGTGCAAATTAAAAATGTAAGGATAAATTTGTTTACCTACAATGTCATCAGCTTCTTCGCCTGATTCCTCATCCGTTTCAGTTACTTTCCTGAGAAGATGTTTCAGCTTGTGGAGCACGATCTTGAAATGAAATTCCAACCGTATCGTGCATGGTATCTTTACTATCACATGTTTCCACGTATCAATCAAAATTATCGAAAGCAAAACCACTATTGAGAGATGGTTGTAATACCATACCAGCAGGGCATACTTGATTTGTTTCCGAGATTGCATAGGTTGCTTCCGTCTCCAATTCTAATACTTTTGAGTATGAAATGCAATGTCCGTAGGAATGTAAGAACCGTACAAGCTTTTCACTACTACTCAAACTTTTTAATGTTATTCCAAGACTTATATGTTTGGATGTCTTAACTCTTCCTCTGTGAATTGCATATATAACATCAAAAGCAAAAGACTTGGCTAACACCAACATTTTCGGATCTTTTATTCTATCTACATTATCTCCAGTTAACAAAAGACAAAAAAACCGTAATAGAGCATATGGAATTTCACATTCACCTTTGATAAGTTGTGGCGCAGTTACATTGTCACTGATTGCATTTTTTTCTACTCTTAAAACAATCTTGCGTAAAAGTAACGCCGAAGAATTGATAACATTTTCTTCATTAACGTAAGTCATGTCAATATTTTCTAAACTAGCTTTAGTAGAAACAATGTGTTTGCGTCCGCGATTGTTAATAATTTTAACAGACTCTTTGAAATGTTGTACAATTTTTTTTTGTAAATTTGACGTGTCAAAACATTTTGGTAATTTTCGTTATCATACTCTTCCAATAAAAAATGTCTGAATAAATTAAGCAAAAAAGAATATTGAAATATGTGCATATTATCGACAATTTCCTCTTGAATAAATTTAAACAAATTCACACGAGCTCGCTCGTGTTTCTCTCTCCTTAAGTGCCAATCAGTAATTTCTTTTTTTTTGCCTGCACTTGTTCAAATATTCCGTTTTGCAAACTCTGTGATATGGTATGGGTACAGACATGTCTTGACACTGATCAATTCTTTGTAAAATCGGTAAATCATAATTTTGAGTAGCTTTATCTATAACTACATGAAATGTTTCATAATTTTTGTCTTTTGCGAACTTGTGTACAAAATACACAAGCACTTGCACCATGTTCAAAAGATACGTGCTCTTTATGTTTTTCGTTATTTTCGCTGAAAAAAAATTATTATTCTGATTATTCATAGTACGTTGAAGATTGTCACAATACTTGTAATTTTAGTTTGATAATTGAACTCTTTAAAATTTCGGTATTATTTCAATAAAAAAAAAATTTTTCAAATATATTTGTTAATAAAGTATTTATTGTATTTTATGAAATGAACACAACTGAAAAAATAAATACTTCGAGATTCCATTTTCTGCACGAAATGTGTGTACACCGAGATCGTGTAAACGCACATATACATATAATATAGCTATCACATAATCCATTTTGAAGCAAATAATATTTTGTTCGTATGGAAAAAAGTTAATGTTGTTTTCAATTTTGCACTTATTATTTAAAATATTACAATTACATTTAATGCAATACTTTTCACAATGTACGAAATAATATTAAACTCCGAATTCTACGCCTTTATTCATTCATGTATATTTTATGATATTTATTGTCAGATTATATGAAACAAATGTTACTATTAACTAACGTAAATACAAAAATATGAATGCGATAAACTAAAAATTTTTTGCTACTTATAATAAATACTAATTATTACCTTCTATTATTATTGACTGAATCCTCGTTGGCGTCGATATCAACAACTTTTTCAATTTTGCGTTTCCAGATAAGTTTGTTAGTTGTCTATAACATTTTTGATGATATCCTTTCTCCTCAAGATCTTTGGGCAATTCGATTGAAGAAACATCCATGGATCTTCTGGAGGTGTTAGATTGCTGCTTTTTCCTAACCTTARTCGCTTCTATACAATTTTTTAAAATTGCGCTTGTTAAACATTTTATTTTATTGTCAATCGGATCACTCGTTAAACTACAAATAAAACACACTGGTTCTTGTTTATTTTCTTCAACAATCCTTTCATTTTCACTAAAATTTGCAATCTCATCGGATTCCGACATGATCGAGCTGCAAAATACACAACGTTGACACACTAACTATTTTTGCGCCGAAATAAAAAGCAGCTGCTCCAGTGATCCCAGAAACTTTTGCTTGTCTGATCGACACARTGCCGTAAAATTATCGGGTTCTCAGTACAATTATCGTACGCTCGTATGCACAGGACCGATTTTCTTAAATTCCAAATTTTAGGATAATTTTAGGATTTGAAATACTGCAAAAAAAAGTAATAATGTATATCTTATTATCTTATCAAACTGAGTGAGCTGCAACCGAATCGCGTTACAAAAACAAAATCAAGACATATCGAAAATTATATTTAATATTGAATAATCGTAAATTATCGTACACGTTGAATTTTGGATCGTACAATGCTTCAAATTATGTGACGTGTACGATAATTATCGTACGAATGGGATCACTGCAGTGATCCCAGAGACTTTAGTTCGTTTGATCGACACAGGGGCGTAAAATTATAGTAAAAAAAATTTTTGAGGACCTTTTTTTTTTTTTAGTCACCAAGTTCAAAACCCTATCATGAAAACGATAAAAACTGGATCACTGTAAATCTGTGCTGCCAGACTGTCTGTCTGGGAAGAGGACCTCATAGTTGTGCTGGAAATGGTACTCCTTTGGGCACCAGTCACCCCCAAGGCGGTTGACTTCYTCGAAGTCTGCCGTTCTTGACAGGATCGATGCGTGCCCGTAGGTGGCCCGCCTCCAGCTCYCACTGACCAGCAGCCTGAAGGCTGCGCTTCTGGCTCTCTCCTCCGCTGCAATGTGCGGAGGTAAGATGTTGAGCAGGGCCCCGAGAGCCAGGGTCGGGGTAGTGCGCATCGCGCCCGTAATTCCCAGCCCTGTTAGCCTGTAGACCCTGTCTAACGCTTTCTTGTTTTGAGCCCGCTCAACGCTGGGCCACCAAATTAGGGAGGCGTACGTCAGTTGGGGGACCAGTATGGCAATGTAAATCCATCTGACCATCCGTGGTTTTAACCCCMACGTCTTTCCAAACATCWTCTTGCAGGCCCAGAAGGTATTAATAGCCTCCCTGGCCTGGTTGTCGATGTGGCTTTTCCAACTGAGCTTGCTATCAAACGTCACCCCCAGGTAGCGAACTTCCCGGGAGAACTTCCTCAGCTCAGTTCCAAATATTGAGGGAGGCCTTATGTTGAAATGCCTCTTCCTCGTAAAGATCACCATTTCAGTCTTATTCGGGTTAATCCTCAAAGACATCGACGTGCACCAATCCTGAACGAAAAGTATGATCAACGAAAAGCCGATTTTTGRCGGACGAAAGAAAATTAAAATYTTTTTTTTTTTAGCTTTTTTGGAATATGTCACTYWCCAAAACTCGTCAGAAAATGTCTTTTATACTCCTCTACACTCAGGAATTTTCTTGAATTTTTTGAAGTGGTGGAACAATATAAAAAAAATTAAAAACTCATTTTTTTTCTAAAATCTCAAGTTTTTACTAACTTATATCTATTTTTTTTTAATTTGGAACAAGACTTGATTCTGATCTTGATCTTACAGAAAAAATAATTGCTGCCATGAATTCAAAAAAAGATCAAGAGAATACTTCAGCCTTGGAGATAGAAACTAATCGTTGGGCCAGAAGAAAAGTTCCCTTTGCAATAATTTCAAAGCCATTAACTGACTTTCCAGAATTATCAGAGCAAGAACTCAAAATTCTTTTCACTGGATCATATCAAATGACTCAAGCTGTATCGTATTTAGCTGAGATGATGGATGAAAAAGAAATAATCACATTCCATTATTTAAAAATTACACCTAATATTATAAAGTTCGAAGTTAGATCTCGACATATTAATTCGAAGAAATATCGTTGTTTTATTGAATATCAGCCAGATAAGAACGATATTTCCGGAATAACTCGATATTGTTGTGATTGTGCGAATGGTAGATGCACTGTTGGATGTTGCTCTCACATTGCTGCTATATTATTACATTATTATACATATATTTATATTATTACATATTATTATACATATATTATTTATCTTACGCTCGATATTTAGCGAAAATTGTAAAACTTGCTGAGATCCTGAGTCGCCTGTTCATCGATGAAAAAATTAGTGTCGTAGTGAATGAAGACAGTGATGAAGACTAATATAGTTACATCTTTTATTATAATTTTTATTTTTGTTGCATAAGATTTAGAAAAATATCTAACCGTATAAAAAATATATAAGTATCATCYTTAAGTGTATTTTCTATAATCAATAATCCGTCTAATTACGTTAGACGGAATATATCTTAATTGTTTTATAATAATCTTTATGTTTATTTCTGGCAAAGTGTATTTTGAGTAAAAAAATATTTTTTCACATTTTTTTTAACTGAAAAAAAAATATAAGTTAGGTAAAACTTGAGATTTTAGAAAAAAAAATGAGTTTTTAATTTTTTTTATATTGTTCCACCACTTAAAAAAATTCAAGAAAATTCCTGAGTGTAGAGGAGTACAAAAGACATTTTATGACGAGTTTTGGTGAGTGACATATTCCAAAAAAGATAGAAAAAAAAMGATTTTAATTTTCTTTCGTCCGCTAAAAATCGGCTTTTCATTTAAATATTATGATYATACTTTTTTTTCATGTCTTGGACTCCTAAGAACTAGAAAAAAAATCATCATTGATTAGTTTTGAATTTTACTATAAAAATAAAAATAAAATCGAAAAAACAGGATTTTTTTTGAAAATTTCGAGAACCGTTTGAGTAAAACAGCTAAAATTTGAGGTGAATTATTTTTATTCGACACTAAATCAATCCCCCAAGTGCGAGTCAAAAAAGCCACGGGGGCAGATTTCCCATATTAATCCGGCTATACCCTTTGTAAGTTTGCTTGCAGAAAACCAAGCAATAAAAATTTTGTTGGTGGTGAAAGTGTATTAAATACTGGACATGTTATTAAGTGTGGACAAGTATCAAGTCGTGATTGTAATATTATAAGTATTTTAACTTTTTGTTTACMAACTTCACATATTAAAGATAATCCACATGAAATAACTGGTGAAATATTAAAAAATGGTCGAATAATTAGAATGAGTTGTTCATGCAAGGTTGATTTAAGTGGTATTTGTAAACATGTTGTTGCAGTATTGCAATATCATTAACTGTCACWAATTCAATTGATCTTCTACGTATTTTTTCTTCTCGAGAATCTATTTGATCTACAAGAAAAGTACATTCTTTGGATGATCCTAAAGGAAGATTTTGACTAGGAATACTTGTTTTTTTTAAATAAGTTCGAGTTGAATCAATAGCTATAACAATACACANTGGTGAAAGTGTATTAAATACTGGACATGTTATTAAGTGTGGACAAGTATCAAGTCGTGATTGTAATATTATAAGTATTTTAACTTTTTGTTTACAAACTTCACATATTAAAGATAATCCACATGAAATAACTGGTGAAATATTAAAAAATGGTCGAATAATTAGAATGAGTTGTTCATGCAASGYTGRTTTAAGTGGTATTTGTAAACATGTTGTTGCAGTATTGCAATATCATTAACTGTCACAAATTCAATTGATCTTCTACGTATTCTTTCTTCTCGAGAATCTATTTCATCTACAAGAAAAGCACATTCTTTGGATGATCCTAAAGGAAGATTTTGACTAGGAATACTTGTTTTTTGTAAATAAGTTCGAGTTGAATCAATAGCTATAACAATACACAAAAACAATATAAGCATGAGTAAATTTATTGATTTAACAATTTATAATAACCAGAAAAAATAATTGTTGAAAATACTAACGTTAAGCTAAAAAATCATCTTTAATAAAATGGAGTGAACAGTCTTTGATACTGGGAGTTATACTTTTTCCAATTTTTAGCGCTCGTACCCAAGTTATATGTATATCAATTAGTTCTTTATCACCAAATTTGTTTATTCGATAAAAAAATTGTTTTTTACGAGGTGGAATTTGAAAAAACCTAATTTTTTCATCACGACAACCTATGCTTGTACAATCAAATACACAACAATACACTTTACTTGTATTTTTTTTGCTGGGAACTCCATAACAAAAAAAAAAATTCTTTACAACAACTTTTTAGTTTAACGATACTAGTTATTTTCAATTCTACTTTTAATAATAAATAAACAAGTCATAAAATTAAAAATATAAATATTTCCACATAAATATCATATAGTTTAAATCAGCTGTCAGCAATTCCCCTTACTTGGAATTGACCCTCCTGTTCGGGGGTTGGACGTAGGTCTGATTACCCCACTCAGTAAAAAGACTTTATCGAGCATCAAAAAATACCGCCATGAATTCTACTAGGGTAAAATTTTCCGGAGGTAAACTAGTTCCCCGTTCGGATCTCCGGGTGGGTATTACCTTAGGGAATTCGTGTTGGGTAAGGTCAAAAAACGGAAGGGACTTTAAAGTGGGCACCTGGAACGTGCAAAGCCTGTTCAGACTCGGGGCGTTCCAGGTGATGGTCGGGAAGGTCGAGAAGTACGGGGTAGAAATCGTCGCGCTATAAGAAACTCGATGGGCTGGAGAAGGATCGGTTAATGCGGGGGCGTATACGCTTTACTATGGAGAGTCGGAGACCCATAGTTCCGACGTCGAGTTCATGATTAGGAAAAGAATACTATCCGCGGTAAAAGACGCTAGGTTTATAAATGAAAGATTAGGATTGATCATATTGCAGGGGCGATAGTACAAGATCGCGATTATTAATGTGCACGCGCAGATGGAAGATAAAGAGGACGAAGTTAAAGACGGGTTCTACAAGAAACTTGAGGGCGTCGTGGATCAATTGCCGAAAGATTACATGAAGATAGTCGTGAGAGATTTTAACGCGAAAATCGGTAAAGAAGAGTTCTTTAGACCAACGATCGAGTCCGAGAGTCTCCATGAGGAAAGTAACGATAACGAAGTAAGGGTAATTAACTTTGCGACCAGGAAAAATCTCATCGTTAAAAGCACGTTTTTTAAACACAAAAATATTCATAAACAAACTTGGATTTCCCAGGACGGAAATACGCGTAACCAAATAGATCACGTTCTGGCAGATAAAGGACAACACACGAACTTACTAGATGTTAGGTCGTACAGGGGAGCGGATTGTGATTCGGATCACTTTTTGGATTGCTAGGAAGCTGTCGTTGGTTTTTGCAAAAGACACAAAAACAAACCATGGTTCGACAAAGAAAGCGAGTTAGCTGTCAAAGTCCGAAACGAAGCGCGTATCTCGTGGCTGACCCAAAACACGGATCTAACCCGGGACCAATTTCACAATATTAGGCAA